GAACACGGGTCTTAAACGTAATGGGTGAACGCCTTACCCACTCGGCTACCCGACTGCCCCTCACTGAAACTGATGACACCAACTGTTGGCTAAAAGGTTTCACATGACTTTTGTTCTGTTAACCGACCACTGCCTTCCAGCATAAATCATCACTTATTCACTCAGGGAAACATTTATATGCCATTCCGACGTTCAACTTTAAATACGTGACTGTTTAAATGAGGACGTCGAACTAGAAAGTCACATGTTTCTAGAAGGCGTAATGAGGAAGTTATCTACGTCCTTCTTGGTAACTTCCTGTTTGGGAAATATTGCATCAGTGTTTGCATGTATGGCGACATTACTTAAAATGACTGACTGAAATGATAATAACCAAACCATGTAAGCACGACATTTCAATGAGTCCGACCTTGCTTGAGTGTTATAAAATCCAAAAAGTACCAAAGCTTGGGATGTAAACGGTGCCAGTAATTGGCACAATCAATGACACATTTTACCCCAGCTAAAGTAAGGCAAACCATTAGCCTTGAGCAGATCTGCATGATATGGTAGGGGTTGTTTTCACCCCCGCTGAGGAATCAGTGTCTTAGAAACTGATATATCTTTATCAATCGTGGCCCAAACTCTTTGAATCAGGGCCCCTACCTTAGAAAAGCTGTAAACTTTAATATGTTACGATTTGGTTATTTAACATGTAAGCTCAAGTGGCAAATATAATCTTTTCATCTGACGGATTCTGAAGAACAACCCCATGGTAGCTGGGATACGATATTCTATTACAAAACACCAATATTAGGCCACAATTAATCCCGGACGCGTAATGTAGTATTTCCTTATATCGTTTCATTTTAAATATTTAATATTTATATTCGTAACCGCTTTTCGTGGTTTGCAAATACGATTAATTTCCTTGTCACGCATTTCGTTTTGTAAGCATTAGGTTGTGACGTGTCGTGGGCATAACGCGTATCTATAAAGCCTGGACAGAATTTGTAATTCTTTTTCTTTATAAAACCCAAGGCAGCTGTTGCCAAGGTGACCACAAGATATACTTTCATAATACCGTGATTATAATATTATATACGGAAGGGACAGGGCAATGTCTCGCAAATCTTCCTCGGGCTCAATAAATCAGACTGAAGTGTGTTTTTAACACATTAGTATCAGTAAGTACTAGAACATGATGTAGTTGTCAATTAATCATGTATTCATAATGTAATCAACTTACTTACGATTTTGAGTGATAGGCACATTCTGGGGTAAAATAACGTATATTTACAACCAACATATTCATTGTTGTGAACAATATTACCAACTGTAAAATTGATATTATCTTCACTGAACATATTACAGTGCTGTTGCATTTTGGTTGGTTTGTTACACCACTGTTTAACGCCGCGGTCTGTAAATACTAAAGTCTGGGCCAGACAATCGACTGATCAGCAGCATGAGCATCAATTTACGCAATTGGGATACAATGACATGTGCCAACCAGGTCAGTCAGCACGACCACCCGATCCCGTTAGTCGCCTCTCTAGTTAACTGTATCAGTTGCAGTTTTAGACGCCCCGTGTCTGACTGCAGTTCCCAGGGCAGTGGGGTAGCCTTGTTGTTGAAGCGTTCGCTCGTCACGCCGAAGGCCCGGGGTCGATTCCACACATGGGTACAATGTGTGAAGCCCATTTCTGGTGTCCCCCGCCGTGATATTGCTGGAATATTGCTAAAAGCGGCGTAAAACCCAACTCACTCACTCACTATAGTTCCCAGAAAAGAAAACAACAATGAAAGTGACTGCCAGTTTCTTCAAATCGAACTAATATTACCTTGATTTGAGCCCCTCTCATATCACTGCCTGTTATTACTTTCACGATCTATAAAGCTTTCGTTAATCGCCATACGATAGAAAGTTACCTCCAAGTTGTAGGGCGTCCCTGTCGTCAGACGACTCATAACAGGATTAGGTATATGTGCAATCGTAACCGTTAACCTGTTTACCTTAGTCTACATTAGAACGGCCCTAGTTACTTGACAGAGCTCTAGCAAAATATACATAATCATAATATGGATTGTTTGCCTTTCAGGTGACTGAAATCAACCCATAACAATTAACAGGTATATTATACACAACGACAAAAAATATCGCAACAGCCATATTTGGATATATATCGCTGATGTGTGATTCAATGTGCTCGCTATATTACGTGTGTAAACAAATGTTTTTTCACTGTTATTTGTAGAGCAAATATTGATACGTTTATGTTGATTTACAAAATTGCCAAAATGGGGAATTTCGAGTCCAACCAACTAAGGCTGTAACAGGCCTATCAGAATTCCCAAATCAGTTTCCTTTCATGTCACTATCATGAAGTTCGTAGAGTTTGCAAAACACGGAAAATGTCAGTATCTGGTGCAACCTCCTCCATCTTGAATTACCTGTTCAACCCTCTTCCTCACTGTAAGATTGTTCCATTCCTAGTGTAGCGCCTGTTCCAATTCATCAACAGTCTGTAGTGATGGCTCCCTCTGACGTGCAAGAATGTCCCAAATATGCTCAATGGGTTTGAGGTTAAAGGGCTTCTGGCTGGCGAAGGTAGGGTAGTGACAGCTTCCCGACGCAGAAAATCAACAACAGCACGCACACTGTGTAGTAGAGCATTATCATCCATAAAGACTGGCCTTGTGCTTAGAGGATGATTGTCAAAATGAGGCACTACAGCCCTGTTCAGGATCTCTGTTTGGTATCGATGGCCATTAATGGTGCCTCTGACTGTTTCCAGTGGCAGCTCACAGTCATATGACAAGCAACCCCAAATCATGACAGAACCGCCGCCAAACGGAACCTGTTCCATGATGTTCCTCTGGACCTATGTCATATCCGTATGTCGCCAAACACGTGCTCTACCATCTGCGATGAACACCAGAAAGCGAGTCACATCAGACCAATGGAGTTTTCTCCATGACGCAATAATCCAGTGAGTACGTGTTCGACACGATGCCAATCGTGTTGTTTTGTGGACACGTGACAACAAAAGGTCTTCTGATAGGTCTTCTGCCATGATATTAAGCAGTTATGAGACGATTACACGCGGTTCTGGGGCATGTGCGGGGATGAGGTAACCCCTCCCTTTTCAGTGCTTGGTGCAAAAGGATAGAAGAGCTGCATCTTCACTTTCTGACGTCTAGCGAGGTCCACACGGACGGGGACGGTCCATGACGTCATTAGTCTGCTGATGCTTACTTAACAAACGACTTATTATTGAAGGATGGCGACCCAGATCCCTTGCCTCATGGACATACCAGCATTTCTCCTGCCATAAGTTGCCAACTGAGTTTTCGTGGACCCATTGTTTAATTTAGACAGAGGAATCAATGACTCGTAAGCTTTACTCTATACAGTGACAGATTTCAAAACATGATTGTCAAGGTGGACAGGGTACATGTTTTCCTCGTGCCGTAGATAGGACACGTGCTAGGCATGCATTTGATCATGACTGGTATGGAGGACAGGATATGCCATAAACTTAAGATCAATAAAATAAGATCACCTATACTTATTTATGAAAAAAATGTCTCTTGAAAGCTTATATTTGGGTGTTGCGATACTTTTTTCTTTGTGCATATTTCCCATGTGTGTCCTCTCAGACTTTCTGACCACCTTCTTCCTGGGTGGGGAAGCAGCTGTGTATCCAGGTCCGCTCTCTCCCTTTTACTTCAAGTCTGAGATTGTTGTACTGATCCACGAGACTTCTGTAAACCCTCCATGTTGTAGTTTGTTCTGGACCTGACGGCGTGGGGAAGATGCCTAGGTAGGAGTCATCGACCCCTTCCGTCACATATAGTCATGGAAGTATTCGGGCCAAGCTCCCTAAGGTGCTACATCCATCGCCTTCGGCCTGGCGTCTTGAACATCAAAAAGAGGGAAAGGGGGATCCATTTGCCATCCGTATCTTGCGATCGTACTTGCTTGTATTGCTCTGTTAGGCCAAATTCTTGGGTCCTTCTCCGTTTGACCTGTACTACAGTGAAAACACTCCCCTTGATGCTGGGAAATCGAACTCATTCTCGATTGCTCTTATGATAGCCATCTCTAGGCCTTTCTGTTCTGAAGTTGGAGCATAATGATCGTTACATTGTTTCACCTCCAACGGAACAGTCGGGTGTACGTCGTATATAGTCGGTCGGGAAGAAACTACAGTGGTGTACAGCTGGTTCCACAAGCGTCGGCAACTGGAAATGTACTAACCATGTATACACTGTGTCAGCTTCTTGGAGGTATCTCAGCTGCACGTGTGGGAAACTCCAGGATCTTGCCATCTTCACCGTCTGTGCAGTCATCCTTCATAGTGACACATGGTCCCTCCAGGTGAACCTCAGCTCTGGTCTGTTGAAGAACGGGGATTGTTGTTCTGCGATGCGATGCGATGAAACGATGAATCAGTACAATAAATCGACTGGGCGATGCGATGAAAAGATGAATCAGATAAATCGATTGGATTATGTGATGAAACATGAGAACTATAAAACAAATCTGAGTGTTGAATGCGATGGAGCAGAAAACGCCTAAACAGGCCCCTTTCAACTGTGTGAATGTAACTGACATAACAGTGTAGATATTTGTCTAAGGAACTCTAATTCCAGATTCGCCATATTGTTCATTCCATTCTGGTAGGATCATACTAGTGTCCAAGAAACATGTCCAAAGCGGGAATTGAATGGACAGGTTGATCAGATGCATGTTTTTCTGTCTACTTGACCGTTTTCTTTCTGAGTCTGAACAACAATATGCAAATATTTGTCCACTTTCCAAAACACATTGGCCACTGCCTTTTCACTGACTTGTCTCAACGCAACAATTTGCTCAACTGACTCAAATTCTAGTGGAAATGTCGCTTTGACATGCAATGTAAGAACGTATCAGTCAATCAATTTGGCGTAAATCTGCGTTTCGTCATCGCCAATATGATAAGGTTATACAATTTTGCATAAAAAACACATTTCTGGATTATGTTGTTTATTTATATGCAGTGAAGACAACATTTGACGGGGGAACGCTTACAGCCAGTTGTAGTGACAGAATATTACCATGTATACTGTACAGCACGATTGTATTATGTTGTACATCTTACTGGCTGAACGTGCTGTTTAAGCCCTGGGTGTGGGTTGCTATACGTCTCTCTTTAGCTTCCTTCCTCGTGTTTCGTTCTTCAAACTCCAGTCTGACAAAAGAACGCAGACAATAAATGTGACATCCGCTTGACCTAAAGTAATGTCAGTTGAATACTAAACACCCTTCACAAACTCTCTGAAAAGGCCTCATCGGGAAATATAGCTTGTGCATTGTCTTTCTTACGCCCTACCCCACTCATTCTCTCTGTCAGTACCAGTCGAGATATAGAGTTTAATCATTGTATGCCTTACGTCTCACCATGTTAAACCCACCTGTTTTGAACTGTCCTTTCGATAATCATCTTGGTGATCAACTCACTGCCACTGTCCAGACATAGAGTTAAATCATTGTATGCCTTACGTCTCACCATGTCAAATCTTCCTGTTTTGAACTGTCCTTTCGATAATCATCTTGGTGATCAACTCACTGCCACTGTCCAGATATAGAGTTAAATCATTGTATGCCTTACGTCTCACCATGTTAAACTCACCTGCTTTGGACTGTCCTTTCGATAATCATCAACTCCATCTTGGTGTTAAATCAACTCACTGCCACTGTCCAGACTGTCCTTTCGATAGAGTTAAATCATTGTATGCCTTACGTGTCACCATGTTAAACCCACCTGTTTTGAACTGTCCTTTCGATAATCATCTTGGTGATCAACTCACTGCCACTGTCCAGATATAGAGTTAAATCATTGTATGCCTTACGTCTCACCATGTTAAACTCACCTGTTTTGAACTGTCCTTTCGATAATCATCTTGGTGGTCAACTCACTGCCACTGTCGATCACTCGAAACTTCCCAAGTCGCTTTGGCTCCTGTGATGGAAGAAGAAGATATAGGATTAGTAGAAGTTAATTACGTACCTCTAAATAGATTGCATCAACATGTGACACTAGGTTTTCGTTGTTACTCGTGTAGTGTATAAAACTGAAGTGGGATAATGGGGCAGCTTTGTTGCTGAACGGTAAACATATCACAACGAGGTCGTCCCTCGACTCTCCACATGGGTACAATGTATGGCTAGAATATTGCCATTGTCATTGAACGTATGAGCCTAAACATACTATTGCAAAACACATGTCTACATAGTAATTTTGTGGAGGACAGGTTTTAACACTCTTAAGAATTATTTTACAGCGTTCTTCTTGGACAATCATTTCTGCGTTTAATTCCCATCCCTGGTGGCTTGAGGTGAGTCAGAAAGCTAACTATACCCCTTCATGACAGACATGTATCAAGTGATATGACGTACCCTGTAGGGATCCTCTCCGTTAGGCCCAGTCTCCGTCGGGGTCATCCCGTGACACACAACGTCCACCTGAAACCAGTAGCCACCCATCGGTACCCATGCACATATAACGCTCATATTCCTGTACCTAATAAAAAAGTGTTCCTCTCGACTGTTTTTCTATGGAAATTACCTTTCCATAATTCTAGTTTCTTACCTGTAACTGATTCATAATTTCTTTGGTGACAACATAAGGACATTTACATTTTAAGTGTTTCATGAGCTTCTTTTTGAGTTACCTGATGACGACACTCATGAAAACTGCTCATGAGCTTCCTTGTGGCGACGTACGGGCACTTACCTGGAAGTGTTTCATGAGTTCACTTGTGACGACAAATGGAGCTCCCATAATGACATCCGATACGTACTGAAAACAAATATTTCAACTGCTACCTATGGTGTATAAGATTCATATTAAAATTGTAAAAAAATATTTACGCATTCAGAGCTCACAGGTTTAACAATGTTTTGTGTGGCTTATTCATTGGCGTCCACTTGTGTGGAAGCAAAAGCCAAACAGATACAGGTCATAAAACGTTGGTACAAACATGACAGCCTATTTAGTCTTGACTTTTAGACGTCTTGTTCTGTATTCAGGCTATAGAGAACAGCAACCAATGCACTAATGCACGTGTCACCATTGCCAGGAAGAAATTTGCAGAGATTTACATTCATCAGTATGAAAGGTAATATGGCCGTTTAATATTGTCGATATGTCGGAGTCCATCTAGTCACTGTTGATCAAACCTGTCCAAAGGTTCTTTAAGGCGTTAGTGTTCCGTTTCTTATCAGTTGTGTTCGGTGTAAACTTGAGGGAAAAACGGTTCACATACGCCCTGGTCGGTACCGATGGACTCAGAATGACAGAAAAATAGAGTATGACGTTAGGTCACTTTAAATAATCACTATACCCAAAATCCAAATTTTGAAACGAAACTGAAATTTACTAAAGCCACGTAGTCTGTACAAGAGTTCCAATATTAACGAGTGTATTAGGAGAATACAAATATATTTTAAACTGAATCACACTGCTGAAATCGGATAATAAACTGATATGATTACAGTGGAGATTTCAATACAGTTGCCTCATTGAACAAAACCACCTAGCAACAGAAATAAAGCACCAGTGTACCACAAACAATGGGGACGAGGAAGGTCGCATACCATAAAGGAGGAACCTAAATAAATTAGGATAAATCTCGAACAAGGAAAAACATGTACTACATGCCTATGATCTCATCAGTATTAAGAGTAATATTTAGAGTAAAGAATATTGAGTTAGTTTAACGGTTAGTGTTTGCACGTTCAAGCAATTAGATAAAATAGAAATTTGCACATGGAAGAATGTTGTATGACACCAACAAACCACAAAGAAATGTTATCAACGAACAATTGTATTCTGAAATCAACTAAGTTTACACGTCGATAAAATTACCTCAAAAGAATTACAATGCTTAAAAAATAGAGTGGCAGTGGATATTCAATGGTAGTACAATTACGATGGTCATATAGATTATTATGGCAGTAGTAATAGCATCAATGATAAGGTATCATCAAACGCCTGCAGAGTTCATGAAATGTGAGAGATAACATGCATGTGCTTGTCCCCCTAACATAGTGTAAACACATTTTACTGCCTTCATAAAGCATATATTTTATTCACCCTTACTTGGACAGGACTGGTAAACGGGCATCGCTTATCTAACCATCGATCTTTATTACATGACATGATTACATTTGTGTAGACATCAAAAGGCCCATGTCAAGAGACAATACAAAATATATAGTGCGAGGATATGAGTATCTCTGATTCTCTGGGAATTAGTGAGTGAGTGCTTTCAGTTTTATGCCGCACTCAGCGATATTCCAGCTATATGGCGGCGGTCTGTAAATAATCAAGTCTGGACCAGACAATCCAGTCATCAACAGCATGAGCATCGATCTGCGCAATTGGGAACCGATGACATGAGTCAAACAAGTCAGCGAGCCTGACCACCCGATCCCGTAAGTCGCCCCTTACGACAAGCATGGGTTACTGAAGACCAATTCTAACCTGGGTCTTCACGTGTCACGCTACCAGTAAAGAAATTCGTGAGATCTATTTATCCAGAATTATTTCCACCAATAATCTATCAAAAAGCAAAGCTTTGAGGTTATTGTCTGACTTACAAGTATAAGTGTTGCTTATATTTTAGCAATAAGAATTATCAAATTTGCAACATTGTCCATTGTATGACTGTAACATTGCAATCAACGCTTACAACATGCATTGTTTAATATACTGCGATAGTAGTTGTACTTTCTATACAACATGTACATTGTAACGTATGCTGAAGCAGTTCCCGTATTGTACCAATTCAGTATGTATATATGTTTAAATCTATATATTTCAACACTGTGGGAAACCAAAGAAACCTGGTAGGTACAGACCTTGACAAAAGTATCTGAAGAACAGGTTTTCCAGCTTCCGAACAACGTGAACAGGGGAGATAATTCTATGTATGGGTGTAGATATCAGCACCGTTATCAAGCAAGCCAGGTGTAGCCTGTTTCTGTATGTCTTTCATACTATGGGCAGTGGTGTGATCTATTTCCTGTACATATGTCACACGTACCTGTAGTGAGAAATATCGTCGTTTTATTTCGAGATGGCAGAAACGAGACGTGTATGATTGTGAAATACATCTGTTTTCCTGTAATATATACTTCTGTTTCAGTTATTGTCCCTTCCTATGTTTACTTGAAACATATATTGTCCCTACGATTCCTTATAGATGATGTACACCCGATAGAATAATACTGGGTCGACCGGGGTAACACGTAAAGCCATGCTCTGGAGAAAAAGCCCAGCTTCATCCAAGGATGTTTCTTCGATTCAGTGCTGTCAATTCACTACCATCATTCCACTGGTCGTGGTCGGGGCAAAACATCATTATCTCATGTTTTCGTGATATATAACAGAACCGATTACCCGTGGGGCATACCTCCTTGACCGGCACCCAGGTGCTTGTCTCAATGCCCGTGATACTCAAGCCAAAGCCCCACGTATGATTTATATGAGATTTATTTTTTATCAATAGGCCACTCTTACATTTCTTAAAATATTTAGACAACGTCACAAAACAATGTCAAAATAAGTATGTCAGTTTAGATTCTGATATCCTCTGTATGTCAATTCACAGTCTTCTTTGGGTCTTCAGGGGCGTAGCAAGTCAATTTTTTCGTTTACGCCCGATAGTTTGCAAAGCTATTTATTCAGATAGTATTGAGGACTTGCCCAACCTTTTTAGCAACAATTATGGGCATTTTTTATAATGGTAGCTACGCCCCTGGTCTTTTAAACATGGCTGAGACGACACAATTTCGCCATTACTACATTTCTAGGACAATCATTAGTGTCAGCCGAGCTGGTAAATGCACATGTATCATCACGTCACAAGGTACGTGGGGGTCGCAGTGTCACAGTTCACAGTACTGAGCAGGGAGCGGTGGGTAGCCTAGCGGTTTAAGAGTCCACTCGTCACGCCGAAGATCCAGGTTCGATTCCCCACATGGGTACAATGTGTGAAGCCCATTTCTGGTGTCCCTTGCCGTGATATTGCTGGAATATTGCTAAAAGCGGCGTAAAACTAAACTCACTCACTCAGTCAGTACTGAGCAGAGTGGAGCAAGGTATCGCATGACCAGTTTGACTGTATTATTCCTTGTCCAGTTACTTTCAGCCAGTTTCGATGGCAATAAGTCTTAAATACTACGATGATTAAGATGTACATGACAAATAGAACGCTGAGCTTTGAAATACCATTGTGTTTCTCCTTCCATAACCTGATGATGCTGATATTGTTTTGGACAAAACGTAAGTTAATCATTTGTACACCTCCGTTTTAAGATACGTTGGGTTTTCCTGGTGTTTGCACATACACTGTCTAGCATATCACTAACAGAGCAGCGCTGAGAAAAGGCTGGTGACCCCTTAAGGAGCGAGGCCGAGCGAGGCCGAATATGACCCTTGGTTTGTCACAATAACGCTCGTAAGATTCATTGAAGTTGCAGCCGTTACAATCACTATGGGTTTTTTCATGTTCACGTGACACCCCAATAACTGAAATACAATTGTCAGAGAGCCGAAATGACTCACTAACTCACAGCAGTCTCACCTTGCAGGCCAGGACGCTGAGTGTCCTCTCATGCAGGTTCATCACTGGGTTGCCTGAACCCCCGCAGCTGCTGACAGTCTTCCACAGACATGGGAAATAGATGAATCCTTATTACAATGGAAACACTACGTGGCCTGTCAGGAACTGTTCTGGGATTTGTTTAGACAGGAAGTGTTCTGGGATTTGTTTAGACCGGAAGTGTTCTGGGATTTGTTTAGAGATTAGTCATTGTTTCAGCTACATATGCAAAACCAGATATTTGTTGAATAATAAACTATGAATCATTAACATCAAAATACCTTACAATAATGCAGTTTACAGAGATTTAAAGAATAATCTTTCCAAAGAATGTTCTGAGCTGGGACAAGCAATTTTTTCCAGCCCAGACCAGACGAGCAATCAACGATTTCTACACACGGTATCTGGGTGTATTCCTGTAATCAGTGAATTCTAAGCGCATTAGTACTCAAGTAGTCAGGGTGTGTTAGTACTCACGGTGTCTGGGTGTAATCCTACAATAAGGAAGTCACCCTCTGCTGCGGCCTTCTCCAGGAAGTCAATGTGGCCTGCATCTTCACTAAGGTCAAGGTTTGTAATGATAAAGCAGAACGTGTGTTGACTGGGCCCAATGTAGTCCTGTCAAGCATAATATTCCAGAAAACATCTTGCTTCTGATAGCACCGAGTTACCAAAACACACTACGCTGCTTCTGCCAAGGTGATTCAAGTGGGTTTTCGACTTCTGTGTTATGGGGCAGCGCTGTACATTGTCCCTACAGAATCATTCACAGTGTTGTGATATATATAGACCTGATGCAGTTAGACAGAAAGATCTGGAAAGCATATTCTAGAATCACCTGCCCTTGAATCTAGAAATAACTTACGCGAACAAATATATTAGGAGAGAGGAACGGGTGTGATGGAAGAATTATGTACACCAAAGACCCTCTTCTACCCGTCGAGCAGACAATGGTAACAACCACCACTACAACTCACTCACGAGATAGACCACCTGCAGTCGAGCAGACAATGCTACCAACCACCACTACAACTCACTCACGAGATAGACCACCTGCAGTCGAGCAGACAATTGTACCAACCACCACTACAACTCACTCACGAGATAGACCACCTGCAGTCGAGCAGACAATTGTACCAACCACCACTACAACTCACTCACGAGATAGACCACCTGCAGTCGAGCAGACAATTGTACCAACCACCACTACAACTCACTCACGAGATAGACCACCTGCAGTCGAGCAGACAATTGTACCAACCACCACTACAACTCACTCACGAGATAGACCACCTGCAGTCAGAGCAGACGATTGTACCAACCACCACTACAACTCACTCACGAGATAGACCACCTGCAGTCGAGCAGACAATTGTACCAACCACCACTACAACTCACTCACGATTATACTACAACTCACTCACGAGATAGACCACCTGCAGTCGAGGCAGACAATTGGTACCAACCACCACTACAACTCACTCACGAGATAGACCACCTGCAGTCGAGGAGCAGACAATCGCACTGATAGACCAACCACCACTGCACACAGCTCACTCACGAGATAGACCACCTGCAGTCGAGCAGACAATGGTACCAACCACCACTACAACTCACTCACGGGATAGACCACCTGCAGTCCGAGGCAGACAATTGCTAGCAGCTACCACACTACAACTCACTCACAGGATAGACCACCGCAGTCGAGCAGACAATGCTAGCAACCGCCGCACTCGCTTTCCGAGGCATGATAACGCAGATAGGCAGACAATTAAACCACCACTACGTGCTCACTTTCACGGGATAGACCACCTGCAGTCAGGCAGACAATGCTAGCGAACCACCACTACAACTCACTCACGAGATAGACCACCTGCAGTCGAGCAGACAATTGTACCAACCACCACTACAACTCACTCACGAGATAGACCACCTGCAGTCAAGCAGACAATTGTACCAACCACCACTACAACTCACTCACGAGATAGACCACCTGCAGTCGAGCAGACAATGGTACCAACCACCACTACAACTCACTCACGAGATAGACCACCTGCAGTCGAGCAGACAATTGTACCAACCACCACTACAACTCACTCACGAGATAGACCACCTGCAGTCAACGTTCTATATCGTCATTCTAAAAGTACAGATACACATGCTGTTTGAGAGGTTTCACAGCAAGTTGATCAGCGCGTGCCATTAGTGGAAAACATCGACCAGCACAGACAAGACATATGGGAGCAAATGATACCTGGAGTTTTCTGTTGGGAATAAGTTTTGCTGAAAAACACTCCAAGGAAAGCGTTCATGGACATAGCTTTTTAAAATCAGATATACAGGTCCATAGACCTTTTGCTGTTATTGGACTAGAGCTCCTACATGCTCAAGGATGTGTATGGTTAACAACGGCATTACACGATACACGTTGTCGCTAGTCAACTGGTCAGTGAACCTGTACTTCATAACCTTCAGTTCTGTTCGATGCCTACATGAGCTATGTCATGTGAATGTCTCGAAAGAGAGGGTGACCTATGTTAGAGGATACGGAAGAGATCGAAGGCGCCGTCAACGTACACGACCTTGTCACCAGGCTGAGGAGCGTTCCCTTCACTGAACTCATGTATCAGGCAGGTGGAAGTCAGGAAGCTCGACACACCAGTGCTGCCCGCTTTCTGCAAACATCAAACGTTTTCAAACATTTCAGTTCCCCCGCTGAATGAATATATTGTGTCGGACATATCCGTGCACGCACCCAAACACAACTCGACAACATCTTTACACAGACATGTCCGTGCACGCACCCAAACAAAACTTGCCAACATCTTCACACAGACATATCCGCATACGCACACAATCACAACTTGCCAACATCTTCACAAAGACATATCCGTGCATGCACCCAAACACAATCCAACAACATCTTCACACAGACAAATCCGAGCACGCACCCAAAAACAACTCGCCAACGTCTTAACACAGACATATCCGGGCACGCACCCAAACACAACTCGACAACATCTTTACACAGACATATCCGCATACTCACTCAAACACAATCCAACATCTTAACACAGACATATCCGCATACGCACACGATCACAACTCGACAACATCTTCACAAAGACATATCCGTGCATGCACCCAAACACAATCCAACAACATCTTCACACAGACATATCCGAGCACGCACCCAAAAACAACTCGCCAACGTCTTAACACAGACATATCCGGGCACGCACCCAAACACAACTTGCCAACATCTTAACACAGACATATCCGTGCACGCACCCAAACACAACTTGCCAACATCTTAACAAAGACATATCCGGGCACGCACCAAAACACAACTCGCCAACATCTTAACACAGACATATCCGGGCACGCACCAAAACACAACTCGCCAACGTCTTCACACAGACATATCCGTGCACGCACCCAAACACAACTTGCCAACGTCTTCACACAGACATATCCGTGCACGCACCCAAACACAACTTGCCAACATCTTCACGCAGACATATCTGGGCATGCACCCAAACACAACTAGCCAACATCTTCACACAGACATATCCGTGCATGCACCCAAACACAACTTGCCAACATCTTCACACAGACATATCCGTGCACACACCCAAACACAACTCGACAACATCTTCACACAGACATATCCGTGCACGCACCCAAACACAACTTGGCAACATCTTCACACAGACATATCCGTGCATGCACCCAAACACAACTAGCCAACATCTTCACACAGACATATCCGTGCACGCACCCAAACACAACTCGACAACATCTTCACACAGACATATCCGTGCACGCACCCAAACACAACTTGCCAACATCTTCACACAGACATATCCGTGCACGCACCCAAACACAACGACAACATCTTCACACAGACATATCCGTGCATGCACCCAAACACAACTTGCCAACATCTTAACACAGACATATCCGTGCACGCACCCAAACAACTTGCTAACATCTTCACACAGACATATCCGGATGCACACCCAAACACAACTTGCCAACGTCTTCACACAGACATATCCGTGCACGCACCCAAACACAACTAGCCAACATCTTCACACAGACATATCTGGGCACACACCCAAACACAACTCGACAACATCTTCACACAGACATATCCGTGCACGCACCCAAACACAACTTGGCAACATCTTCACACAGACATATCCGGATGCACACCCAAACACAACTTGCCAACATCTTAACACAGACATATCCGTGCACGCACCCAAACACAACTAGCCAACATCTTCACACAGACATATCCGGGCACACACCCAAACACAACTTGCCAACATCTTCACACAGACATATCCGCATACGCACGCAAACAAAACTTGCAACCATCTTCACACAGACATATCCCTGTTACCTTCCAGTAGGCGGTTGTATGGGTGTTTGGAACCTGTGTGGTCGCTTGCAAAATTCTGTGAACAGATCAGTCCAGTCGTTTTTCATAATGAGATTTCACTGCATTTATTGTGAAATATAGGCAGAATGGATACCCTAATGTTTAAAACGCTAAAATGATTTATATACATAATTAGTTTTTGTATTAAGTAGCATTCTGTTAAAGTGAACATCACAAATAGTTCAGTTTGTCGTTTAGCTGACAGTGGTCTGCAAATTCAATTCAATTCTTTATTCATGTGAAAGTAGATCATTGGACCATGATACATCATTTTATATTAGCAGCCTTCAGGCTGCAACGACGACGATTGTTAGCATAAAATATGAACATGGCGAGATTTCTTAAAACCAGAGGAGTACCATTACACATCAGTCGGTTTAATTTACACAAGGTCGGATGAGTGAAAATATCACTGGATCAGACAATGCAGTGATTGACATCACGAGCATCGATCTACGCAGATGGGATATGATGACATGCATCAGTGACGTCAGCCAACCTGACTACCAGATCCCGTTAATCGCCTTTTACGACAAGGCCAATGCTGAAGCCCAAAATTAACCCGGGTCTTCACGGGTCCAACTCAAAAATACACATGTGTGGGGAAAGTACAAGATTGTAGCTTTCTCGTCACAGCGGTGACGTTTATGATGTCGCTAGCGCTCCTGCTGGTTGGGTTCGAAAGCAAAACCAGAGACACGACATCATTCAGAACTCGTCAACCTGTACAAGGAGCCAAAGTAAACATGGCAGCATCATGCTCCGCCTTGGCGATGGATGTTAGTGAGGTTTTGTCGGTGTCCTTGATTTTCTTGTGTATGATGTTGTACACATATTCAATCAAATATCTGCCATGGTTGAGTAGGAGAGTAGGATATGAATACAGATTATTACACGAACAAGTGTGACATATACGAAACGAGTGTGAAATTTCGTATTGTGCACGTGTTTCGTATAAGTCATGACACACTTGTTCGAGTGTAATAATTTCATTATTATCCATTTTATTTATGTACATTTGTGCAGTAAGACACGGTAAGCAAGTGTGACGCCCCTCTTCAGAAACAATGGTTGCTAGGCAAAAGTGATATGTGAAATATATGACACTGAATATGTTTCACCATAAGGGTAATAATTGTCTGTTTTGACTCTGAACGAGATGCATTAACATTAACTCAACATTAAGTATTCTAAGATGCTTCGGTGAAAGATCAAAGGCGCCGACGATACTTTATCACAAGATAATGTGCACTTTTTGCATTACGTCACAATGTATTTACGTCACTGCGCCATTCTAGTCTGCCCCTCGTAATCGAACAATTTGGCATTAAGTCACAATGTAAGCCACGTCACGTGGCATGTCAGTTGTCATCGCCTCGTACAGCCTCCTACAGTAAACTACTGTTGCATTCCGGTTCTTGGTTTGCAGTTGCTTCACGCAGCTAACATCACAGGTGGAAATATTACGTTTATGTTTTACGATGGTTAAAATGTGTCAATTAGACTCACACGTTTTCAGCGACACGGTAACATTCGCAATGTTTACATTCCCACAATGCAATCGTGGAATGTCGCTTGACTACTCAGCTTCATCTGGATGTACTGATCTAAACATACGTTGGTAGTAGAAATGCGACGTTCACATGGTTTACGTTAATCACAGATGTAATTAAAATAATTTAGAGAAGGTATTTAATCCGAACGTAAACCGTCCATCCAGTCCCCTTTTCTTTGTCTCATATGACGCCCATTCTGACCCCCATTCTGACCCCCACATACTTCTCCGACGGAATATATGCAAATATGAATATATGTATCTGAGGAAATCTCACCTTTCCACAATATCTGTGGTAGATATGCCATCCAGACGGTTACACTTGCTGTCAATGAATAATGTAATGTATTGTAAACGTTCATCAACATCAACCAGCTCCATCAGCAATCATGTAAACATAACTTTTGTCACACGAATGACTGAGTGAATACTGAACAATATTTCCCACTTTGTGTGGGAGTTGAATTTAAGTAACTCCAGAAGTGCCGCCCGTGTTAGGCTTTTACCAATTTGGCAAACCTATATTAACATAATCTGGACGAATCTAAGTTTTAAGCCTTCGAGTTTACAGTGCACAAAGGGACGCAACTCTGCGCCCAGTGCTATCTCATACATACGTGCTAAGGCGGCTGTAATCCTTAATTCTTAATTTATTCATATAGAAATAACGACAATAATGTTGAATGGATTTCATTCAATCCTAATCTGAACCATGGCAGATCAAACAGGACAATATACTTTTTTCACAAAAGTTTCCGACAAATTAGTCAGAACCGGTCGAATTGTTGCCTGTTGTTTTACTTATGTGTTCAGGGCATCAGTGGTGGAACTCACATATATCTTTGTGCAGCCTTCACTTCTCCATACGAATCTTTACCGTCACCATTGGTCGCAAACTCATCTTCATGGAGAAAACGTCAAGTTAAATAATTGAATGTAACATATGTTATGTTTGGCATTACACTTTCTTGGTAAACTACAAATTCTAGTGCACTCTCAGAGTAAGCACCTTACTACTTACACAGAGTCAAACCCATTCAGCCACCGCAGCTTCCACAAAACAGAAGTCAAGAAACTGGTAAATGTGTAAAAATTGCCGAAAGCCATTAATAGCAATGCTTTTCAGAAAGTAATCAATATAAGATATGCATTACTCTGGATAACACTTTCTCCGTGAAGTACACATTCTTGCACACCTATGCGTTGAGACCCAACCGGGATTCGAACCCAGCCAAAATGTTGTCCAACCCACAGGCCCTCGTGTCTTTGCGAGGATTAATTTAAAAAATATATATATAACAATGTGAGATGACCCCCGACTCGAAATGCTTCAAAACCAAAATCAGGGTCAAAATCGGGTTTCAATCGACATGCAGAAATAATAATAAAGAATTGGTAGGTGTGATTAGTGGTGATCGATAGGCCAATCATCCATGATTATGTTTACATTAAGTTTTAATCGATTGCATGCGATGGTAGCGTAGCGATCGGCAAAGCAGGTGGGTGGGGTGCACCGAAGTGTCCGGCCTTGTCATGATGTATTATACTCTTTTTAATCCTCGCAAAGACACGAGGGCCTGTGGTCTAACCCCGCTCTGAAATTGGGGGTTCAAACCAAAACTCAACCAATACAATAAATACAATTTGTGCGTTACAAAGGAAAGGTAATCCTAGATGCTTTTGACCACTTTATAAAAGGCTTTGTGTATTATATCATTGAATGTTTTTTTGTATGGCACACGGGCCAACCGCCGTCATATAGCTGGAATATTGCTGAGTGCGGCGTAAAATTGAACTCACTCACTACACGAGCCAATATATTTCCAGACTCTATTGAGATAACTATCCCATCAGTATGGTCATAGTGTTTCATGTCTAGCTCTTCAGCTGCATGGGTCGGAAAGTCACCCTCCCATGGCTAGCTCGTACAGCTGGGCCGGAAAGTAACCCTCCCATGACTAGCTCTTCAGCCGGGTCAGAAAGTAACCCTCCCATGGCTAGCTCTCAGAAAGTGTCAACCTCCCATGGCTAGCTCGGGGTCAGAAAGTAACCCTCCCATGGCTGGGCTCTTCAGCCGGGTCAGAAAGTAACCCTCCCATGGCTAGCTCTTACAGCTGGGTCAGAAAGTAACCCTCCCATGGCTAGCTCTTCAGCCGGGTCAGAAAGTACCCCTCCCATGGCTAGCTCTTACAGCTGGGTCAGAAAGTAACCCTCCCATGACTAGCTCTTTCAGCCGGGTCAGAAAGTAACCTCCCATGGCTAGCTCTACAGCTGGGCCGGAAAGTCACCCTCCCATGGCTAGCTCTTACAGCTGGGTCAGAAAGTAACCCTCCCATGGCTAGCTCTTACAGCTGGGCCGGAAAGTCACCCTCCCATGGCTAGCTCTTACAGCTGGGTCAGAAAGTAACCCTCCCATGGCTAGCTCTTCAGCCGGGTCAGAAAGTAACCCTCCCATGGCTAGCTCTTCAGCCGGGTCAGAAAGTAACCCTCCCATGGCTAGCTCTTACAGCTGGGTCGGAAAGTCACCCTCCCATGACTAGCTCTTCAGCCGGGTCAGAAAGTAACCCTCCCATGGCTAGCTCTTACAGCTGGGTCAGAAAGTAACCCTCCCATGGCTAGCTCTTACAGCTGGGTCGGAAAGTCACCCTCCCATGACTAGCTCTTCAGCCGGGTCAGAAAGTAACCCTCCCATGGCTAGTTTCTTACAGCTGGGTCGGAAAGTAACCCTCCATGTCTAGCTCTTACAGCTGGGTCGGAAAGTAACCCTCCCATGACTAGCTCTTACAGCCGGGTCAGAAAGTAACCCTCCCATGACTAACTCTTACAGCCGGGTCAGAAAGTAACCCTCCCATGGCTAGCTCTTCGGCTGGGTCGGAAAGTCACCCTCCCATGACTAGCTCTTCAGCCGGGTCAGAAAGTAACCCTCCCATGGCTAGCTCTTCAGCCGGGTCAGAAAGTAACCCTCCCATGGCTAGCTCTTACAGCTGGGTCGGAAAGTAACCCTCCCATGACTAGCTCTTACAGCCGGGTCAGAAAGTAACCCTCCCATGGCTAGCTCTTACAGCCGGGTCAGAAAGTAACCCTCCCATGGCTAGCTCTTACAGCTGGGTCGGAAAGTCACCCTCCCATGACTAGCTCTTCAGCCGGGTCAGAAAGTAACCCTCCCATGGCTAGCTCTTACAGCTGGGTCGGAAAGTAACCCTCCCATGTCTAGCTCTTACAGCTGGGTCGGAAAGTCACCCTCCCATGACTAGCTCTTCAGCCGGGTCAGAAAGTAACCCTCCCATGGCTAGCTCTTACAGCTGGGTCGGAAAGTCACCCTCCCATGTCTAGCTCTTCGGCTGGGTCAGAAAGTAACCCTCCCATGACTAGCTCTTCAGCCGGGTCAGAAAGTAACCCTCCCATGGCTAGCTCTTACAGCTGGGTCGGAAAGTAACCCTCCCATGGCTAGCTCTTCGGCTGGGTCAGAAAGTAACCCTCCCATGACTAGCTCTTCAGCCGGGTCAGAAAGTAACCCTCCCATGGCTAGCTCTTCAGCCGGGTCAGAAAGTAACCCTCCCATGGCTAGCTCTTACAGCTGGGTCGGAAAGTAACCCTCCCATGTCTAGCTCTTACAGCTGGGTCGGAAAGTAACCCTCCCATGTCTAGCTCTTACAGCTGGGTCGGAAAGTCACCCTCCCATGACTAGCTCTTACAGCTGGGTCGGAAAGTCACCCTCCCATGACTAGCTCTTCAGCCGGGTCAGAAAGTCACCCTCCCATGACTAGCTCTTCAGCCGGGTCAGAAAGTCACCCTCCCATGACTAGCTCTTCAGCTGGGTCGGAAAGTCACCCTCCCATGACTAGCTCTTACAGCTGGGTCGGAAAGTCACCCTCCCATGACTAGCTCTTCAGCTGGGTCAGAAAGTCACCCTCCCATGACTAGCTCTTCACAGCTGGGTCGGAAAGTCACCTCCCATGACTAGCTCTTTTCAGCTGGGTCAGAAAGTCACCCTCCCATGACTAGCTCTCTTCAGCTGGGTCAGAAAGTCACCCTCCCATGACTAGCTCTTCAGCCGGGTCAGAAAGTCACCTCCCATGACTAGCTCTTCAGCTGGGCCGGAAAGTCACCCTCCCATGACTAGCTCTTCAGCCGGGTCGGAAAGTCACCCTCCCATGACTAGCTCTTCAGCTGGGTCGGAAAGTAACCCTCCCATGGCTAGCTCTTCAGCTGGGTCGGAAAGTCACCCTCCCATGACTAGCTCTTACAGCTGGGTCGGAAAGTCACCCTCCCATGACTAGCTCTTCAGCCGGGTCAGAAAGTAACCCTCCCATGGCTAGCTCTTACAGCTGGGTCGGAAAGTCACCCTCCCATGTCTAGCTCTTCGGCTGGGTCGGAAAGTAACCCTCTTCAGTTGAGCCAGGATCGAGCCTTCACAGTGACGTTCTGACATGACATAAGACTTACCTCCATGGACACAGAAGTCACACTTGTGCTTGTCCAGCAGGTCCGTCGAGGTGCCAAACGGAATGTCCTCCACAACCTGTAACCACGATCCTACATATAGCGCACTTGTCTTCAGTGGATGTTCAGTATAAAGCAAATGAGAATATTATACCAACCTATTCCTGAACGACAGTTGTAAAGGCTCCAAGTAACTTTCTCATGTCTTTGCAGACCCATCTTCAGCCCAAGAATCCAGATCACCCCCTGTTAGCAGTCCTCTCTCAGATGTATAACTCCTCTCTCAGATGTATAACTCCTCTCTCAGATGTATAACTCCTCTATAACTCCTCTCTCAGATGTATAACTCCTCTCTCAGATGTATAACTCCTCTCTCAGATGTATAACTCCTCTCTCAGATGTATAACTCCTCTATCAGATGTATAACTCCTCTCTCTCAGATGTATAACTCCTCTCTCAGATGTATAACTCCTCTCTCAGATGTATAACTCCTCTCTCAGATGTATAACTCCTCTCTCAGATGTATAACTCCTCTCCCAGATGTATAACTCCTCTCTCAGATGTATAACTCCTCTCTCAGATGTATAACTCCTCTCTCATGGATGTATAACTCCCTCTCTCAGATGTATAACTCCTCTCTCAGATGTATAACTCTCTCTCTCAGGTGTATAACTCCTCTCTCAGATGTATAACTCCTCTCTCAGGTGTATAACTCCTCTCTCAGATGTATAACTCCTCTCAGGTGTATAACTCCTCTCTCAGATGTATAACTCCTCTCTCAGATGTATAACTCCTCTCTCAGGTGTATAACTCCTCTCTCAGATGTATAACTCCTCTCTCAGATGTATAACTCCTCTCTCAGATGTATAACTCCTCTCTCAGATGTATAACTCCTCTCTCTCAGATGTATAACTCCCTTTTGCCTGAAAGTGTTTTCACATCGCTGACACCTTGCATGGATTATCATAGTGTACCCAAGAGCCCTTCAAAATCAATAGCAGCTTTACGAAGAAAATATCAGTAAGTGATATAAAGTCGACATTTTTCTGATATATTAAGAGAGAGGTTTGATGTACAGAATGAGTAAATATTTCGACTTGCATTTTAAAAAGAGAAGAATTTGAAAGACATGTAGCCTTGTTGGGGTTTGTATATAAAGGTCATGATCAGTTTAACATAAGCTGAAGTGTACATAGAACATGGAGTTTACATGACTTGATTCAAAGACGCTAGGACAACGCCTCTCCCAGATCCTAGACTCAATTTAACTAGTGTCTTATGTTGCCAAAGAGTTAAATCTAGCATCATGTGTGATTCACCAATTCGTGACAATCTTTATTATAACGTACTCTCTTTAATTGATATTTGTTGTTTTTACAATTGCTAGTGCTCAAATACGAGTGGTAGACCTCTAAATTCAATGTTTTGCCACACTGACACATTATACGTAAACATGGTATATTTTGCCAAATTACGTACCTCGTCGACCCATCTGATAGAGCTGATCATTCTCCTTCTCTCCACCTCGGTGGTCAGCGGACGGCCTTTGTTCGTCGTGATGTCAGCTAAAACAAACTACATATGCCAATTTTCTGACCACTTCGACTTGTGGAAAGCACAATCACTGTCTAATATATTCAAAATAAATTCACTGTAACTGCGAATAGTTAAAGGCACAATGTCACCTATTTTCAACAATATTTTGGCTTAATTCAGGGCATATGCGCTCACATTAGCTTCCTACTGATGCAGTAAAGACTTATTATCGTTTACGACTTGCCTGAAACCGATAATTGAATTTATGATTGTAGCAAGGTTACCTATATATGGCAGAAACTCCAAGATTGGCTAAATGATAACTGGATTTAAATTTAAATTTCACTAGACAACAAATTCTTCTTGATTCCGTCATAAACATAACGACCCAATTAATGTGATCCTCATCCTTTCAAAAGTATTGTTTTTAATCGTAAAACATCAAGAAATATGCCAACATTTCAGTTTATTTTTGAAAGACTTACCCAATATTACAATTTAACCAAATATGCAGCTATGTTATGCCCCAGAATCGACGCTTTTTACAAATTCTGGTCGGCATGTCACAACCTGTTCAACGACTGATTTATTTTGTATTGCCATTGCTACATGCTCTGTATAACCTCTATACAGAAGTAGCCCTCTACCCTGCATGTTGGAGCCCATGTGTAACTGTAAAAATGGTATGAAAAATAAAAAACTATTTAAAAAAGCTTCCAAACACAGAACACTTGCCATTTATGGAATGTAAACAATCGCTCCGTATATCGAAAACTCTCGCAAACAGTGTTGTCAGTGTTTGCCGAACTTTTATCACAAGTTGTGCGTAGGATATTCGTAAAGTGCACTCTAAGGGACATAACTCAATGGGGTTCGCTTGGAAATACTATTCGGCCTGTAGAGGGCGCGAGAGTCGATTTAATGCAACGTTGCATTCGAACTTTTTAATTTAATATTGTAATCTAAATACGTAATTCTTTTTGGAATAGATTATATGGGAGCTTCTCTGAGGGTTGATTGTTAGTATTATTGAGAGAAACGCATTTTGTATTTTTAGAGAGGTGAGGTGAGGTGAAATTGGGTTTTACGTCGTGCTTGAGAATATTTCGCTCATATGACGACGTCCATGCGTGTGTATGTGTATGTGCGGCTGCTTGAACTACTGGGCCCAGACTTAAGCTGGTTTTATAGTGCTAGCCCACTGAGATACCATGCCGCAGTGAAGCATGAATACCCCACTCAGACACATTATACTGACTCCGAGCCAACTAGTCCTTGTTGTACCCATTAATGCCGAGCGCCAGGCAGGGACCAACAAGTACCATATTTTAACGTCTTTTGGTATGACGCGGTCCGGGATCGAACCCGCGACCTTCCGCTCTCCGGGCGGACGCTCTAACCACTACACCACGGAGGCGGTCGTATTTTTAGAGAAGTATGGTGAGACATTGTGCCTTTAAAGAGCATACAGATTTTGTTGTTCAGCGGGACGTAATATGAAAGGAAGTGTTGTATCCGTGGTATCATAAGTCGTTAATATTTAATATGGGTTCATTCAGGTTTTCGGTTACAGTACCAATATGCCTGGGGCAAGATGGCTGACGGTTAGTCGAGCATTAACTCGCACGTGAGGTTCTAGCACGTGATGCCCTTCATATATATGAAAGAGAGTTACCTCCCCTAGTACTCTATCGCGCATATACCACAGGGAGGCTGGTTGTTTTAATGACCATTTCAGGGAATGAGGGGATGTATTTTCATTTTTTCTTAATTCCCCTTATACCAGCAGCTAGACGTCGTTCATAAGGTTAGAGATCAGCCCCAGAAAACCAGACACAATGCCCAACAGACAGTAACTTATATGACTGAATCTATGAGAATCAACTAACGATTTATTATCCATATGGGCAATACAAAATTTCGGGCAATACAAAATTTCACTCTCGTTTCGTATAAGTCATATGATAAACTTGCTCGTGCAATAATCTATAAATGGGTCATTTTCAAAATTGGTAGTATTTTCTGTCCGTTCCAAATAGAAAAACTCTGTGAGTTTAAAAGGAGCTTTTTTGTTCTAGAAAAAGGTAAAGGTCATGATTTTCCCTCACCCTATTAATTACTTATGTATCAATTAAAAGGTCAATTGGTACATTTGAGCCTGCATGTTTGTATTTTTTAATAATTAAGTGTTTGAGATTTTATTTGAATAAGAATTAAATCATTTTTGAGGAGTTTGTTTTCACTGTAATAAGGAACTGAAACTCCTACTAATTTTGAAAATGGCCCATATGTTGTACAGGAAACAGTACGTACCGTCTGTGTGAAGCCCAACGACCAACTGATCCCCACACATTTTGCCCTGTCAGCAAAACATGGAAGGACACAAAGGTAAATACACAGTATGTGTTATAATCATTTTAATTCGTGTGTAATGTGTGATCTGGGACAAAGATGAGCCATACCTGAGATTCTTTCTTCTTGAAAAGCATTATCGACAATAAGATATAAACGGCAAAGTCCGGTCGGAGTCAAAGTCAAAAGCCATGGTATTATCAAGAGGAAACTGTCCATGTGTGATTCAAACTAACGATGGACGGATCCTGACACGGATAATGGATGTGGTGCTACGGACCACAGGGCTCTCATTGCGCTACCGAGAGGCAGACAAATATCATGGCCATCTAGTCGGTCAGCATTTACACAAACAGATATTCGCAATATCAGAGAATGTCTTGAATGCTGTTCTTATTAGTATAGCAGTTTCGCATTACGAATGCACCATTCTGAAGAAGATCGTAGTCCAATAACTTTGTGCAACTTGGAAGGTTATCTAGTTAGTATCCATGTGGACGGAAATACATGTACTAATGCCAAGAAAAACGAAACGAATAATGCATATATTTTCTGAATAACGTAGGGGGGGCTGTTTTCGCATGAAAATATTCATAATGTTTACTAAAGTTACGAAACTGAAACTGAGTCTTTCCTAAATATTTGCAACATTACAAAATTTAGATCATGATAGCAGGTGCTAACAAATTGAAATAGAATCAGAAACATAACAAAATTACATTTGCATGTGTATGATAGTAATCACATTTACATAAATTCGTGAACTCTTCACACGGATGTTATGTCAAACATATAAATGTTTCATGGTATAAGCCCATTTGAAGTCTCAATTCAGGAGACTTTGGCCCACTTTCACAAAGCGATCTTAGCGCTATGACTATCACCTATCTATGTTAGAGTGTGGGAGTCGCTTTGTGCAACCGAACCCTGAACATTTAACATATGCAGAAATAGGTGACACCTACCTGCCTGAGAGCGTTAGCGTGGCCAGCGTGGACCATGTCAAAGCTGCAACATGAAATCAGTTGGGAATAAGACTTGGTTGAGAGGGTTGGTGTATATTACACTGAAACCAACGGTCTCGTTTAACAGTGTAGGCTCGTTAACTGAAAGGTGTATGGACTATCACCAACAGAGTTACTCGTTGTTTGACTAACACAATACTTTGGCATTCTGGGATACACAAGATACGGCAATGCAGCCACCTTGGAAGAGATGCCTGAACAGTGCCAGATTGTGGAACCATAATTCTACCATCAGATGCTCTGGCACCAGTCATCAGTGAGAGGAGAAGAGCTGAAGGGGCTGAGGATTTTACATGTATAAAATATGTTACACCCAGTGTGTTTGTTTGTTTGTTGGTCTGTTTGTTTATTTGTTTAACGCTGCATTCAGCAATGTCCCAGCTGTATGACGGCGGTCTAAAATGATCGCCATTGGCATCAGTTTATGCAATTGAGATACAATCACAAATAACAACCAAGTCAGCGAACCTGACCACCCGATCCCGTTAGTGGCCCAGGGCTAGGTTGTTGTAGTAGCAAGGAATAGTTCCCATTGCCTTCAGCTTTCTTTCAAGCAGTCTTCTGGGTGACTGGTCAGCATGTTCGAAAACTGTTAGTCTTCCCACTTCATTATTCAGAAAGTAAGGCCAGAAATGCATGGAAAATGCTTTTGGCTTCAATATCAATATGATGAATTTGACACAAGATAAAAGCACATATATGATACATGTACGACTCTACCTAGTTGGATATTAAAGCTCAGATGAAAACATGCATTTGAAAGGTTGACTTCACAGGAGGAAACTTTGACATTCGTAAATATTCTAAGTACAAACTGTAGTTTTGAAATACAGACTATAATTATTCATATAGCCTCAACTAATTAAATTACATAAATGATTGTAAAAAGTTTTGGGTTTTTTAACATCTATATGTGAAAAAAGATGGAACTCTTGTAGTAGCTATATTCAAAATAATTACGTAATAAAGTCTTAATTCAAATCGCATAGGTAATCTTGTTCACCCATAGAAGTTTCACTTCGTGTATGAGCATTGAACTGGCAACATGCGACTTGACATCTCTGCAGAACAATTAATTTCAAATTTATACCAGTATTTCATACTGGAGAAACAAAGGAGGACACCTCTCGTCAGCTATGACAGGGTTTACTATAGAATGTGTAAAGCCCTTAATTTGACATATAGTCAGGTTTACAAACAGCACGAGGAAGGTTGAAACACAAATCAGTTACCTCAGGGGTCGTGTCAAAATCAAAACCAGGTAGGAAACAGAAACTTGATAGCTTTGACAAAGGTGTCATACGCCGTGCAGTTTATAAACTGTATGAACGCAAAATCTCACCGACGTGATGTGATCAAAGATACAATAAATGTCCTGTTGTAATTCCGTTAGAGTCCTCAAGCGGCAGTGATACTGACACTTGATATTTTGAGACGGTCCCTGACATGTACTGCCCTTGCGTTACATAACGCTGTCACCCTGTCTGCCTGTCAGGTGGGTCACAGTATAGTTTGTTTCTTAGAAGTGTTTCTACCATGGACCTGTTTCTAAGTTTTTCGATATTTTACGAATAATCATTATGATTAAGGAATGGTACATCGTGATTACTCATATGCCATATTAGGTCGAGGTTTTGAATCTGAAATATCAACCATTATAATTGCAAAAAAGCATTTTCCAATCATTTGTGGCCTTACTTTTTTTTTTAGTCTCATCACTCTCCCATCAAACGTAGAAAGGGAGCATTGAAACCACCATACCTGCTTCATACTTTGATCAGTGCATAGAGATTCACAATAACAAATACTATCCACTACACTGTTTGAAAAAGGATGACTTCAGCTTTCACTTTATGTTCAGTAATATTATAACAATTCCCGCCTTTACATTTCATGACTGACTGACTGACTGTGTTTGGTTTTACGCCGCTTTTAGCAATATTCCAGCAACATCACGGCGGGGGACACCAGAAATGGGCTTCACACATTGTACCCATGTGGGGATTCGAACCCGGGTCTTCGGCGTGACGAGCCAACGCTTTAACCACTAGGCTACCACACCGACCCTACATTTCATGAAGTTTGGGGTACATTAGATTGCGCTCTTTTCACAAAGGTTTCGAAGAGGGGCAAATGACTCGAGCTCAAAAGTTGTTTAATCAAGTTTACAACAATCAAGGCCCAAGCAACGCTTAAACAGGTTTTATTGTAGATATATGGACGACATCAGCGACGGTTCTGTCCGGTTCTGTTTCCTATTTTGACTCAGTGGCTCATTTTTCAGTCGAACTATTGATCTAATTGTATGTGGCGGGTTCCACTGGTAGCGCTGGATATGGTCCCCTATTCCCGACTAATTACTATTATTACTAATAACATAGATTCATAAACAAATGCTTATGACATTATCGGAATCGACCAGCAGCCTTCTCTTTGACATATGTATTTCTGTTCGTTATGGTCCGGTGGTTGCTGTTTTCGTCTCCTCCCTTGGTTGTCTGGTCCTGTGAACTTAAATGCTATTCTCTATATGATGATGCAGACTTTGAGGACGCTTTACGTGCATAACAAATTAGGGCTGTGTATTGGCAAATAAATTGTATACAATTTACAGCATAACAGTATGCCGTTTTGTCACTGAAGAACGATGGCAAACATTTGTTGTGGATGTAAGTATGTGTAGATTTTAATTTAAACCTTAAAGATAATCACAAAAACTTCATATATGTTCTTTCCTCAATACACCGGTTCTCTGAAACAAATATTGCAATAAGTATCGTTTGAAAAGCGTTCTGCGATATTCCGGTATACCGGTGGTACCGTGCAGTCCAGTATATAACTCGTACAATCACCTAATAACGGCATACCGGTAACTCGTACAATCACTTAATTCATGTCAGGCAACGGCATACCGGTGGTACCGTGCAGTCCAGTATATAACTCGTACAATCACTTAATTCATGTCAGGCAACGGCATACCGGTGGTACCGTGCAGTCCAGTATATAACTCGTACAATCACCTAATTCATGTCAGGCAACGGCATACCGGTGGTACCGTGCAGTCCAGTATATAACTCGTACAATCACTTAATTCATGTCAGGCAACGGCATACCGGTGGTACCGTGCAGTCCGTAAAAGCATATAACTCGTACAATCACTTAATTCATGTCAGGCAACGGCATGCCGGTGGTACCGTGCACAGTATATAACTCGTACAATCACCTAATTCATGTCAGGCAACGGCATACCGGTGGTACCGTGCAGTCCAGTATATAACTCGTACAATCAACTTAATTCATGTCAGGCAACGGCATGCCGGTGGTACCGTGCAGTCCAGTATATAACTTGGTACAATCACTTAATTCATGTCAGGCAACGGCATACCGGTGGTACCGTGCAGTCCAGTATATAACTCGTACAATTTTAATTCATTGGTGGTACCGTGCAGTCCAGTATATAACTCGTACAATCACTTAATTCATGTCAGGCAACGGCATACCGGTGGTACCGTGCAGTCCAGTATATAACTCGTACAATCACTTAATTCATGTCAGGCAACGGCATACCGGTGGTACCGTGCAGTCCAGTATATAACTCGTACAATCACTTAATTCATGTCAGGCAACGGCATGCCTATTGCATGTTAATCAGTCTCGTCAGATTTTGTATATTGTATTGGAGGGTTTGTTAAACTAGTGTGTACAACACTTGTTTTCGTTATCTAATTTAATTACAAGGATTGACTGTATATTTTTCGGATCTTTGAGGTATGAATTGAAAAACCAATGTGCAGGTTTTTGCACGGATTTCTACAGTTTTTCTCATTTATAATTCGCTTAATGGGGTTAAACTGAGTTACCATTTGGTATTGTCGCATATGTTAATTTTAGCGTGTACTAGCATGTAAATGCGTGGCTGATATGGAATCAGGTTCATTGCTGTTAGAGGGCAACACACTAACTCACATTCACCCCACGAGCGTTCCAGCAAATAGACACACCATGTTTACAATGATGCAGACTCGGTCTTCATTCTACCCTTTCTAACAAGTTGGCCCAGCGGTCTTCAGTTATGGCTATTTGAACAATAGTATGGGTCGTGCGAAATTGCTGTGACTAAAGATCTGTTCACATGGAACCCAATTTGCACATGTGTAAACTTGCACCCTAATGTATATTTACATGCGTATGCAAAAGCAAATTTGCTATGCGTTCGCATGAAGAAAGGGGTGTGTGTATTGTTAGGTGAGTAAACAACTTGTTGCCATGTGATCCTTCAGTCTCTAACCGTTGCCATGGAAGGATACCGAGGAAATTTAGGAGACAGTTCCCCTGTCACTTAAGTTTGGCTCTGATTGGTGGATGGTATCATGATAGAAGAATGTATGGAAGATTCACAGGCCAACAACCTGGTGGAATCATATCTACAGCATCCTTCTCTGTCCTTTTGGAAGTCTGATGCACGGCAAAGCAGTGTGAGAGTGACGGCAAGAATTCCCGCCAAACTTATAGATAGATCTTATGCAATTCCGGCCTATAAATTAGTTTTGCGAAAGTTTAGCTTTCTAGACATGTTTATTTTGCACACGTGTAAAGTAATTATGCGTTCGCATGGGCCAATTTGCTTACCATGCAAATTTGCACATGTGTAAAAGTATATTTACACCTGAGTCAAATCAGATGCAAATTTACTCCTAGTGCAAATTTGCACTGTGTGTGAATTGCGTCCACATGGACCAATTTGCACATGTGTATTTTATTTGCATATGTATGTATATTTGCATGGTGTGCAAATGGGTCCATGCGAACGGGGCTTGTACTTGTTACTGGTATGAGTTCTCTTACTTTTTCTAACTTCCGGTACAGGTCAGGTGAACAATTTGAAGAAGAAACAGAAATCAAGATATGCTCAACACATTTATCAAACAGTGAACATCAGTATTTAATACGCCATCTCATTGTTCATTAACATCTCATCTGAACAGTTGAACACGGACTGAATAGTTTGGTTGTCTGTAAAACTGTAAATCGGAGTTTTCACCCTGAAACCTTTGAGACAACACGGGGACTGGATACTTCAACAACGGGCAGTGTTCTTGTTATTATCAGTCTGACGGTGACTAGTACATATCAATATCATTCGATGAGGTTTCGGACAGCAGTGTTTACTCTCGCTATAAGTTGCGTCACCCAAGCATCGTAAATACCCAGATGGTGGCTTGTATTTACGATAGCCTTGTCTTTGATAAGTTAGTGACATGTTTTACAATGGTTCTCGAGGTCGTCGTTAAACCAAAAGTTTGTTCTTAAGCGTCCGAAAACCCACAGCACGAGGAAGCTTCAAACGCAGGTCTTAACGTTTCTGTAGGATATCATTTGTAACGGAAAAAAACATACTTAGTTCGGAGTTTTGCACGAGTTGTCAAGCGAAATCAAACTGAATAAATGCGCAAATCCGGCCCGCCCATACTTGTACAGTGTGAACAGGGATTGCTCTCATCAATAAACCAACCAGTTCCCAATACAGTGTCTTTATCATGACATGTTTTGACACGAAGGTATCATCAACATACATAAGCAACTTGACAAGTAACCTCAGTTCTTTATAACCAATCTTGCCCACTCACAGGAGATGACATATAGTTTTCGTTCAGTTACAAAAAATAGCATTAAATATGTACATAATAACAGGAAACCGCGAAGACTGCGTCAACTTCAAACCAAGAACAATACTGGAAAGACCTTTAACTTTAATACAAAAGTAATTTCAATATAGGCACTGCCATACGTTTACTTCAAAAAGCGACACCAGCAAGTGACATCGCGTTCAAGCGATTTCCCACTTTTACAACTTTTACACGCCAATATTATTGCAGTGATTTCGTTCAATGTCACTATCAAGACGAGCCAAAATGTCTGTTTCATTTCGAGTTCCATATTGAGACCTATGTTACCACTCCAGTACCATTTTTATATACTAACTTGATACATCGGATTGCAATGCATTCCCGAGCACTAATTATTGTTTAAACACAATTTAAATCTCACCACCCATCCATCCAGACACGTACAGGCTTTTACCCCGACATCCCGGTATTCCGTCTTCTCGGGGAACGCAGCAACAGGTGTGTACGGGGTGGTTGGTGTGTACAGAAGTGAGTGAGCCCGATGATGTCATGCATTTAACTAACTAATCTGTATTCTAACAATCTGACTCCACTAACGCAGTAGAACTCATTAATATGGAAATGTAAGCATTATTTCAGACGCAAGTAGAATATTGGGCGGCAGTAGGGGAGACCGGGGTCAATTTGTAACACTTTTATATATTATATATTTTGTATATTAGTCTGTACTGTGCTATTTGACTAATATTGCTTGGCAGCACTACAAGGGTCTGTATCAAGCAGGATCGCAAAGACGTTGCCATCAACAATACATCTTGCCTTGAATGTTACCAGGGAGACTATATAACGTAGATTATCCCTGATGTTACTTACCAACCAACCAATCTGTTCGTTCATTGATCCACGCATATATTTCGCATCAACTCAGTACCAAGCATCGACAGTCACCAGACAGTTTTACAACTTCAAATTTTGTATTTAAAAAATGTTTTAGAGGGCCTCTGCGCGGTCTCTTGTCCAATTCTAGACTAATTCTTGTTCTTCAAACACTTTTACGTGTGCAGATAAGGCAGAAAGACGTAAGTTCAGAAGATATTTCTTCACTTACTGTGAGTCTAGTTTCAGCACGTACGTATGATTCAACTCACGTTGTCCCACTCCCAACCCACATTTACCTGTCTGCTTTTGAATGAGCGGATTTGTTCAGGTGTCGGTAACCTGCAACATTGAATCGTTCCCATTATCAACTTTCATTTTGCAGATAAAAGAGTTTCCCCAAGCTGATCTCAACACTCAGTTTATGGTGTAACTTCAAAAGTGTGTTAGTGAAACAAAAACTACAACCCCATAACAAAGACAATTTAAGACACTCAAGATGGCAAGGCCACGATTGTGGTCACACTTGTCTTCTACGTTTTGTCAAAGTAAGCTAATGGCAATCATAAAATATTGAACCAGCATTTAGTTCAAAACAGGCTTTCATACGTCTCAGTAAGTCAATATCAGTTTGTGTGCAGAATTCACGGTTCTGTATCACTGAGCTGTTGCAATGGATACAGCTGTGTTTTGTTTCTTTGGGGTGTACATATTCTTCAGTGTCGTGTGATTTTAAATAACAATACAAAATAATATTTCATTTTTTATTTTCACAATTTTCTAATTGTTTGATAAAAGACACCACAGACAACCTTAAAATACAAGATAAGATCTAAAACATCACATATGTTATCTGGGGTTATTGACATTCTTCACACATGATGTACGTAATAATAGAACTATTCATAAAATATTATGAGGCAAATAACGTAAAAATCTGCTTATTATTAACATACATCAAGTGGATCACTTGCAAGACAAAAACATAGGTAAAGACAGATATGATATACACAGTGAAAATACTTTCTTAACTGATCTCTGTCAACACTATTATACAGCCAATGTTGGTCCTTGTAACACACTGGCAGGGCTGATAGAAGGAAATTGCGTAAAACAATTAGCTATTTACAATTTCTTTTTAACAATGGCAACAATGATGACTGAACCTGTGTAGATATGTACATCCTATACCATGGACAGTCCATCCCACTGACGTAAGTTGTGGGGTATATTTTGTTTCATCTTTTGCTACTGTTGAGGTTCAACAGAGGTAAATCTAGGCTCATCAGCTTACCACAAACCCACTATATCTGTCTGAAAACATTGGTATCTCTGAAGTATGGTAGGACTGTTATTGAAATAAGCTGACCAAACTGTATTTCTCAAAACGTTTAGCATGTCCATCAAACAATTTGCTACCTAAGGCAAAAATCCATTTTCAACATTTTCTGACAAATATGTATTAAACAAAATCCTTCATGCACAGAATATCTAATTGTCTGTCTTTTCATAAATATGCTACAAGCCCACAAGTTAAAGCACACTTGATATTTTCATCATATGACTATAGTTCATACGTCATGGCAACCAAACTTTAGTGATATGAAACAATCAGGTGACATTTTACCCATTTGAGTAGGAAACATACATTAAATTGGCCCCGACATGCGAGGTAAACATTACACTGTATCGGACAACAACTTGAGCTGCAAGATCTACTATCATTGTCAGGAGTTGAGGACAGTAATGAGGTTTTCAAGCTACTGAGTGAGTGAGTGAGTTGGGTTTTACGCCGCTTTTAGCATTATTCCAGCAATATCACGGCGGGGGACACCAGAAATAGGCTTCACACATTGTACCTATGTGGGGAATCGAACCTGGTTCTTCAGCGTGACGATCGAACGCTTTAACCACTAGGCTACCCCACCGGCCCTTCAAGCTATTGTGTCATGCAGCCCTCTGTAGCTCTGTCTGGCTAGTGGTTTGTTTATCGTAGTTGATGCTGACTATTGTGTGAAACATTACAGATGGATGCTTCTAGTCATTTCGGTGTGAAAATATGCTACTCAAAATAAGTTACACAACACCCAATTCTTTTACATGATTGATCATGTTGATCATTTACATAGTTGATCTGGCATTGCCATGGTAATAAATTATAATTATGTGAAGAATATTGGTGAAGTTAAAGAGCACCAAGCGCTTTGACATGATTACAATAGATGGAAAAGAAATCATAAACATGTGAATGAAAAATACTGTGTGCTCTTCAACTTAAATTGAGTAGCAATTATTCTGAAACATCATTTGTAGCAGATAATGTCATATTTGTTTGGTTGTCATAGCAATCTCCATAAACAGCTTTCTCACAGTCATAAATACTAGTAATCTCCATTGAATTTGATTCAAAAGTATTCTTTTGTCTTCAGAAATCACTGACATTTACATCTTCAAGACACTCCTGTGCGAAACCACATCTACGCCTTATCCTAATATCAAATCGGTACTCTGTCTTATTCTTTAATATATCACGGGGATGACTCTATGGAATATATTAAACCATGGACAACTTTGAAACTATACTAAGAGTTGATTCCTTAGAAAATTCATGTATTTGCAAGATCTGTTTAGAATAAAATCACCAGTGAAACATAATATTGAACACAATCATTGGCCATCTCATGAACACATCTGTTCTGAACCCATGTAATACCCTTGATATCCCTCTGTGACAAGTGGTTGTAAGGTGAGCAGTATATACGATCATTATGCTATATATCAGTGAGAGGCAAGACTGGGGGAACTGTGTCTGTGTGCATTATCCACTGGCATTCTTTATGTGTTCATAGATTTTTCTTTCCTTTTCTTCCTTCTTCTTGTTGCGGGACTCATACTCCAGCCTGAAACAGTAATGTGTCATGTAAACCTAGACCTGTGGTCAGATTTAGGGCTCCCTCCAAAAAACAATTGTGCAACCAAAAGTCTTTGTAAATGTAACGGAGTGCAACAGGACCAGTGGTAGGATTGTTTCCCTTTATCATAGCCATATGTCTGTTATAAGATTTATAACATGTGTGGTCACACACTGTGGTCTGACCGAGTCCCATCATCGACTTCATGGATGATGCTCAGGCTTCGGTCAGTGGTCTGTACATCCCAAATCATTACTTAACATGTTTTTGTGATATACTGGGAAAACTGCTGGATATGGGGTAAAGCAACATTCACTCACTCACTCACTCACAAACACCAGCCTGGCCAGTATCATACCTTGACTACAGGTGTTCTCGTGTCACAGCCAACACTCACACTATCACAACATGCACATATGTTAGTTCTACTGTTGTACAGCTTCTCACTCTGCAATAATCCAGCTATAAGATGCTTGTCTCTAAATAATCAAGTCTGAACCAGACAATCCAGGACTGACTTATAAGAGCAATGTCCTACGACACAGAATCCCACAAGTTTCACCATCAAGTTTAATCTATTGCCAGGAAGTATAGGTATCTGGGGCTTGTCCTCCATGTTCCCAGGACACAATATGAAAGCCAGTGTGGGGAACCAGCTTGGATTTCATCACGGACCTCTGATTGTAATCAGTGTTTATGATTGGTTCATGATATTTGCTGTACTTCAATATAAATGTCAAAGAGCATAGTTTTAAAAATCTTACTTCCTGACAACGGTATAAGAATTCATACTGAAACATCGCATCATATACAATAGAGAAGTTGTTGTCATCCATAAAATATCTTACTTTCTTCTTACTTCCAGAAATGAAAATCTGAAATATCAGTTAAGTTTGTTTAAAGTCAATCATGGAAACTTGCAAAACTAAACATTGCATCAATATATGACAAGCAATTGAACACTGACTGTGATCCTCAGAACATACACAACAAGACACACCTTCTCTGTCACAGAATGATTACCTACCTGTGTTTGATGATTCGTTCAATGATCATCTGTGTTGTTAGTTCATTCTTGCTATCTATCAGTTTAAACTTTCCTTGCCTCTTAGGTTCCTGAAACAAGGTATCATTTATTTGTAACATATTTGCGTACGTCAAATCTATGTAAAATAGAAACATATAGTCAGCATGAGCATTCTAATCAGCCAATCGGCAATGAAACTTCTAAATTCTAAGTGCAAAAACAAATGAAGCATTTCTGGCAGCACATGTAATTCCTGTCTGTTGTTTGTTTGTTTGTTTGTTTATCGACGCACTCAGCAATATTCCAGCTGTATGGCAGTGGTCCATAAATATTCCAGTCTGGACCAGACAATCCAGTGATCACCAGAATGAGCATCAATCTACGTAATTGTGATACGATGACATATGTGTCGACCGAAGTCAGTGATCCTGACCACCTTCTTATGACAAGCATGAAGACCAGTTCCAACCTGGATCTTCATAGGTTCGTAATTCCTGTCAACAGTGAACATGAATGGGTATTTCTGAGTTGAAATGGATGTGAATATTCACCATGTCAGCTCTGAGAACCATGGATGTAGGTCAGTAATGTATGAATGTTAATGTAGCGTTAAGTTGGCATACAGCTCAGTGGGAGCTGAGGTGAGAACAAACAGTACTGACAAACTGTCATCTCAATATTCTGTTCAAATTACCGTATTTCCTCTAACAACACTGGGTCTCTAATAAGTGACAGGGGTAAAGCACCGGTTTAAGAAATAAGCGCCAGGTCTCCATTAAGCACCAGATACATTTTTCATGAATGTATTCTCCCTTGATAGATGTATTAAGGAATGATCCCTTTAGTCATAACTTCCTGTCCTCCACATGGCACGGGTTAATGGATATTATGTAATCGTCGAAGTTGCAATGAGGTGGTTTCATGTATATAAATATGCATGGGGTCCGGTGCTAGTTGAATTTTTACGGATCAAACTAGATCCTGGTAATAAGTGCCGGGTCCCAAATAAGCGCCAGGTCTGGAAATCTGTTGAAAAACTAAGCACCCGGCTGCTCCCTTATTAGAGGAAATATGGTAACTGAAATATGGTATTGAATGTACATTACTGATGATTTCACCTCCCATCAGTTGGATTGAAATCATGTCAAATGGAAGGCGATGTCACTCGGGACAAAGCAGTCTCCTACTGAATTTACAAGACAAACAGAGATGACACTTACCGCGAAGGGATCAGATCCATCGATGTCTGGCATGATGGGCGTCATCCCGTGGCACACCATGTCGACCTGGAATCAGGGCAAGACTTCATCAAACCAGCAGTAATAATAAACAATTTAATACTGATAAAGCACTTTATCATATATCTATCAGTCATGACTTCCATTCTGCATGAAGTTTGAGTTTATATTACATCTCTTTTCAAACTGTTTATCTTGACCTGCTTAGTGGACAATACTGCAGCAAATATCAGCCAATATTCCCAAATTTGAATCATACAATTCCCAATTCATGTTATCAAGTAACAGCTAATGTTATGTTTTTCCTTCCATCATAAGGTATCTGGTTGCTTGTACTTATCAAGACTCATGTTTTTTATAGTGTTATCCCTCTGAAATACAAAGTAGAAGTAAAACAATAATGCTCTACCTTGACTGACTCTAGGCATACTGCTTTAACCCTTCAATACCAAGTGCCAGGCTACAACATGTGGCATCTGTTTACAACTTTCTTATGATGCATCTAGGGATCTCACCACCTATCGTCGCTCCATGAGCAGATACTCTTTTCACTTTTTTATGTGAAAGAAAGCCCCGAAATGATGTCAAAAGTAAACCCTGCTTCTAAGTTGCTGGGTATATGCTGCTGGGTAGATGAAGGATCTTTATTTTGGCATCTAAACCCAAACACAGCAAAGGATTCAGCTCTGCATAGTAAGATGCTGTAATATAGGCCCTGGGCAGTTGCTGTTGGGACTTTAGGTTACCTGAAGATTATCAGTACCCTCAAGATGCTGAAGTCAAACTCACCTTGAAATGATTCATGAGATCCTTGGTGACAGCAAAGGGTGCTCCTATCACAACCTCCGACACATACTGAAACATGGATCAAACCTTTGTCAGTGACAGCACACAATGATCCTATCACAACCTCTGACACGTACTGAAGCATGGATCAAACATTTGTCAGTGACTGATGCATGGACAATCACGGAACAAATACATGGAAAAGGAAGCAGATTGTGCACCGTAGAATAGATTCGGTTGTCCTGGCTCCAGTGTTAAACATTGCCAAGACAGGCTACACTCTCGAACTGATCGGGTTAATCAGAGAATAAAGAGAACTACCCAGGGAATAATGCAAACTATGGTATGACTGAAGGAGTTTTGGTTAAACACCCACCGTAACTTCAACAAGTCCTGTTGACTACTTTGTGGAAACAGTAGCAGTTTGGTATAGACAGACTGATAATCAGAATGGATGTTTTCAACCCACAAACATCAATTCATGGCACGGAAAAGGTTGCCAAGTCAACACCATCATCTGTAACACCTCTGGCCACAGAGCCATCCTCCTTATGCGTGAGAAAATGGTTTTACTTGGCTTATTAGCAACATCTTAGCAATATCACAGCAGGGGACATCAGACACGGGCAAATACTTTAACAAGTAGGCACTGCAAGTGAAACATCTTTGTTCTGTGTTGCCCATAAAGTCCTCACCTTGCAAGCCAGGACACTGAGAGTCCTTTCATGTAGGTTCATTATCGGATAGTTGGACCCTTTGTATCTGTTCACAATCTGCAACATTCAATAAACACAACTACAATCAAAGTAAGAATTACTTGAAAACAATACAAGAACCTGTATCAAAACATCATGCTCTAGAATAAAAGAAGTTGTCATCCATATGCACAATATTTACATTCTGATACATATTTAAGAGAATTATCCAGCATTTTAGCCAAGGCTTGTGTCAGTTTCAAAAGACAGGTTTCCAATGCAGTTTGGGTGTTTTGTAATGGTGACACATTTCAAACATTAGAATCCACCCGTTTCTTTACATGGTTGATTGTAGTTGTCTTCTTTGAGGGGCATTTTTAGAAGTTGGAAGTCAGATAGAACAAGTATATTTAAAATATGTATTTTAAACTCAGGTTGTAAAGTTTAGATGTATTTAGTATTTATTGATAGTGGCTACTGGAAATCTGTTCCAAGAAAAATCCCAGATTTGTATAGTGAAGAGACAAATTGCTCTGAATTTTCATCAAATCATTTTCAAAGACGAATCTGTTTTCCAGCTTTACAGAACATAAACCAAAAGGTGGTCTCAGGGTGGACAGTTTGTGAAAAGGTTCCAGAAGCTGTCACCGAAGCTGACAGTGCATGGCAGCATTTCTAAATGGGAATTACGCTTTAGTTCATGTGAAGGGTAATATCAACTAAAATACACTCAGATTCTTCAGTGGTGACTCCTGGAATCTGCTGGTGGTGAAAGTGGTGTCAAATTTATGTTGCAACAAGACAATGCCTGTGCACATGCATAAACAAAAGGTTACTGTGCTTGATTTTCACTTAACATGACTAGAACCCCACTGAGAATGTGTGGCAGTGTAAGGACAATAGTGAAAAAAATGGAAATCTGATGTGTGGGCGACTTGGCTGGATCTACCCCAAAATAGACAACTTCATTGACAGTATGCAGAGATGCTTGTGCTTGCATCAGTGTACTGAGAAAGAGAGTGCCTCAAATGACTGTTAACTTAACCTGTCACCATTGTAAGTTGCATATCCATGTGAATATGAAAAAAATGAAATTGATCTAGACACAATTTATAGATAGGACAAGCTTGTGAAGTATTCTGGATGTTTTTGCACAAAGCTGTACTTCAACTGCTACTTCAGTTGCATGCAACTGATTTCATATTGAGGAGTTACACTCACAGGGTCTGTGTGGAGTCCAACAATCAAGAAGTTGCCCTCAGCTGCAGCTTTTTCCAGGAAATCAAGATGGCCGACATCTTCAAGGTTGTCAAGGACAAGTATAACCATCGCTCACATTGTCAAAAAATATATAAAGAAAACTTACCCTCTTTCATTCTTACCATTAAGTCATTGACTTCTCAAATTAATGTACGATCTGATGAATTTATTTAAATTTTGGCTACATTTTGGTAGAGCTTAAATTCTAAAGTCATCTTGTCTGTGGTACCAAAATTGTCAATGACAAACTAAATCATTATTTCAAATTTTATTCTAATTTCTCAATCTTTTGATACAAATAAATCATTAATGGTTTGGTATGATCTATTTCAGTTAGCCAATCAGAAAGATTCCAGTGGTAGCCTAGCGGTTCCGCTCATCATGCTGAAGGCCCGGGTTCTATTAACTACACGCATCAGGTCCATGAAACCCATGTTTGTCTCTGTCGAGGGATATGGCTTAGAGTAGGTCACCAGCAACTTATGGTGGGCGACCAAACAGATCGGTTGTCCACGCATTCTGGATGAATGTTATTCTTGGTTGACACCGTGTATCTTTGTATCATTATTTACAGGCTGGTGTCAGAGTCAGCATCCAACATTAGACCTGTCAACCAGCAAAGGATACGGAAGAGATCATAGGCTCCAGATACATAGACAATCTTATCCCCAGGGGCCGGTTCCTTGCCCCCAGCAAACTGAATGATCTTCCTGGATGTGGGCAGGAACTGTGACACTCCAGTCCAGGGACTGTGAGAGGATGAGTCCTGGAAGGAAAGAATAAACAGTTTCATATAAAACACCCATGATATATTTGAAACTTATTTTTTGAAATCTGACACAAGTAGCCCAAACGCTTGATAAATCTGAATCTAAAAATGACATATTTACTTCTCAATCTTTGTGTATGGATTTCCTCAATAGTAGGTATGATGTGGGAACAAGTGTTACTTCTTACAGTTAACATCAGCAGCACTGGTGTTGAATACAGTTTGAATATACACTTTACTATCAACGGATAAAACAGCTACACCATTTCTGCTGTTTTATCAAAAAGAAATGTTCTGTGTTAGATGGTAAAAAATCACTCAGTTTAATTCAATAGAATATGCCTGCTGATTAAAATACATTGCAATAAAACAACATAATTTAAAGAGAGTCTGACAATGACTAGCCATTAGCTCATTGTTAAATGGATGCTTTAATGCCAAGCTCAATTTCAGAAGTGATATAAGGCTATGATCCTGATGAACATGAAAAGGGATGATTTTTAGAATCTGAACTTATTACAATGTTGATATATGATTATAAGAAATTATTTCTAAATCTACAAATTAGTTCTAATTTTTTTTTAAATTATGCATATATATGTAAAATAATTTTAAGATGAGTCTGAAAACCAAGTTTTTGATGGCTTTGAAAGCAGATAATTTAACAATCTGTAAACTAGATAAAACAATATATATGTTTGTAAGTACCATAATTTAAGTACAAGCTTCAATCAACTGTCAAAATAATTGCAAAATTGGTTATGACTTTAAGAACTATTAATCGATTATGAATGAGTGTTGCAGAAGGAACCCCAGTCCATCGCTCTGTCTCTGAAATTGTATTACTTTGACAGGAACAAGCAACAAGATCGAAACTGAAAATGAGCCCCATTTTGATGGGAGAAGCTGCAGAAAATTTTGACTTGCTTCATTTAGAGCTATAGCATTCAATAAAGCATTGGGCAGTAGGAAAATGATATGGTTTAGGGATTGTAAGACAGGTTAAGGTGCGACCTTGGATGGCCCTCTCAAACAGAATCCCTGTTGGAATCAAACCCAGGACCAGTACATGTTTAAACACTAGGCCCACTACACCATTTGTCCCACCAGCTGGCTTGTGGCAGGAATTAAGACCTTTTTTCTCATCTTCTTCTTCCAAGTGAGGTTTAAATGGTCTGTTACAAGTAATGAAAGGTAAATGGCATACATTGTGTACAGGAAGGAGATTAGTTCTTGTTGTTTCCTGAAAACCACTCTCCAGGTATCATTGCTGCCACCAGTGAATGTAGATGTTACTAGAATCTTGGATGCTTTCCTCCAAACCCCAAACATGCCAAACATGCTGCATTCAGAGTATGTTTGTTTATTAGATTGTTTGCCTGTGAACTTTAAAAATAGTTTATGTTCACTTACCAGAAGGATTTGAAATCATTCAATCAAGTTTAAGTCTTTCAGGTATATGACAAGCACTGAACTTCTCACTCACATGTTAATCCCACAGACTGCGTGAGAGATTAAATACACTTTCAAACAGGAAACATATAAAACAATTTATCAAGAAGCAAGTATTTCTGCTTCATTTGTTGGTTAACATTACCGTCAGTCGGTTCCAAGTTCATGTTCAATGTTATGGGCCATATTCAGGCACAGGAAACCTGTAGCAAACTGCAGCGATAGTATACATAGTTAATCACTGTGAGAAGCTTTGCTGTAGGCTGTCTAGCACAGTACAGACCAGTCATTGGTGGCAGTGATAGTATACAGTGCAATAAAACACTTTATCACTGTGAGAAGCTTCACTGATAGGCTGCAATAAACCACTTTATCACAGTTCAGAGCTGTCATTGGTGGCAGTGATAGTATACAGTGCAATAAAACACTTTATCACTGTGAGAAGCACTTCAGAGCTGTAGACTGTCTTTAGCACAGTTCAGAGCTGTCAGTTCAGAGCTGTCATTGGTGGCAGTGATAGTATACAGTGCAATAAAACACTTTATCACTGTGAGAAGCTTCACTGTAGACTGTCTAGCACAGTTCAGAGCTGTCATTGGTGATACTTTTATCAGTAGCTTCTTATGTAGCTTCACTGTATGGTAGCACAGTTCAGAGTCATTGTGGCAGTGATAGTATACAGTGCAATAAACACTTTACTTTATCACTGTGAGAAGCTTCACTGTAGACTGTCTAGCACAGTTCAGAGCTGTCATTGGTGGCAGTGATAGTATACAGTGCAATAAAACACTTTATCACTGTGAAGAAGCTGTTGGCACTGTACTGGTGTAGACTGTCTAGCACAGTTCAGAGCTGTCATTGGTGGCAGTGATAGTATACAGTGCAATAAAACACTTTATCACTGTGAAGAAGCTTCACTGTAGGCTGTCTAGCACAGTTCAGAGCTGTCATTGGTGGCAGTGATAGGACATACAGTGCAATAAACCACTGTATCACTGTGAGAAGCTTCACTGTAGACTGTCTAGCACAGTTCAGAGCTGTCATTGGTGGCAGTGATAGTATACAGTGCAATAAAACACTTTATCACTGTGAGAAGCTTCACTGTAGACTGTCTAGCACAGTTCAGAGCTGTCATTGGTGGCAGTGATAGTATACAGTGCAATAAAACACTTTATCACTGTGAGAAGCTTCAGTGTAGCACAGTTCAGAGCTGTCATTGGTGGCAGTGATAGTATACAGTGCAATAAACCACTTTATCACTGTGAGAAGCTTCACTGTAGACTGTCTAGTGACAGTTCAGAGCTGTGGTGGCAGTAGATAGTATACAGTGCAACAAACCACTGTATCACTGTTCACTGTAGCTGTATAGCACAGTTCAGAGCTGTCATTGGTGGCAGTGATAGTATACAGTGCAATAAAACACTTTATCACTGTGAGAAGCTTCACTGTAGGACTGTATAGACAGTTCAGAGCTGTCATTGGTGGCAGTGATAGTATACAGTGCAATAAAACACTTTATCACTGTGAGAAGCTTCACTGTAGACTGTATAGGACAGTTCTAGCATTGTGGTGGCAGTGATTATCACTGTGAGAAGCTTCACTGTAGGCTGTATAGCACAGTTCAGAGCTGTCATTGGTGGCAGTGATCACTTGATAAAGGACAGTTCAGAGCTTCATTGGTGTGATGATAGTATACAGTGGCTGTGAGAGTCACATTGCACAGTCAGAGCTGTCATTGGTGGCAGTGATAGTATACAGTGCAATAAAACACTTTATCACTGTGAGAAGCTTCACTGTAGACTGTCTAGCACAGTTCAGAGCTGTCATTGGTGGCAGTGATAGTATACAGTGCAATAAACCACTTTATCACTGTGAGAAGCTTCACTGTAGACTGTCTAGCACAGTTCAGAGCTGTCATTGGTGGCAGTGATAGTATACAGTGCAATAAAACACTTTATCACTGTGAGAAGCTTCACTGTAGGCTGTCTAGCACAGTTCAGAGCTGTCATTGGTGGCAGTGATAGTATACAGTGCAATAAAACACTTTATCACTGTGAGAAGCTTCACTGTAGGCTGTCTAGCACAGTTCAGAGCTGTCATTGGTGGCAGTGTTAGTATACAGTGCAATAAAACACTTTATCACTGTGAGAAGCTTCACTGGTAGCAGTGATAGCAAAGCAAGATATGTCTTTATTGTGAAATATTGTCATCAATAAACAAGAAACAAAAACGAAAATGCTTAACTATTCTGGATGAGTCCTGTGAAAGTTGTGGTAATAGGTTGATAACAATGAGGACAGTTAGTTTCAGAAGGAGTACAGGATTATATAAATCACATGTCAGTATGGTGAACGTATATACATTTTGTGTCTGAGCGGATGAAAGTACTGAAAGCAATCGTATGAGGGTGTGCAGGGTGAGCCCCAAACCAAGAACAGACATACACTGACTGTTGTGACTCAGTACACTTTACACATTCCAGGTCAACATGCTGAACATTTGGTGTTACTCTATTCAAGACAGTATAGAACGTGCAACATTACCATCAGGGGCAAAATGACACTTCAGAAAGAATGTACCCTAGTCTGTACAATACCATGAAGTACCAAAGTTACTCTGTACATTGGAAATTACTGATAAGCCCTTTTTTTGTTGGTTTACATGTCCCCAAAAATCAAACAGTTTTTATCTTCCACAATTTTACTGCTACTTAAGAATTAAACACAAACATGTAGGTCACACTATCAGGGAAGCATGGTTTCCATGGTGATTACTCACAATTTCCTATCAACAGTGGGGATAAGATATTGTGGAGGGTTTCATGTAACATTTTTTTAGTTGGCCCCAAAACACTGTCAAAATTCTTTTTCGTTTTAGCAAGTTTCAGGGTGGACAACGTAAACCAGCTGAAAAAATAGACCGCCTTGTTTGGGCCAAATTACACTGAAACATTATAAATACAAAGTGTCGGACCCAGGGGATATGTTGGGAAAGTAACGAAACAACTTAAGCCGTTTTATAACATAACTTGATCCACCAATTTAAGCTGTAGCTCGAAATATTGTTTCTCCTTTTCGAGTCCAGGTTTTAAAGTAAACAATAGGCGTAAGACCCTGCAAACCCCCACAACAAGCCGTGCAGCAGACGCCAGCATATCACAATACTTACACTGGCATTATCCTAGCAAGTTACCACCCATGTGAATATGGCCATACATAAAAACAACGAAACAATTATTGCATTACATTGCAAACCTGCAGGTAAAGCACAGTACACCAGTATGTCATGTAACCAGTACTGTGTACATCAAGGTATGTGCATGTCAAGGTAAGGTAGAAGTACCACTACTAGTGCAAGGACTTGGCATACTACAGTCCGTTTGAGACAAAATGATACCGTTGTATTGCAATCTAACACAAAAACAAATAGACAGAAAAGAATCAAACCAACATGCAATAAAAACAACAGACCAACTCTAGAAAAAAATTGCATAATTTTTGTCACAAAAATAAAAAAGTTGTTTAAGAAACTGTCGTCATTTATTTGTGCGTTTTCCCAGTTTGTTACAAGGGTGCAGTGGCAACTAAAGGAACAGCGAAAAGCGAGATGCACGTGCATTAGTGACGTCAGAGACATGTGATTACTGCTGATTGACAAAGTGAGAGAAAATGAAAGTCTATAATTTACAAAGTCTATGATTTCTTCAAGGATGAAAATGACAGGGGGTGACCCCAGTATGCAATTACTAAGTACATACAGCTCACTGCCTGTGCAGCTGGGGTACGTGTCATCTTGCATGCTCAAAAATGTGTTGAGAACCCGTTAACGCACGTGCATCTCGCTTTCCGCACTTTTCCTTTAGTTGCCAATGCGCCCTTGTAACAAACTGGGAAAACGCATAAACAAATGATGACAGTTTCTTAAACAACTTTTTTATTTTTGTGACCAAAATTATGCAAATTTTTTCTAGAGTTGGTCTGTTGTTTTTATTGCACTCCGCGTTGGTTTAATTCTTTTCAGTCTATTTGTTTTTGTGTTAGACTGCAATTCATCGGTATCAATTTGTCTCAAACGGACTGTAGACATCTCATGAGTCTCCCCAGCTTCGATACGCTTTCTCTTCTCACCTGCATGCAATTTGGTGTTTTATCCACAGAAGTAAGACGACAGCGATCACACTTTTCATTGTGCACAAGACTTTGCACTCTAACAACCAATCAGAAATGTAGAGGGTATCGCAATGCGTCAATGCTGCTATTTTTAGCCTGGGCTTTCCAAAACTGCTATTTTTTACTTGACAACACCTTGATGTCATTGTGAAAATGTAATCTTTTTTGAGGAGAAATACAATTGACAGAAGTAATCAGAAAATTTATTTCAAAATTTGCCAGACACAATGACTGGCAATTGATGACCTTTGAAATTACCAGACATTCTAACTTTGTACCGGTCAAAGTCTGGTATACACCAGATAACGGAAACACTGAATTGCAATATTATCTAAACAATGTAGAGTCACCAAATGTCTGAAATATGTTTGTTCACTGCTGATCAATACATGTTAAGCTTGTTGTGTATGGTGTTCATAAGCTTCTTTCAAGCACACATGAGACACATGTGAAGCATATCGTCAAGCACATATGAACATCATGTGACATATGAAGCACATGTCAACACATGACATATGACCATCATGAGACATGTCAAGCACACAACACATGCATGGCCTGAGACATATGGCAAGCTCATGTCAAGCACGCATGAAATGACTATCATCAGACACATGTCAAGCACACAACACATGCATGGCATTAGATATGTGGCAAGCACATGTCAAGCACGTATGACATATGACTATCATCAGACACATGTCAAGCACACAACACATGCATGGCAATAGATATGTGGCATGCACATGTCAAGCACGCATGACATACGACCATCATGGGGCAAATGTCAAGCAAATGTTAAGCAAATAGGGCTGGGACTCAATACTTGTGTAACCAGGTCGGTTAAATAATTTTCACTACCCGGGTCCTGAATAAAATACATGGACCATCATGTGACTGGTCATGAGTTGCTGATAGTCTGATACGGTATTAATCATAAAAATGAAAACGACAAAAATGCAGGGTTTGAGTTACACTGTTGATGAGTGGTGCATGTAAGCAATGCTGTGTCTCTCTCAACCAATCAACGCCATTCATAGCTTCACTGACCATGCTGCCGAGGACTTGGCAAAACACTAGACTTGAAGCAAATATCATTTTAACAACTTCAATTCATCCGTGAATGAACACCACTATAACCAATTTAGTTAATAATTACTTTGTGATAATAATTACTTAATTCATGAAATTTCCAGTTTATAGAGTTGGGTACTCAGGTCCAAAAGTTCAACCCGTCCCAGCCCTATAAGCAAACATGACATATGAGCATCATGAGACACATGTCAAGCACATGTTAAGCACACATGACATTTACAGAGCAGGTGCCAGATCCCCTTCCCACACTCGTGCTACTCACAGAGCTGATTGTCCCAACATGGGAGGATGCCACAGCTTCTCCCTCGTCAGGCTGATGGTGAGTCTTTGTTACCAGCAACATCCTGTAACACAAACATAGCAAGTCAAATACTGCTTCACACAGAGTCTTTGTTACCAGCAACATCCTGTAACACAAACACAGCAAGTCTAATACTGCTTCACACAGAGTCTTTGTTACCAGCAACATCCTGTAACACAAACATAGCAAGTCAAATACTGCTTCACACAGAGTCTTTGTTACCAGCAACATCCTGTAACACAAACACAGCAAGTCTAATATGCTTCACACAGAGTCTTTTGTTGCAACATCCTTCAGTCATCACACAGAGTCTTTGTTACCAGCAACACCTGTAACACAAACATAGCAAGTCAAATACTGTTTCAACATCCTGGAACTTTGTTACAAACATAGCAAGTCAAATACTACTTCATGCTTCACACAGAGTCTTGGTTACCAGCAACATCCTGTAACACAAACATAGCAAGTCAAATACTGCTTCACATCCTGAGTCTCTTTGTTACCAGCAACATCCTGTAACACAAACATAGCAAGTCAAATACTCACACAGTCTTTGTTACCAGCAACATCCTGTAACACAAACAACACAGTCAAAAGTCACACATCTGTTACCAGCAACATCCTTCACAGCAAGTCTAATACTGCTTTACTACAGTCTTTGTTACCAGCAACATCCTGTAACACAAACACAGCAAGTCTTTGTTACAGTCTTTGTTACCAGCAACATCCTGTAACACAAACATAGCAAGTCAAATACTGCTTCACACAGAGTCTTTGTTACCAGCAACATCCTGTAACACAAACACAGCAAGTCTAATACTGCTTCACACAGTCTTTGTTACCAGCAACATCCTGTAACACAAACACAGCAAGTCAAATACTGCTTCACACAGAGTCTTTGTTACCAGCAACATCCTGTAACACAAACATAGCAAGTCAAATACTGCTTCACACATAGTCTTTGTTACCAGCAACATCCTGTAACACAAACACAGCAAGTCAAATACTGCTTCACACACCATGAACAACTAGCTTCATACAAAACTAGTGAAATTTAAGTGTGTATGGTTTAACACGGCTTCGAAACAAATTCTATCCCATTGTGTCCAAGACACAACTCGAGTGAACCCACAGGTTGGATGTTGGTGCTGACTAACTGGTGTGGGGAATCGAACCCGGGCCTTGGCGTGACAAGCTTCTAGGCTACCCCACCCCACCCTCTGGTGCTGACTAACCGGTGTGGGGAATCGAACCCCACCCTCCCACCCCCTCTGGTGCTGACTAACAGAGGATTACAAAAGAGAGAAATCTGGGTATGAACCACTTGCCTACCTGACCCCTGATCCCTACCGTCAAGGGAAACAACTCCGAAGATACCTGAATGAGAAATTGGATCTACCGGAGGCACTAATACAATTTTAAACAGCAAGGAACAAGCTTCAGTTATTACTTTATGGTGTTTCCTGGTAAACACTATCAGTACACTATTGACCAGACCACTGGTGGAAGCTGGTATTTCTTGGTGGTCCCCTCAAGCAGTCATAATGTTTATTCAGAAGGCATAGTGTCCATTCAACTTCTTTTTTAGTCGTCTTTTAAGGGAACAGTTATAATAATAAAGGAAACAGAGAAAATGCAATCAAAGGTAATGTTTTCTGCAAGTAATGATACATAATTTATGACAAAAACATTCCTACCTGCCGACCAGGTCTGTGGTTGAAACTCCTTCTGTTCGCTTGCACTCCCTGCAACGAGACAATACTTGTTTTAGAAGTGTTACTTACAGTTGAATATAACCTGTATTCTAGTTTTTACTTGAATAATAGTTCCTAATTCTTTGTATCAATGATAATAAGTTATCAATCTTTTAGCCATCCTAGGTAATACTTGTAGATTTTTTCATTTACTTGTATTTCTTGGCATCTTTGACGAGCTGGTATGTGTCATCGCCATCTGCCGTTGTGGTGATATCATCTGCAAATACATGAGATAAGTCTACAGGTGTGGCAGGTGTGATATATCATCTGCAAATACATGAGATAAGTCTACAGGTGTGGCAGGTGTGATGATATCATCTGCAAATACATGAGATAAGTCTACAGGTGTGGCAGGTGTGATGATATCATCTGCAAATACATGAGATAAGTCTACAGGTGTGATGATATTATCTGCAAATACATGAGATAACTCTACAGGTGTGATGATATCATCTGCAAATACATTAGATAAGTCTACAGGTGTGGCAGGTGGGATATCCTCTGCAAATACATGAGATAAGTCTACAGGTGTGGTGATATCATCTGCAAATACATGAGATAAGTCTACAGGTGGACAGGTGCAGTGCTATCCTCAACAAATACATGAGATAAGTCTACAGGTGTGGCAGGTGTGATGGTATCATCTGCAAATACATGAGATGATTCTACAGGTGGACAGGTGTGATGATATCCTCAGCAAATACATGAGATGATTCTACAGGTGGACAGGTGTGGTGCTATCCTCAACAAATACATGAGATAAGTCTACAGGTGTGGCAGGTGTGATGGTATCATCTGCAAATACATGAGATGATTCTACAGGTGGACAGGTGTGATGCTATCCTTGACAAATACATGAGATAAGTCTACAGGTGGACAGGTGTGATGCTATCCTCGACAAATACATGAGATAAGTCTACAGTTGTGGCAGGTGTGATGCTATCCTCAACAAATACATGAGATGATTCTACAGGTGGACAGCTGTGATGCTATCCTCGACAAATATATCCTAGGATGATATATGTCAGGCACTCAAACTGTATAGTCAGATATATCCATGTAGAGTAATGGACATTGAAAGTCTGCCTATATAATGAATGTGTTCTTAATTCAGGTAAGTGGTGAGACAAAGTAATCACGTCCCCGTGTCTGTTGCCTCCCATTCCTAGAGCTCTTCACAACAGGTATTTCTTACCTCCATGAACGCAGAAATCACAGTCGTATTCACTCAGTGTCTCCAGCGTGGTCACATATGGGGCGTTCTCAATAACCTGAAACATCAGAACATAAACTCAAATATATACATATCATGTACTGACAATGGCCAGTATCATGCTCTGGCATTAGTGAAGGAAACGAAGCTAACCCTGTACTAATCCTATGTCGTGTAAGTGAAGCCTAAAATTGGTTTTCCTTGAAAACTCTAGAAATACCAAACAGAATGCTTTATCGATATGTATGCATGGTTTCATGAACATAATACCCAGGCAGAGGAGGACAAGGTGAACAAATTCTAGTACTCCCAAATACTTTTTCTGTTAGCTGGTTTATGAGACAGATCTAGGAAAATATCAACTGCCTTTATACTAAGCTTAATATCGCTAAACCGGTTTGTTCACAGAGAGTCAATGGACCTACCTCATCCACCCACTTGATGCCGCGCACAATCTTGTATCGTTCCTGTTCATGAAACACCGGGGGTCCTTTATGCTTGGCAATCTCCTCTGAAACGAATAACCATGTACTTAGAAATCTTTGTGCAAGTATCAAGGTACCTTTGTGTTAACCATCTGGCCGAGAGAACATCCCACCACCCATAGATGATATACTGGGTACATACCATCTGAGTGAACGCCAACCTTTAACACATCGCCAAACTGTTTACCCTGGGGACAAAAGAGTTCATATTATAACAAAACATTAAAGAATACCGTGACCCACTCACAAATGATGTTTTTCAGTTTAACAAAAACAATCAGTGCCAAAAACCGAAGATCTATGGATATGTCGACATGGAGCTTTAACGGGCATGCTCAAGGGATGTAACTCTGCATAACAAATTATGGGGCCTTGGACAACGCTGCTCAATGTGAACAAAATATGATGACATTGTAAAGAGAATCTTATATGCCAAACTTCAGCTACCTTAGAGCCAAATATACATTTTCAGAGAATTAAAAATTTAAAAACAAGGTCAAAATAAGTAAAAAGAAAAAGAGGAGGCATTGTGAGCCCTCCAACTAGATTCACACATACATAATTTCATTACATTTTGAACAAACAATGGTCTTATGGTAAGTTAGTAACGGCTATACAACTAATATCTGAACCCCTGTGAAGTCATTCTTTGAACAACAGAAAGTTACATCACTTTTTGCAAAGTTGTTTCTTAGGATATAAAAAAAGTGTCATGAAAGAAATGTTCAGGCCAACTACATAGTACATTTATACCATTACATTAAATTTTGAAAACAAACCAAGCAATGGACATTGATAGGTTTTTCAATTAGGCTGCCATATTTGATAATGTTTAGTGAATTTTCAGCCTCCCTGGTGCAGTTGTTTCTGAGGGAATGTTCACGGTAGATGACAGAAACCTAACAATCAAGCAATTGCATGAGCTTAACTTGACTTTAAATCATGTCAGTTAACTGCATAAAGGCCATTATTAGCTGTTTCAATATGGCTAATATGGCCATGTTGATTATTAGACTCAAAGTAAAGCTATAAAACTTGACTTATTACTTCATTTTATTATTATGAAAGTGTATTTTTTGTAATTTGTAATATCATTGATTAAGTGATAGTTATTATGGGTCACAATGTTTAAAGTTTTGAGTGTGGGTTGTGGCTCACATCTCGCTTCATATATGTTTAATGGCAATAGTATTTTTAGCAGTACACCTTTTGAGATAGCGCTTCAGAATTACCTGCCCTTGGCAATATTTTGTTTTGACTTCCTGTCTAAGTTTGAGAAAATCGCCTAATGTTCTGAGTGGATAATGATACAGCCTAGCTTTGCTAGAATGCTCGAGAACTGTGTAAGAGCTATGTAAAGGCTGGTTGTTGTGTTGTGCCGCGGGACTAACACACAGACTTTTCATACGACTTTTTATGTACATCTGTCTGCCATCGTCAACATCATCAAGACCTATCACTTACCTATTTGTCTACTGTCATTGTAAACAACCTTCAATCAGTATATCTGCTCTCACTGTAAATGTCAAGACTCTGGTGAGTTAATATTTTATATTTGTGGCCCATTACTTTAGATTTGTGTCTCAATAGCAGTGTACTAGATATCTGTATTGTCATTCATTGTAGCTTGCTCACTGTTTGCTCAATATATTATTCAATATTTTAGATTTGTCTGTGTTCTATTTTGCTGGTTCAGAGGGGACTTTTAAATCTTTTGTCACTGCAATTTATTAACCGTAACATTATGATAATTACATTTTGCAATTGACACATCCAGTAAATTGAAATATGAAAGAATATTGGATAAATAATGTCTCTGACCTCCTTTTCCACCACCAGCTAGTATAGCAGAGATAAAAACACATATATTTGAACAGAGTATCAGGATTGTCACGAAGCTAGAAATATGTTACATTTGACAAACATGGTGCTGATCTTAATTCTCGTTATAGCATTTATTTTGCTCTGTGAAAGAGAGAACATAATACAATGCAAAATTGCACTTCTATTCCAGTGCAACCAAACTGATGAGTTTGTAGAACCGCAGCATTCCAGTGTGACCTTGACATGACACAAAATACTGAAACTGAGCCGTAACTAATGTGTTTTAGGCATTATCATTGCTGTCATGAGCTCATGCAGAAACTGACATATAATCAATATCACTTCATTCCAGAACTGTGACATGTTGTCCCACAAGCCTGGCTACAATACATACATACTAATACCATTAATGTGATGTCAAGTGTTGAATATATCTCTTTATACAGGCCATGCACCTATACAGTTCTTGAAAAACACTTTTGACACCTTCAGTATCCTATGTGTTTCACTCAATGAATAACTTGACAAATAAGGGTGGTATTCAGAATTGTTTACTGAGTGCCCTTGTCGCAAATTAGGGAGAAAATTCATCATTGTGTTTGAATTGGGATTTTTATATGTGGTCTTATTTGACAAAACTTTAAGGTTGCATTTTGTACACTGCCATCAATGAAATAATGCATGCCTAAGAACTTAATCCTCCTTTGGTTAAGACAACTGACATACATATAACTGTAATAATATCCACTGTAGCTGTAACATGACATGGAAACTTTACATTTACAACTTGAGAATTAGGGGCAAGTCTAGATAAGCCCATTGTATAATTGTCAGTAAGATAGCATAATCATTTAAGTAGATAAATCCTCTATCTCTGCTAAGTGACAATGAACTGACCCCACACACTCGTAAGTGATGATATCATACATATCGCTAAGGATGTCAAGTTCAAGGCCACAAGTCATGATATAAGGTATGGATTATAGATGATCACTTAGAAAGATACCAATTCACACTTGGCATTTGATAATTGGCAATTGCCTGATGTGTATGTTAATTCCCTGCCAAAAACTCAAAATGACAGTAGATCAAGTATATTATCTGTGTTTTCAAATCAAGCATGAAACAATTTCCGATTCAGTCATGATTCAAACTCTCAAACCAAAACATCACTGCACCACACAGCTAAGCCTCGTCATTCAGCAGAGTAAACTTGTTTCAGTCACGTTCCTTATTAGCAGCAAATTGAAGGTGAAGGTCACATGGGTTTCTTATGGATGAGATATGAAATACTAATTGCCAGCAATTTGATACGAAACCAATGATTATCAATGACCACATATATGCCACGGTCATGTGAAGCCAATAATGCTCCTACTATGAGTGCCTTGTCACAATGTCTCAACTTACACAGTCCATTCATGAGCTTTTTACCTGGTTCATGAGCCTATCTCACATGTCATGATATGTTTAACTTTCATTGAGAAAATACATTTATTCTATGACATGAAAACCTATTTCCAATTATGAATTTACCCTCCACATGCTCTCACAGAAACCCTACAGAGGCCACAGCTGTATGTAGAGCTATATTGTCACACATCTCACAGTAATGGTTGTAGTAGAATATATCTACATGTAGTACATATCCAGGCTTTTATATACGACACAGACATGTTCATCAAATACACACAAATGTTTAGAATGGACGCAGACAAATACATCTAATGTGTCCTCAGACACACAATAATATTCACTGTTCAAAATTTGTTCATGTAAATAAAGTAATCATTAAGCCTTACAATACAGTCTGCTACATCATTATCTTACAGGACCCTTGTATTTCACATAAAGACCCTAGAAATTAGGAAGTGGGGGCCTGTGGACCCCTAATTTTGTTGGTTAAGATAAAACATTATTTCATTACCTTATAGGAACCTCGTATTTCACAGAAGGACCCTAGAAATTAGGAAGTGGGGGGCCTCTGGACCCCTAATTTTGTTGGTTAAGATAAAACATTATTTCATTACCTTATAGGAACCTCGTATTTCACAGAAGGACCCTAGAAATTAGGAAGTGGGGGGCCTCTGGACCCCTTATTTTGTTGGTCAAGGTAAAACCATATGTTTTGTACATTGCCTGGCAAGCATTTGGATTAAACATATTTTTATTTCATAAACAAAATCTGGTAAACAAGCAAACCATTGCTTATATGAACACAACTCTATGAAAAATATATTTCAGTTTGTAACTATATCATACTGAATATACACATGTAACATGTATAAAATTAATCTGTAACTTTAAGTTCAAGCTGTTGATGTCTGTGTAAAGGAATGCACTTAGTTCACTTGTTCTTATTAAAAAAATAAGCATGTCAGTTTACAAAAATGCCACAAACTGAATCCTTGCAGGTGAAAATATCCGATCTAACCCAGGGTTTTAAATAGCTCTTCGAAACTAGGAGTCCTGGGGACTCGGGGCATATTGTTTTGAGAGTCCATTTCCAAAATTGGGAGTCAATCAATTTGCATGAAATCAATGATAATGGATGCTTCCCATTTGATAATGATTATGTTATAATATGTGTTAGTTTCAATGTCATTAGAATAATGATTGTAAATAAAATGTTTACATATTAATATAGGATGTCATTGCAAACTCAGAAAGTTCTTTCCCAGAAAAAAATTATATTGCGTCCACAAGGACTCACAGGATTTTAGTTTGGGGGTACTTCACCAAATTTCTGCGTCCAATACGCAGGAATCTTGCATCCCGTAAAACCCTGCTCTAACCACACCTCAGTGATGGTTAACAGCCATGACTGAATATATTATATACTTTACATGGTCCCCATGACAACAGATTGGTCACCTGGCAAAACCATGTCATCTGGAGGATTACGAAGCCTGCATATAGCACATCAATCAGAGTTTTAACAAATATGTTATTCATGGCAGATCCCAGTGTCAGCTCAATTTGACCTCTTGATCTTCCTTTACCAAGTGTGCATTAGGAACTGTCCATTTAAACATGTTAAATTCCTGTATCATGGTATTGGTATTTCTGTATGTGTTACTAGAACAACAAAAATGGAGTGTTGCACCTGTTGGATGTCCTGAAAAACCTCTTGCAATAAATAAACATTTTCAGAAAATAATATGTTTTCATGCTGTGACCGAATAGAGGTTTTGCTCTAACATAAATCCCAGTATACCAAACGCCATCCCTTCCCGAATATTAAATGGCATGTCAACCCAACAAGTTAAACTCACCTGTCGCAATGCATTGGCATGGCCGAAGTGAACCATATCAAAACTGAAAAGAAATAAGTACAAATTGATGGTTGGTTTTCACATTTTGTGTCTCTCACTCAGACAACAGTTTCAGGAGCACAAAATTTGTAAGGTATATTTACAATTTGAAACACTACATGCCCACGATATCATGCCTGCATTTGTGAGGTGATCATGTCATTTGGATCATTAATATCACCAACACTATTTCACAAGTTTAGAAATGAATTCATTCATATCATAATTACATGGAAATTGATTCTGTCAACTTATCAAATATACTCTGATGTACATGCTGCAGTGGAGTTTAATATTTAAACAATGTTAGAGTCAAGGTCACAGCAATTCAGCAAATTTGATGAAAATCAAATATCAGCTACATGTCATATTCTGTTCCTGAGATAACCTCGATTCTAAGGCCTAAAAAAAATAAACCCTTGAATTCTGGTCCCGACCCTATTTTTTTAGGCAGTATGAATAAAATAACCGTTCAGACACAATTGTTTTTCCCCGAACTGACAGACATCGGTCTTTCTGACAGAGAAAGACGACATGATGGCCGCAAGCTTGATTAAATAAACAATTACACATTGATAAATGTGTGATTATTTTGTACTTTACTTCTAAAAAACAATTCAAAAAAAAAAAATTCCTACCTACATACCCTAAATTGTAAACAGCTGTAATCGAAACCACAACATTCTTTTTATTTGGCCTTACAGCAGCTGTGGATCTGTGAAGATCTGGGTTAGAATTGATCTTTAGTAACACATGTTTGTCGTAATAGGTGACTAACGTGATCAGGTGGTCATGCTCAGTGACTTGGTTGACCATGTCATCATATCCCAATTGCGTAGATCGATGCTCATGCTGTTGATCACTGGATTGTCTGATCCAGACTTCATTATTTACAGATCACAGACATATAACAGGAATATTGATGAGTGTGTCGTAAAACTAAACTCACTCACTGTTATAAATGTGAGTGATTGTGCTGGATTTAACACTGCCTACACAAATATTTCATCAAGGTCCTATGGGAGGAAAGTTTTAGTGAAGGGGGCCGTAGTCCTTGCCACTTAAGAAAACTCCATGAACCTGCATAGGGTGCTGACAAAATAGTCATTATAACAATGATCAATCTGTGATTCAAATAATGATAGAATCCAGACACACGCACACAACAAACTGCAGGTCCTAACATGACACGATTACCCATTATCCATGAATGTCCCTGTATAAAGCACCCTAAACTAATTCACATTTGTTTAGTTTGTTTGATGTTTAACACCGCACTCAGCAATATAACAGCTATGTGATGACAGTCTGTAAATAACTGAGTCTGGACCAAACAATCCAGTGATCAACAGCATGAGCATCAATCGGGATTTGATGACAAGTGTAAAAAAGTCATCAAGTCTTGACTGCCCCATCCTGATAGTCGCCACTTACGACAAGTATGGGTTACTGAAGACCAATTCTAACCCATATCTTCATAGGCACTGTCTAGTGGTGAAATCAGTAAGTCGGTCATAACCTATGGAGTACAGATCTTCGATCATATCACTAAAGTTTCTTTGTTAAATGGACCCAGATGCAGTTGTCATTATCTGTTGTAATTTAGACAAGAAAAGACAACCCCTATTGAGTATGTTCACCCCTAATCTAACCCTAAATCTAACTGGAGTAGGATTTTAGGATTTAAACATAACATAAATCGAATTTATACATCTAGTTGATCTGTACAAAACTAACATTCATTCAGATGCGTCAACAAAAATCAACCTTGCAATCGATGCTTCGAGCAACGTTGTCGCGAAGTGAGCGAATAATAATTGTGCGCATAAAAGTGGCGTGATGTGACATTTAGTGATCTACCATCGACACGCCCACCCTGACAACCGTCACCGATATCTCAGTTAAAGAACAAAATCGGCTAAGCTAATGGAATTATTCCAGTCGTTCATGTTACCATCCGTCCATCCATACTATCGTCTGTTTCTGCTTCTTTCCTGTACTTGGCAAGTCCTCACTTCGTGAACATGTTTCTTCGGACGCCATTGCTATGAAGCCAAGAGGTTTGTCTACATTCCACATTCGTTTCTGACGGATTCGCACAAGCTCCTCTTCAGCGCCACTGGATTCGCTCGTGTAACTATAGACTGGTGCCCTGCCGCAAAAAGGTTGTAGTGCGGCGACAAGCTCAAGGGATCTGAGGCAGACAAAACCAGTCTGTCGTAACTAACGCCAGTCGCGTCTCTCATGATCACGTGATCCGAAAAAGGTCTGCCTTTCGAGACAATCCATCCAGAGATGACACTTTGTATTCACCAGTAAACATCTCTGTGTAGGACAGTTTTAAATGGATTTATGCAGCTTACAATATCAGTCATATGGAAAGTGGGGTACCTTGCTTTTTTTCATTACCAAAGCCACGTTTACGTGGAACGCGAACTATCAATGACCAGTGCTCTTGGTCGGAAGTATTGGGCGATATTTACTGTTATCTTACCACTGTGTCAGTAATCTTTATGAAATATGCTTTATCTTTCCTCGGTGTCATAATGCTGAGATCTCATTGGTTCACGTGATGTTGATAGATACAGGATATTTCGCGCATCTACTGACATATGTATCCGTCATCGACTGACATGAAAGACGTTATGGCGTATAAACGTGAGAGGCGTAAAGCTGGCATTTTTCACTTCTTTGCAGGAGGCAGATACTGGACTGAAAACTTTCCAAGTGATATTTCCATTGCATTGAACATGTCGATATTCCTTCATTTCTAGGAACTAGGAAATCTCAATCTTTCACACTTTCAGTACATAATTAACACTTTTCATTGACAACTAAAGAGGCAACAAAGACTTAAATATCACTCACGGATATATTAATCAAAGATAATCTATATACAATGAATGAATGAATGAATGTGCTTTATTTCCTCCATTAAGAAGGAGAGTACATATATGAAAACATCTTAGGATATAATATTAAACATATTCAAACATAGCCTCTGACATATTGTCAGCTTCACAGATACAGCAGGGATTTGAGGTTCCAGGAGCTGATGCATTTTGTTGTAGTGTCAATAAATACAGCCCACTCATTCAGTGACATGTTTTCAATGAGTGGTGTGATTCCACCTAGAAGGGTGGTAATCTTGAGTTCATTATCATCACAATCCTCGAATTGTATATAGCTTTCAATGGTCATATTGTCAAACAAACGTTCACTAAGTGCATTACGCTTAGAGAATAAACTGCAGCAGTATAAGAGTTGGTGTTTCACCATATCATCACACTCGGTGTCACAGAGTATGCACATCCCACCTACAACAGGTAATACACCAAGTTTAACTAGACTGTACACAGGTCTGGTTGAGATTGGGTACAGTTCACACATTCCCCACAGTCTATGTGGGGCTGGAGCACCGTGAATGTTGGCAAAACGGCTCATTTCTGGTGTCTGAGAGAGTGTCATTTGCCAGTTATAATATTCTGCGTCGGCTACTTTTCTATTTATAGTTCTACTCCATTCCAGTTTGCACGGAAAATTACCAGTCTTCATAAATTCACACACATGCGACCAGAGATCGTACTTTTGAACAATTTTCAGAAGATCATGGGTTAACCACACATCACACGTGTTATCAGTAATAAACTGTCCTATTCTATACAGGAGTACTCTTTTGTGGGTGCTTCAGTATCTGCGCGACATAGCCTGCCGAACAGCATGAGTTTGAGTCTGTCGATGGTTCCATGCACTGACCAGAGACCCAAGCTTTGAACAGTTGCTGAAGTTGATGACCGCTTATGGAAGTTTTGAGCAATACGAGCAAATAACCGTTGAACTCGCTCCATGATGCTATATTCTGTTTCCGTGATGTTTGTCCATAATTCACAGGCATAGAATGCACAAGGAAGTATAACTCTACGCCAAATTTTGACACCTCCTATAGGACTTATAAAACCAGCCTTTTAAAAGCCGACGTCCTTGAGGGAATATAGCAGTTTTCTGGCTTTTGCACAGGAACGCTCTGTTCGTTCGGCTTGTTGTTTATTACTTATAAGGGATCCAGCATATATGGTGTTACTCACTGTTGGAAGAACACTTTCACCAAGTCTAAAACACAAGTTTTTGTCAACCGAATGACCGCCTTTGAATATCATCACACAGCTTTTATCTGCATTGTACGTAAGGCGCCATTTAATAGCGTACGATTGCAGAGTGGTCAGCATGGCCTGTAGTCCGTTTGGCTGAGGACTGAGTAATGTTGTGTTGTCTGCTAGTAGAATGCTTGGGATATGTTCATCTCCAATGACGAGGCCTTTTGAAAGCATATCCAGCTGCGTGATGAGGTCATTAATGTAGACAAGGAACTTTGAAGGCAGAGAGTACTCTCCGTTGTCCTACACCTTGCTTTATGTTGAGCGTCCGGCTCGTACATCCGTTATGGAGTACATATGCACATGAGTGTTCATAGCTGTGAAAACTTTCCAAGTGATATTTCCATTGCATTGAACATGTCGATATTCCTTCATTTCTAGGAACTAGGAAATCTCAATCTTTCACACTTTCAGTACATAATTAACACTTTTCATTGACAACTAAAGAGGCAACAAAGACTTAAATATCACTCACGGATATATTAATCAAAGATAATCTATATACTATATATCCTTTGTACGATGTCTTCTTTATTTTGAGAAAATTTAAGGGTATATTTCCGATTTTCCTTGTGGGAGGACGGTTTGCTTCACGCGAGAATCAAATTTCTAAAAAATATAATTCTTCCTCGAACAATTACCATTGTAACATACTTACAATGTTGATCAAATATGTGTTGCAGGGTTATTGGGGGAAATTAACGTGAAGATCCTGTTCAGAATTGGTCTTCTTCTTTGAATTATTTTTTAAATGGTGCATATCAGAAGTTAGACTAACAACTAGTCTCTGAAATGAACATATTTTACTGAAAAAAGTTCATAGTAAAAAAATGTATAATGAAAAGGAGCCCTGAGACTTTCTTCATTTTCAGAAGCTGAGGAAATCTAGACTTGCCACATTTTCTAGACTTGCGAAGGCTATCTTGGATATATTTGCTTCAGGGTCTGTATGACAGACTAATATCAGAAGTGTAACAATATGTATATATGTAGCCTGGATGCAAACTAGTGTTGGGTTCTGATAATTGATGATTAGTTCATTACAACCGATCAATCATCGAAAATAATTGGTTAGCGTCATTTATCAAAATGTCCTGTGTATGTTTTTTAATCCACAAAAAAATAAGAAAAGACGTGTAGTTCTTTTGTTGTTGTTTTTCAAATTTCACATTTTAAAAGGATGTCTAATAAGTTAGGAACATAAATTTCCTGGAGTATTTAAGATAAATTCAATCATGACTTGGAACGAGCTTGTAGTGCTTATGAAATGTAACAGACAAAACCAACCTTGTGAAAAATATTGTTAATGCAAGCAAGTGTTCCAAAATTGTTTGTGTTCGATTATGAGAAAACATGATCGATTGCTTGGTCGTTTAGTCATTGCGACCAATCTTCGATTATTTCAATTAATCGGACCACCACTAATGCAAACTATAACATATGGGTATCTAGTCTTTTTTCTGAAATCGCCTTCTGAACAGCTGAGCTGGATATTGGTGCTTTACAAATATTATGGTCTCTGTGTTAGCATAATAATATTCTGACGTAATAATACATATGGCATGATGTGCGATTAGCATGAAGAATATGTTCCGCTGCTGTTTTGAGTATGTTATCTGAAACTCATTATTGCAAATATAATACGTACACCTGACTGCTGTGTACTGAAGTACAAATTTGGACACACACTCGACACAAGTGAAAATTAAGTTTTAGTAAACATCATCTGCAAAGATTCATGGGGATTCTCGTTGTCTTTCCTTGCTTGTCCGAAACACAGTTTGTTGAGTCACTGACCCATTTGGCATCTGGTTATTACGAGGGATAATTAAAATTGCGCCGGCAAGACGACTGAGAGTTGGAATGTTGTTCCCATTTAACAGTAAATATATGTTCTCGTGGGTGCGTGGCGTCAGTTTGGGACCTGTCTCTCATGTAGCTTTTGCGCAAGTCTACGTGCGCAAAGGGAACCGGGAACCAGCTCAAATGATAACACCGACCGACAAGCGCCACCTGACGGCATTTGTTTTGGAAGTTTGCCGCTGTGTGGAGTACGCAATAAATCGTGAACTCCTAACTAGAAAATGTTACCTGTAGCATGCGCTGTTATGGAGTGTAAAACATATCTTCATCAACGTTTTTGAACCATGTACAAATGTGTATTATGCTAAAAATCATTCTTTACTTGAGAGATTATTAAAATTTACGCCAAATATATATGTAGACGCGAACGTTGATTTTTTTAAATGCGAAACAAACTTCAAGATATTAAGTTGCATATTTGCAGAAAAAATGGCGGGTAATGGCGCGACTTTCAAGCAGGTGCTCCTCAACATTAATATATATTTGATGAATGATAATGTTACTTAAAGGATAACTGGTCATCCGTGCGTTGTACTCTATTTAAAAGATCCCATTATATTCTTGTGCTGTGGTACTGTTTCCGTGGAGTAAAAAATATATTACCGATTTCGGCCCCCGATTTCATTACTACATTCTCTTCCAGATCTCTCATATTTATACCCCCGCTACGAAGTAACGGGGGTATATAGCGTTCATTCTGTCCGTCCGTCCGTCCCGAAACTTTGTCCTGAGCATATCTCTTAAAGTTTACATGCTAGGTTCACCAAACTTCACACACATGTTAATCATTACCCATTGATGTGCCTTTTGCTATTTTAAAGTTTTTCAGAATTTGTTTTGTTGTTGTTTCCATGGAAACATGACTTGGTGCAAAATGTGTTTGATGGTTACCTGGCCACAGCATATCATCAGAACTATACATGCTAGGTTCAACAAACTTAATACACAAGTTAATCATGACCCACAGATATGCCATGTGCTAAAAAATAACAATCTTCATCTACGTCCACTTCATTGTGTGCAACAAGTTCAATTGTATGTCAGGTTTCCATGGAAAACACAAAAAATAATGTTTCCATAAATTATTACTGTAATCAGTACATGGCAAAACTATTATCTAACATGTATATAAAGTTTAGTAGAGTCAAGGAGAAAGTCTTGTGAGCTGCTGATCCTTGTCACATTATATATATCAATATCAGTCATTTCCATGTCCTAAAGTGGGAAGCGGGGGTATGTGAGCTGTGCTCACTTCTACACTTGTTGTTTAGAATATAGATCCGTCAAATATAGATACCGTGTCGGAAGATGTAGAAGAGTCCAGGCGCCTACTAGATCATGTATATTCCATTCAACGTTTCCGTCCAAATAAATCAATTATGCTGATAAGCGCCAAGGTCTGTGAATTTGCGAGTGATTGGCGTTATTTTGGAAAGAGTTGGCAAAGTTTTCTTAAAAATAGTTTTGAAAACACTCTACAAAATAACTAAATGAACTTTGGAACGAATGCTATGATAGTATTCAGAATTAAGGTTGTGTCATTGTTATGAACATATTGTTGCTGTTGCCGTGGTTCCCTAATGACTGATTTTTGTGAATGTAAAACCATAAGCCGACTTTGATATATATTTATAAGCATGACCTATATATAAGATATATATAGGTCATGCTTATAAATATATCAGAGTCAGGCTTCTATGGGTAAAACCTCAGGGCACACTATTTTGTCAGGGATTTTTCAGGGACAGGTAAGTTTGGTCAAAAATATCCCATCCCATACCCAAATCAAATGCACACAGTTACCATACATGGCAACTAAATAAAAGCCAGGGAAGATGTGCACATTTGCACAAGATATATGACGCCAGCTATTCTCAGGCTTTATATACTGACATCTTTTCATTTTTAGAAAACTGTGCAGACAATTCTCCAGAAGAATTTCAAAGATGAGAAGACAAAAGGTAGGATTGTTTCAAAGGCAGGATTAAAACTCTTTTCAAAACTCCACTGGACACAAGTCCAGTAAACTTTCAAAATCCACTTGACCAAATATTAATTTCATTATACTACCCATCTAAAAGTTTTAGACTACATATACTACCCACTTAAAGCACTCACTATATGTTATGTATATATATATATGGTTACATCGAAGATGAATTTCCCCACTAATTTAGGGGAACCAACTGCAAACCTTATGCAGATGAATTGCACAAGGATCATGCATTAAATTGCTGAAAGCGGGGGTATGTGAGCTGTGCTCACTTCTACACTGTTGTTTAGAATATAGATCCGTCAAATATAGATACCGTGTCGGAAGATGTAGAAGAGTCCGTAGCCTACTAGATCATGTATATTCCATTCAACATTTCCGTCCAAATAAATCAATTATGCTGATAAAGCGCCAAGGTCTGTGAATTTATGGTGATTGGCGTTATTTTGGAAAGAGTTGGCAAAGATTTTTCTTAAAATAGTTTGAAAACACTCTACAAAATAACTAAATGAACTTTGGAACGAATGCTATGATAGTATTCAGAATTAAGGTTGTGTCATTGTTATGAACATATTGTTGCTGTTGCCGTGGTTCCCTAATGACTGATTTTTGTGAATGTAAAACCATAGGCGCCCGGCTCTGATATATTTATAAGCATGACCTACATATATAAGATATATATAGGTCATGCTTATAAATATATCAGAGTCAGGCGCCTATGGGTAAAACCTCAGGGCACACTATTTTGTCAGGGATTTTTCAGGGACAGGTAAGTTTGGTCAAAAATATCCCATCCCATACCCAAATCAAATGCACACAGTTACCATACATGGCACGAAATAAAAAGCCAGGGAAGATGTGCACATTTGCACAAGATATATGACGTCAGCTATTCTCAGGCTTATATACTGACATCTTTTCATTTTTAGAAAACTGTGCAGACAATTCTCCAGAAGAATTTCAAAGATGAGAAGACAAAAGGTAGGATTGTTTCAAAGGCAGGGATTAAAACTCTTTTCAAAACTCCACTGGACACAAGTCCAGTAAACTTTCAAAATCCACTTGACCAAATATTAATTTCATTATACTACCCATCAAAAGTTTAGACTCACTTAAAGCACTCACTATATGTTATGTATATATATATGGTTACATCGAAGATGAATTTCCCCACTAATTTAGGGGAACCAACTGCAAACCTTATGCAGATGAATTGCACAAGGATCATGCATTAAATTGCTGAAAAGCATGTGCAAATGTCGTGAATGTGAACAGCTGCATTTTAGTGTAATGTTTGGTTAAGAATTCACCAAATTTCACTGAGATTCATTTTTTATTGAATTGATGACAATATTCTTTTCAACGTTATGAATTTGTTTTACAATGCATCTGTTCATGTGTAAACAGTACCTTTAAACAGTATGGAATATTTTGCAAAATCTAGTTTAGAACAGTTGACTGAAGTAAGTGGCTACATTTACACGAGTGAGTCTAAACTTGTGATGGGTAGTATATATCAAAACATTTCAGTAGTCTGGCACTACTGCACCACAGAAAGGCCCCCAAAAATATATGTCCGTTTCCTATTACATGCTTTTATAAATAGGGTAGGTGGGTCGGTTTTATCTTCTTTTGTTTTTTCTTCTTTTTTTTTTTTTTTTTTTTTTTTTTTTTTTTTTTTTAGTAGCACCAGGTGGGCACCTGAGAATGTTTTCAAGCATACCATATCATGTTGTGACATTGTCTTGTGATGAAACATTGATAGATTTCTATATCAAATCATTATGTTATTTATTTGCAGATTTTGTCAGTTAGAGCCCATTATGCCAATTCAATGCAATCCATTTTAGCCCTACGTACACTGAAAAACATGAAAATATCATACTTGATTTGGATGAAAATGATGAGTTGAAATGCACTCCAGTCATGATTTTGACTTGTTTAAAAAAAGATTAAGGGTCTGGTTGGTTAGGATAGGGTCAGTCGGGTTATCGGAAACAGACTTTGGGGGGGTTAATGTCGATATATTTATTGGACCAACCCTAGAATTCAACTCAACTCGGGTGTCGGGCAATGGCATTTTTCAACCCCTGAAAGGTCAAAATGATTTTTTGCACTGGTGGTGTAGGTGAAAACAAATAAACAAGTTTGGACAACTCTTTAAAAATACTGCATGGGTGACATGATGATGCAAAATTTATAGTTGCCTTATCAGATTAGATTGATGAAGAGAGACAAGACTTATAGTTGCCTTATCAGATTAGATTGATGAAGAGAGACAAGACTTATAGTTGCCTTATCAGATTAGATTGATGAAGAGAGACAAGACTTATAGTTGCCTTTCAGATTAGATTGATGAAGAGAGACAAGACTTATAGTTGCCTTTCAGATTAGATTGATGAAGAGAGACAAGACTTACAAATAACCTGGGTGTCATGATATATGGTGTAGGGAAGGTGTCACCACTTCCAGTTGAAGTAAACTGAGGCTCAGTATTATTCGTTACACTTTCAGTATAGCAGTGTAATGAATAATACTGAGCCTAAGTTTACTAAGACTGTCACCACTTCCTGATCGATATTTTTCACACCGGTCATGAAAAAGGTCAAGACTGATTCCATTTGTCTGATCGGTGTTCATTGTAAGTTTGGTGCCTTTAACAGTTCTTTTTTCACCTTTTTGAGATAATGTTGTAATTTGAATTGTTATCCCCCGCAACGCGCTTTTATGGGGATTAAAATGGACTCGATCCGTCGTCCGTCGTCCGTCCATCCGTCCGTGCACATTTGTCTTTTCCGGAGCAGAACTCTAAAACCGTTCAATATTTCTTCACCAAACTTGGCACATACATGGATCTGGTGGTGTACTGGTGCCTTTTGGTAGTTTTGGAATTCTGAATTAAATATTTTTGGTGTTTCCATGGCAACAAGTTCGACTTAGACTGAAATTGGTGGTAGTGCTCTTTTCCGGAGCTGAACTCTAACACCGTTCAATATGTCTTCACCAAACTTGGCACATAGATAGATCTGGTGGTGTACTTGTGCCTTTTGGTAGTTTTGGAATTCTGAATAAAATATGTTTGGCATTTCCATGGCAACAAGTTCGACTTAGACTGAAATTGGTGGTAGTGCTCTTTTCGAGACAGAACTCTAAAACTGTTCAATATTTCTTCACCAAACTTGGCACATAGATAGATCTGGTGGTGTACTGGTGCCTTTTGGTAGTTTTGGAATTCTGAATTAAATATTTTGGCGTTTCCATGGCAACAAGTTCGACTTAGCCTGAAATTGGTAGTAGTGCTCTTTTCGAGGAGCAGAACTCTAAAACTGTTCAATATGTCGTCACCAAACTTGGCACATAGATAGATCTGGTGGTGTACTGGTGCCTTTTGGTAGTTTTGGAATTCTGAATAAAATATTTTTGGCGTTTCCATGGCAACAAGTTTGACTTAGCCTGAAATTGTGGTAGTGCTCTTTTCCGGAGCTGAACTCTAAAACTGTTCACTATTTCTTCACCAAACTTGGCACATAGATAGATCTGGTGGTGTACTTGTGCCTTTTGGTAGTTTTGGAATTGTGAATAAAATATGTTTGGCATTTCCATGGCAACAAGTTTGACTTAGACTGAAATTGGTGATAGTGCTCCTTTCTGGAGCAGAACTTTTAAAACCTTTCAATACTCTCCTTCCACTTTTCTATGTACACACCTAAATATTTGACATAATCATAACTCGTAGACATAATCATGAAGAGTATTTTGCCATTGTGGGGGATATTGATGACTTTGTCTTCTTGTTTTCTCTGTGTTTAAGCCGAGCTTTCTTTACAGACACAGCACATAACTTGCTTTGAAGTTCTGGCAATTGTAAAATATTTTGAGGAAGCTAATTGCCATTTAGGAAAGCATGCATGACATGGGAAAATGGTCCCACTTGCAACAGTTGTTGTCCAAAAATCATTTCATTTGAGTAGCATCAGGAAATGTAATCCCGTGAGAATTCACCTGGTTTTTATTTTCCTTTCTTTATCCATGTTATAGTTTTCCAATGGATAGTGACCTGTCAAGACCCAGTAGCCCATGGTTGTCGTAAGAGGCGACTAATACGATCGGGTGGTCAGGCTCGCTGACTTGGCTGATAAATGACATTGTATCCCCATTGTGTAGATCAATGTTCATGATGTCAATCACTGGATTGTCTGGTCCAGACTTCATTAATTAAAAAACACCATCACATAGCTGTGATGTTAACAAACCAAATATCATACAAATAGTGGCAGTAATTGTCACACTTACTTGACATACATGCTTCATTTGTTCTGATTGTTTTCATCAGTGAACTCGGATGCCCTTGTGCTCGTTGGGGAGGTTCTGCGAGTTTTTGTTGCAGGTAAATCACATTCAATTCAATTATGAACTTTACTGTGTCTGTGAGTAGCATCAAGTTTGCCAGTCCACTATCCTGAGACTAGCAAATTGTGTTGAGGACAATAACAAATCTAAGAATGGAAGTCCTCTAACTGTGGACAACTTGGGGCTTACTAGTTCTACACTTTGTAATTTTACTATGAATCAGTCATGTACTACGGGCTACAAACTTTGAGGAATAGCGAGTAAGGTTTTGGACTACAGTCCGTTTGAGTCAGAAACGGACCGATGAATTGCAAATTTTGTCATTGTACAAAATTGCCACATAAATATAAATAGTACACATGTTTATCATTTACTAATACCCAACAGCTTTCTTATATTTGAAAATTTTCCGGACTCCGCCAAAAAAGTTCTTTAAGAAACTATCATTAAAATTTTGACACAGTTCACTATTTGTTACGAGGGAGGAGTGCAGAGAAAGGGACAGCCAGGTGTGCGAGAAAGGATGGAGACGGCACAGCACAGGCTAATGAATCAATAACTTGGTGGGCACTTGTGCACGTGCTTCTCTAACACCTGGCTGTCCCTTTCTCTGCACTCCTCCCTCGTAACAAATAGTGAACTGTGTCAAAATTTTAATGATAGTTTCTTAAAGAACTTTTTTGGTGGAGTCCGGAAAATTTTCAAATATAAGAAAGCTGTTGGGTATTAGTAAATGATAAACATGTGTACTATTTATATTTATGTGGCAATTTTGTACAATGATAAAATTTGCAATTCATCGGTCCGTTTCTGACTCAAACGGACTGTAGTTCCCAGGGCTTATTTCAGAAAAAGAAAAGTATGCCTGCAATGCTATGACTTTTGAGCAATGTTGTTCCTTTAGAAAAATATTATATATTTGTTTAAATATGTATAGTTTTAAAATAGCATTGATTCATCATCTGTTCAGTTTAGAGATATTTATTTTTAACCAACATACCACATCATAATTTGAATCTATAAACTCTTCCTCTTCAGAAGCAGCCTCAAGGGCAGCAAGTCAGGCCAAGGTCAGTTGTAGTGGTTTCCTTGGTTACTTGAGAGAGAGACAAAAAAGCACAACTACAACTTTCATGTTCGTGGATAATTATCCCATCTGCCACTTGTTTTTGCTCAACACATTTATTCATACAGTTTCGGAAGGCAGTGTTTACTATTGTTATCAGTTGCATCCCCCAGACTTTGTAAGTATTCAGACGTTGGCTATATAGTTTGGAGATTTGCATGAGTTGCCAAGAGAAAACAAACTTAATGAGTACACCACATAACATTTCAGTGTCCGAATGGCACAAGGGCTCGACTTAGAATGAACACTTCTTTTATATAACTAATTAAAAGTGCAATATTTTTTCTGTGGAAATAAAGCCATCAAGCAAGTGTTGAGCTGATGCTTTTTGATGATCAGACAGGTTTTTATTTGTACTGGGTTTCTTCCCCACTGTTTTGAACAATGACAAGGATTTCATTTTCCAGAGCAAAATTCATAAACCATCTGAAAATTATTAACAAATTGTGAAGTTTTTTGGGTTTGTACAGGAAAGGTTTAGAAACAGACCCATAAACTTTCCCTGTTCCACTTAAACACAACCCCTGGATGAATACACTGATCTACAGGATATAATTTGTTTGATTTCTGTTTCAGAAAATATTATGTATTGATTGTTTTCACGAAATCATGTTATTTTGGATTTGCTAATTCATTGTGTATTTTTATAGCCAAGCTTATACATACGATTATGGCATAACTTTGTGTGCCCTCATTCTATTCAGAAAGATGCCTCAGACGAAGTGACCATTGATTACTTCGAGAAGATCCTGCCTCAGCTGGTAAGTGGTCATGAATCAGATTGACAGTTACTGATAATAGGACTGGTTGTTTCAAAAGTAACTGATATCAGGGCGTGGTGGGTGAGCTGTCTAAGGCGCCAGGCTAGTAATCCAGCGAGGTTGAGGTGTTGGGATCGAGCCCACCTGTGACAGGGTGTAAAAAACCTTGGAGTCAACTTTGTGTGCAGACTCTTTCAGTGTTGTCACAACCCCTAATGTACAGTACACAACCCTATGCACTTAAAAGAACCCAAGAATCCGTTAGTAAATGACCAGATGGTGGCCACATGAATACGTGCAAACACCTAGTTGCGGGTACAGCAATGTGCAATAAACTTGGACAAAGTGCTGTGACTATGTGTCCCCAGCTGTGACACCCAGCTGTGAATGGGTACCTCGTAAGGATTGGAAAGCCCCATTAACTCGGTGCACCTAGTGGCTGAAAGAGTTGTATGATCTCCAGGGAGTTGAGATTAATAATATGAAGTGCCGTTGAGATTGACATCCTATGATCGAGGGGAAAAAACACAAAGTGCCTGTGAGCGGCCTAGTTGGAACTCAGCGCTATAAATCAATAGATTATAATATAATAATATATATCGGATCAGATTACCCCAACTGTAAATGATAACAGATCATATTGTCTCTATAGTAACTGATAATAGTTCAGATTGAATAAATAGTACTTGGAAACAGTAAGTAAATTCAGGAAAAACATTTGACGCATCATGATATCTCAGTCTAAGTAAACTTAGGCTCAGTATTATTCGTTACACTGCATATACTGAATCTAACAAACCCTAGTAGAAGGTCGCGTCAGCTAACCTTTTCAATTGACCAATCAGAACACAGCTTACCAAATCGCGAAAGTTGACATTCGCACATACATGTACCTTTTGAACTTTTACATCGAAAAAGTTTGTACCCAAACGATTCCAAATGCCAGTTTCCGTATGATCACTTCTGAGTGATGCACATGGAGCATGCCACAACACTGAGTAAACAGTCACTGAAAATAGCGTTTTTGTCAATATTCAAGGATGTCAGCTTGCGGAAATATTAGCTAATGGTAACCATGTCATCAGAAAGCCCTAAGCGTATATACTGTAGGGGCTTCTTTTCACGAAGCAACCTTTACTAAGGTTAACCTTAACTCCCATTCTTTAACCTTGCACTAAGGTTACCTTAGTGACTTACAATCACCTTAGTGCTTTGTGAAAGGAGGCCCAGGTCAAATATCTGTGTTTAATGCGGATTGTCGTTTGTTGAGAGATCAGTGTCAGTAACCAAGGAATTTTGTAAGTCCTGTCGAACCCTAAACAGTAGCCGTTGTCTGATTGGTTAAATCCGTTTGGCTGACTCATATTTGATTGGACAGTCATAGGTAGTTTAGCTGACGCGACCTTCTACTAGGGTTTGTTAGACTCATTATACATTCAGTGTAACGAATAATACTGAGCCTAAGTTTACTGCATGATATCTATGCAGACTAGCAAGCTGACATGTATTAGTCTGAAGAAGGCAGTAAAATGTCAATCAGGTAGATGGATTATTGAATATATTAAACATTATGAATTTGTTTCCTTGAATACAAAACCCTCAAAATAGTTATAAAATGAGATATTTGATTCAATTCAGTGACCATTATATATGGGATCCTTTTAATTTGTCCACAGATGCTAGACATGTGATATGGACAATAAGGTGGCAGCCAGTGAAGTTACCATGGTTACCAAGTCCTGTCAGCATTGCCATGGTTGCAACTGCCAGATGAATGCAGAGCCAGCTCACACTGACGTCATTAATACTTGCATTGTGTCAGTTATGACACAAGTGATGAACATTCTCAGTCAGCATATATAACTCATATAATTAGTAAATATATGTTTTCTGGGGGTATTTTTCATTTATATTTACTACTGGATTGACTACAAGCAGAATGTTTAGGACCAACAAGAAGGGAAATTCGGTTAGTTGTTCCAGTGCAAGAAGTAGACACAAGTTCCACCAAAGAGGCAAATATCAACATTACACCTATGTCATTTACTTACTTATGTTTTGCTACAGTATGAATTATCGTTTTGTTTACTTTGTTCCTGTTGTATGTTAATTAATCTGTCTGAACTGAATTTGGGAAATATATCTGTTACGTGTATATTTTACACTAAAAGAATGTTGCTATTGGTCAGTGATGAGAAAACTGTGATGACCTTGACCTACATGCTGGTGTAGCAGAGTCCTGAATGACAAAGGGTCCGGATTCTCTGTTACAGTTTTAAGCCCCCCAGTGTCAAGCTGATGTAGAGGAGAGTTGGGGGACCATGTTTCTCCATGCCTGGTGCAGTGTCATTGTGACAGGGGACAATATATTAACATGTTTCCATTTTGTGTCATTATTGAAACTTTAATAATATTATGTTCCATTTATATCAGCTGTGAACTCCTATTGTGGAAATATATTATTGCATTTTCTTATAATCCTTGATATTGTTGTTTTTGATGCTGGCTCATAAAATGTTAAAATAACACCCATCAAGTGAGCTAAACTGTTGTTCAGTGTACAGCTGTATTGTTCATGATAAAACTCAGGGCAGGGAGGAAGACTCCTGAGATCGGTGTTGACACCTGGTGCCAGGCTCTATCATACTGACTCCTGAGATCGGGTGTTGACACCTGGTGCCAGGCTCTATCATACTGACTCCTGAGATCGGGTGTTGACACCTGGTGCCAGGCTCTATCATACTGACTCCTGAGATCGGTGTGACACACCTGGTGCTCTATCATACTGACTCCTGAGATCGGGTGTTGACAGGCTCTATCATACTGACTCCTGAGATCGGTGTTGACACCTGGTGCCAGGCTCTATCATACTGACTCCTGAGATCGGGTGTTGACACCTGGTGCCAGGCTCTATCATACTGACTCCTGAGATCGGGTGTTGACACCTGGTGCCAGGCTCTATCATACTGACTCCTGAGATCGGGTGTTGACACCTGGTGCCAGGCTCTATCATACTGACTCCTGAGATCAGGATCATGTTGACACCTGGTGCCAGGCTCTATCATACTGACTCCTGAGATCGGGTGTTGACACCTGGTGCCAGGCTCTATCATACTGACTCCTGAGATCGGGTGTTGACACCTGGTGCCAGGCTCTATCATACTGACTCCTGAGATCGGGTGTTGACACCTGGTGCCAGGCTCTATCATACTGACTCCTGAGATCGGGTGTTGACACCTGGTGCCAGGCTCTATCATACTGACTCCTGAGATCTGAATGTTGACACCTGAGATGGGTGCCAGGCTCTATCATACTGACTCCTGAGATCGGGTGTTGACACCTGGTGCCAGGCTCTATCATACTGACTCCTGAGATCGGGTGTTGACACCTGGTGCCAGGCTCTATCATACTGACTCCTGAGATCGAGTGTTGACACCTGGTGCCAGGCTCTATCATACTGACTCCTGAGATCGAGTGTTGACACCTGGTGCCAGGCTCTATCATACTGACTCCTGAGATCGGGTGTTGACACCTGGTGCCAGGTTCCACTTGGCTTTCACTGTGTGCTTCTGATAAAGAGCCGCGAACAGTGTTACTTGTTTCTGTGTGGTGAAACCACTCGGATATTGTTGACTGAGGTAACCCATGCTTGTCGTAAGAGGCGACTAACGGGGTCGGGTGGTCAGGCTCGCTGACTTGGTTGACACATGTCATCGGTTCCCCATTGCGCAGATCGATGCTCATGCTGTTGATCACTGGATTGTCTGGTCCAGACTCGATTATTTACAGACCACCGCCATATAGCTGGAATATTGCTGAGTGTGGCATAAAACTAAACTCACTCAATTGTTCACTGACTGCAATGCCTCTTCTACACATTGTACAGAACAAATGTCTTACCTGATCAGAGATGGAAGATTTCATCTGGTTTATTCAAGACCCCAATTTCTTCAATACATGTCCCTAACAACTGTGGATGGTTGTCAGGGGTGACGTAATGGATAACATAGCCAGGCTGGTTGATCTGGTTGATTTCATGTCATCTTACACAAACTCGCAGTCACTCGTTTATATACAGGTTGCCATTATACAGCTGGAATATTGTTAAGTGCAATAATAAACAAACAAGAAAGACGTTCAATATGTATTCAGTAGAACAAGTTTCATATTACTGTACTTAATCATATCGTGGCATTCCATGACAAATTAACCATAGTAATATGTTCTTTAACTTGATTTAATAGTTTACATAAAGGCAAAAACAGCAGTTGATTTGCTCAGAATTCATAGTGTGGCAGCACTGTCAATGGGTTTGACCAAAGTGGTTCACATATCGCAGGGATATGAAGCCTGGGGACATGAACAGCAATGTGATGGAGAGATTGACATGTGAATAGGGTGGTGTGATGCATGTATATTCATGTCATACAAAGTCATACAAACTGAAACTTGTTTCATTTTTGAGCAAACCAGAAAGCATTTGTTTCTCTGTTGAGCAAACCAGAAAGTATTTGTTTGCACATTAAACAAACAGATGCAGATCGGTAAACATTTCAGAAATTCCATGATATTCATGAAATTAACACTTTGACTTGCTAACCCCTCTTATAGCTAACCCTTCTTTCATCAAGATGTCATTGTATCATTTAGACACTCATTGTTGATGAGGAAACAGAAATATTGAGGAAAATTCATGGGAAGCATGTGATACTGCTGCTTTCATCTTTAGTAATGACAGACATTTTCTAGGATCTCAAATTCTTTTCCATTTCCCCTATCTCATTATTCTCAATGCCATACCAACATCACATTTGACAAATATCAATAGTATGGTTCCCTCATGTTTTAGTTGTTTTTATTTTTATATATATTAATGTTCTGGAACAATGACTATGACCCAGTAAGCAATAACAAAAATCATTCTTCCAAGAGAATTCAAAATTATCGTTTAAATGTAGCAAGAACGGATGTTTTAATGAAATGGTGTCTGCAACAATACCCGAGAAGATCCAGGTTTTAATAGTTTTCAGCAAAACGTACTTGTAACAGCCTATCGGGTGGTCAGACTCCCTGCCTTCGTTGACATGTGTCAGCATATCCCAACTGTGTAGATCGATGCTCATGATGTTAATCACTGGAATGTCTGGTCCATACTCGATTATTTACAGACCAGCGCGCCATATGTGCCAATGTGGTCATGAAGTAGATGTGAAACTGTTCGCTTATGTGATTATATATGTATTTTATGCCATCTATGAATGAAAACAAGTATGTATTGTTAGTATTTTTTATTTCTGTGAATATTTTTACATACGATGAAGATAACTAGATCTACCATTTCTGATATGCATGCAACAGTATGACGATCATGACATTTAGTAAACATTGATATTTTCACACAAATACATTAATCCGACATTTTCATTAATCCGACATTTTCGTTAATCCGACATATTTCTCTGCAACCACAAGTGTCGGATTAACGAGAGTTGACTGTAGCTGGAATATTGCAGAGTGCGGCGTAAAACTAAACTCACTGACAGACCGGCGCCATATAGCTGGAATATTGCGAAGTGAGGCGTTAAAGCGACAGACAAACAAATCAATCACGCATGACACCAATATAAACGCCCATTTTGTGTTTGTCACCACACCGATGCGGTTTAACACTCAATGTTTGTATAGAAACATTCATTACATTTCAAACATGAGACAATTGCCATTTGTTTCACTCTCATTGAGGGGCGTCGGGGTAGCCTAATGGTTAAAGCGTTGGCTCGTCACGCCGAAGACCCGGGTTCGAATCCCCACATGGGCACAATGTGTGAAGCTCATTTCTGGTGTCCTCCGTCGTGATGTTGCTGGAATATTGCTAAAAAGCGGCGCAAAACCAAACTCAGTCAGTCATTCTCATAGATAAGTTTCCCTTTGTAAATAAATTTATCTATATCCTCTCCACATATTACCCAAACAGATTCATACTTTCAACACAAAATCAAACTCTTACATAACTTTCCTGTTTCGGATATATTTTGAAATTTTGCCTTTTAACTTCAGAGTAACACTGTTAACAATGAGCTTCGAAATAACGAAGAGAGTTTATGGATGTCAACTTCTTCGAGCCCATTTCTGGTGTTCCCCGCCGTCATATTGCTGGAATATTGCTAAAAGCGGCGTAAAACCAAAATCACTCACTTATAATGAGGAACAACGTTTCAGAGTGTATCCTTACCTTTAAACAGGTGGAACAATGGTATGAGGCAAAGAGCAGTCAGACTCCAATGAGAGATGACAAGAACTTTACAAGAGGGACCTGTCACCTTTTATCTGATGGTTGTAGAATATACGTTTTATTTGATAATGTCGCCAAGTGCTACGTTATTAGTCTCCGAATGTCCCTAAAACTGGTAGGGACCCTTTTCAATTTATATACATGTATTTGTTTCTATCGAAATTATTATTATTACTCACCCGTTGAAGATATCACTGTTTAATAAGTTTACAATGTTATTACACAATGTGTAATAATATCGCGTGACGCTGTAGGTATGACGACGATATAGTGATTTACAGTTATGACGTCACAATGCTAATATCACTGTCACAGTAGTATTAAGCGGCCTTCACACGGCAAACTAAAGTTTGACAACACAATGTCAAACTCGAGTTTGAGAGTGTGAACATTACAACAACTCGGAAACAACACCAATTTTAGAGTTGTCAAACGTTTCATTCTCACCAACTTTTCCATCAAACTTTCGGTGTTGTCAAGCTCGAGTTTGATGTGTGAAGTGTTGTCAAACTCGTGTTGTTAAGAAACAACTAATCGCAGTCAACGAAATTGTCAAGTGACCGCATCGATAACGACATGGCGCTCAAATGACCAAAAAGATTTGACAACATGTGTTTGTCGTGTGAAAACGCGTGTTTGACAACTTTTAAAATTTCAACAACATGTATTGGCAAACTTTAGTTTGCCGTGTGAAGGCCGCTTTAGTCCTTGTTTGACTCGTGGTAAGCTGAAAGTCACTACAGTTTCTATCAATTTATGTTGGAGAGTAATAAACAGAATACTAAACTCGCTTCCGTGAAATACTATTTTTATAAATCTCGAGAAAGATTTAGTATCAAACTCGCTTTCGCTCATTTAATACTAAAGCATTAACTCGTTTAATAAAGATAGTATTACACGGAAGGTTGTTTAGTATCCTCAACATACTAGTACTCAGAGACTGTATCGCTGGTCTGGATGTTACCCAGCTTGTCCTGGGTGATAGCCTATTTTTAGAACCGCAAGTCACGAGGGGAATCCCATGTACTGCACGTGACCACACGTGATCTCAAGTTCAGTGTTGAGGATACATTCGACATGGAGGGGTGTGTAGCAGTGGTAGTGCTTGCAGTTGTGTTCGGCTGCGTGTCGACAGGATATGTGGGAAACGGTGAGATTCAGTGAATGACATGCCTAATAACGCACCTGACTAGTCGATGCGGTATAGAATACTGGCCCGAATACTGTATTATGTAGAGTAAATAGACCGATATACTTCCTGCACCTGGAGCAGAAGATTTACTGTCAGATGTGTATCCACTACGATTAGTCGATTAGATGGCCCTCATTCACATACTCCAAACCTTCCAGTGCACAAAGAATTACTTATGTACTTCAGTGGTGTCATCAACATATCAAGAATGACCTTACGTTGGATACGTATTTTCCACTGGCTGTTCCACCCATAAGGTAGAGAGATCGGGTCATTCAGCGGCGAGGGGTTTAATGATAGTGGAGTGCATGCAGGTTTTATAGTGCCAGTCCACTGAGATACCACGAGGCAGTTACCATGGATACCCAGTCTGATATGGTATACAGACCAGTGCTGATCTTATACCAAAATGCCGGGCACCAGGCTGGGTAATAACAAGTGCCGCCTTTCAGTATCACGTGACTAGCGATCAAACCACCAGCCGTCTGCTCACCTAGCAGACACTCTATCCTATCTATAGAGGAAAGAGTCAGTTTTATATACAGTGATACAAGTGGCAAGCACACTCAGTGTATAAACTTTGGATAGCAATCCCCAAAAAGGTTATGATAGAGGTTGCATGGGATTACATTTGGAGCATACCTGGCTGTAAATTATTTGGCCTTGTGAAATAAATGGTGCATTTCACTTGGTAAATGTATTATTCTGTCGTTTTTTATCTTACAGTAGTGCAGAATATTTTGTCATAAAATTGATTAATCATAAGACACTGGGGATGAAAAGACTTTTACAATCATACATTTTCATATTGTAAGTATCAATGATTATGTATAAGGTTCCCATACTATTTGTCCACCACCATATAGCTGGAATATTGCTGAGTGAGGCATAAAAACTAAACTCACTCACTCACTCATTATTTGTATTCTTTATGTATGATACTTACAATTCAAAGACATACACACACAAAAGAGTAATTATGTACACATCATATTTAATGTCAGTCTGTGACTTATCGAACATATGAAACAACAGTGGTAAAAATCTCTGTTTATCCATTACTATAACCAACTAGATCTAACCTGACCTTTATAAAGGTCTTGTAATTTAGTTGACAATACACTGCAATACTAATATACTGTAACAGATGCAGGACCAGAATAACCTTCATAATACAGATATTGAATGTGTTATTCTTTTCCAATACAAGACGTGTGGATGAGATACTCGGCACCAGGGGGCGCTGACCAGGAATGGGCATATGTAGATGTGCGTCCTGGGGCCCATATGTTTTACTGGCTGTACCGAACTACCTCTCCCTCTGCCAATGCTCCGCTTGTCATGTGGCTACAGGTGAGTGCAGGTTAATTAATATTACTTATGCAATCTTTAAAAATTAATAACTGTTCCTTTAAAACAAAAATAATGGCATGGCTGAACAAATTACTGTTGTTCAGTTTTCTTCAGCCTTCTCGGTTTTTGTTACAGACTCTGCAATGAACATTTCAATTTTAATTTCAGTTTGCTAATGTGGTGTTTTAAAATGTCAGCATAGTTTTAAAGATTAACTATTTAGTTTTGCCTATAAATAGAAGATTTTGTGCTGGTCAAAACTCTTTTGGTTTTGGTTTCTGAGCAAAACATACATTGAGCTATAGAGGAAAGTTTTGAAAATTATGCTTTTGAATTAAGAGAAGGCTTCTTTACACCTAATGAGCTACTGAGTGTTGAACGATCTTGTGTACAAAAAGGTGTTTTAACCTGCACAAATATCTGGACTCTATTTGTAAATATTTAATGTTACGCCCCTAAAAAAATAATCGCTTGTTTTTAGTTATATACATATTGCTTTAACTTTAAACGGCCCAACATGAGTAACTTGTGTGAGACATTTGACACAAGGAAGATAACTGGATCCTGCTGACATGAGTTTCTGTAACAAAAGTATTTGTGAGTTCCATGGCATTGAAACCAGAAACTCATGTGGATAACTGTTGGCTTATGTTTGCAGGGAGGCCCAGGTGGATCATCCACTGGTTTTGGCAATTTTGAGGAGATTGGGCCCTTAGATGTCCAGCAGCAGCCAAGGAACACATCCTGGGTGAGTGAGCCCTACCTTGTCTCTCCGCACACACCCTGATGAATGACATCCTGTTGCTTTAATATTTTGAGTTCTTTAAGCCTAGGTGGGGTAGCCTAGTGGTTAAAGCGTTGGCTTGTCACGCCGAAGACCCGGGTTCAAATCCCCACATGAGTACAATGTGTGAAGCCCATTTCTGGTGTCCCCGCCATGATGTTGCTGGAATATTGCTAAAAGCGCGTAAAACTAAATTCAGTCAGTCAGTCTTTAAGCCTAAGTAATGCAAGGGCTGTATTGTCGAAGGAGACAACCCAATACTGCAACTGCATCACAGCTGCTGGGCGAGGGTGCCGTTGTACTAAACAACCTTAGTGCTAAGACTACCTAAAGTCAGTGTTAAGGTATGGAAGTTACAGTCACCTAAGCACTAAGATCACTTTGTACAATGGCACCCTGGCCTTGTTTCTGAATATGCTACATGAAGGACATTTCTAAATTTCATTAAATGAGAATTGAAGACTTTCTACTATCCATGAATTTGGGAAATTAGACGGCTCACATTGCAGTAATTACCAGGCTGAAACATGTTTATTATTGGAATCACCTCATTTATAAGTTCTTCTACGTATGCGTCACACCAAACTAAATAAGACATACTATTTCTTTAGCTGTCAGCAGCTAACCTGCTGTTTGTCGACAATCCTGTTGGCACCGGCTTCAGCTATGTTGACAACGACGACGCCTACACCACCGACGTTCAGATGATAGCTGCAGATCTCCTCACCACATTCCAGGCCTTCCTCAAGAAGGCACCCGAGTTTCAGGTGGGTGGGATTAGATGGAAGAAGTCATCGTAGCCTCCCTTTAAAGGAAGGATGTTTCATTACAGTCATTGATGTGTTGGTTGATTATCCTGGAAGATAGATTTTCTGGAGGACAAGTATGACTGATGTCTACTGATCTGTATCAAGAGAATTTACTTACTTAACTAAAGATGTTTCATGTTTATCTTATTCTCCCATGTGTAAATTGCTGTCTCAGGTGTAAATTGCTAGTCTGTATGCAAATTGTTCTCACATATGTAATTTCTACTCCAAGTGTAAAATGCTACATTGTGTGTACATTGATCTGCTGTAGGCAAATTATACCATACACAACTAAATTACTCTCTTGTGTGGAAATGGATACTGAATATGCAACTTTCTCTTCCACATGTAAATATCTCCTCTATGTGTTGATACAGAGCGTGCCCTTCTATGTGTTCACGGAGTCCTATGGTGGGAAGATGACATCTGCCTTTGCCCAGGTCCTTTACAAGGTCGGTGTATCTCTCAATTCTCTTCACTGGAATAAATTTTATGATCTTAGCTGGTATATCTCTTAATACTCTTGTCACAGTACAAGTGGTATGTGGATCCATTCTCTTAATTAGTGGCCTGCCATAAGGTGAAATATTGCTGAGTGCAGCGTAAACCTAAACTAAACTTAACTTAATTAGTGGCCTGCCATATAGCTGAAATATTGCTGAGTGCGGCGTAAACCTAAACTTAACTAAACTTAACTTAATTAGTGGCATTCATGTCTATCCATTTTACTGAATAGTCACTGCACTCTATTACAGTAAACTGCATTTATAATGAACATGGTGAAAACAAACTGGTGGATTTAATGAACTAATATGGGTGGTTCCTTTGAGTTCATTATAGTGAGTTTGGTTTTATGCCGCCTTTAGCAATATTCCAGCAATATCACGGTGGGGACATCAGAAATGGGCTTCATACATTATACCTATGTGGGGAATCAAACCCAGGTCTTTGGCATGACAAGCAGACGTTTTACCCATTAGGCTACCCCACTGCCCCTGAGTTCATTCTAACCATAGTGTACAGTAATCAATATCTCTCCATCACATTAACATTGTGATTCAATTCTCTTCAGCATAGTATTCTGTAGATAGTTTGTTTTACATGAATGATCACAGATGATTCCGACACATGCAGAAAACAGGTGTTTTGGTTTAACGAGTTAAATTTCTTTCGCAAGGTTAATGTAGGCCTACTAAATATGTCTTGTCGTAGACCTTGTTAGTCCGACTCATGCATCCTTCATTGTTGAGACTACGTGTATCATCCATGTGTCCTTCATTACATAACTTTGTCATCTTCAGGCTATCCAGTCCAAATCTGTGACATGTGACTTCCGTGGCGTTGCCCTCGGAGACTCCTGGATCTCCCCGATCGACTCGGTTCTTGCCTGGGGACCATACCTCTACACAAATGTGAGACTTTCAACTTTAATCTTGGCTATGAATACATAATGTCTTTTTTCAAGTGGTCAAATGTACATTGGTTATATTTAGGGCTACTATCTATTAGTAATTCTTTGGTTTGTGTCCCATTTGGGAATTGAACCCACACTCTCGGAGTGAGGCTATTCTCTTCAGACACCCAGGCTGTCACAAGGAAGGCTGACAACTCTTAGTCTTTATCACATGCTTTGTGTACCCCTCTGTTTTGTGTAAGGCATTGGTACAGCTGCTACAGTGTAGTTAGAGGTTTCAGTGCGACTGTTGGTGGTTTGTATAAGACAGTGGTATAGCTGCTAGTGTGTCTGGTGAGGTATTGATGCGACTGTTGGTGGTTTGTGTAAGACAGTGGTACAGCCGCTAGTATGTTGTGCAAAGTATTATTGCAACTGTTTTGTTTTTTTCGTAAAGGCCGTGGAACAGCCGCTAGTGTGTCATTTGAGGTATCGGTGCAACTATTGGTGTTTTGTGTTAGGAACTGGCGTGACTGTTCTGTGTCCGATATTGGTGCTCCTGTTGTAGTCCCTGGTGGACCAGAAGGGGCTGGCAGCGGTGAAGAAGGCAGCACAGGAGACAGCGGTCCTGGTTCATCAAGGCCAGTGGGTCAATGCCACAGTGCAATGGGGCATAACAGAGGACGTTGTGGAGAAAGTCACTAATGGCGTCAACTTCTACAACATCCTTGACTGGGCTGGCAGTGAGCAGCTGAGGGTGGCAGACAGACAGGATCTCACATATATCGGTAAATAGAAATGCCTCATAGTGCAGTATGTAGCATCAATGCAGATTTGCATTTTGGAGGACATGACAAACTAGGGCGGTGTAATGGCAAATAAATTGTGTTGCAGATCAAGTACCCGCATTGCGATGTGTATTGCGATATATTTGGGACTTAAGTGTTTGACAGTGAGTAACACTAACTGTGCATGTCAATGCTATTTTCTACATATTAAGTCCCTAAACATACATGTTATGGTCCTGATAACAGCAATCTCAAAATTAGGTTGCATAGTCAGGGGTTCTATTTTCTCTTTTATACAATTTATAGTATTACAAAAAACTCCACAAAACAAAGACTCATTTTCAACATGAAACTTTTCAATGCCCACTATCTCCAGCGCCCACCTCACTTCCGGATGGTATCGATCGTCCTTCTTCGCACCATCCTGAAGAAAGGGGATTTTCTTGTCAGCTTAGACCTGCAAGATGCTTACCTTCATGTGCCCATTCATCCGGATTCGCGGAAATTCCTCGATTCGTCTTCCAAGGAATCCATTATCAATGGACCGTCCTGCTTTTGGGAATTTCCACGGCCCCATGGCTGATCACCAAGCCGATCACCAGGTTTCTTCATCTCCACGGGGTCGTGTTCGAAAGTTACATAGACAACTGCATTCAGGCACAGAGAGACCCAATCATTCTTCTACGTCAGTTGGAGTTCAGTATGAAGCTACTCTGGCAGCTAGGTTGGTTGTTAAACGCTGCGAAGTCGGAACTAACACCAACCCAGACCCTTCAATTCATCAGACCCTTCAATTCATTCGCACCAGAGCCTGATTTTCGTCCCCCAAGACAGGTGGCTGAAGATTCAACAGCTAGTTCCGTTAGCACTGTCGCAGGCCAGGACCTTACGACAGTGGCAGGAACTGTTGGGCCTCTTGACATCTGCACAGGCATTGACACGGCTGGGACAATTGCAACTGCGTCCTTTGCAACGTTTCCTACGTCCGTATCTCATCTCAGAGAATCTCCAGGAGTTGATTCGTCTTCCCAAACCCATACGTCCTTTTCTTCAGTGGTGGCTTGTCGAACAGAACATTTGCGCCGTAGTTTGTTTGATGCCGTTCATTCCAACACACCACTTGTTCGTCGACACGTTGGGGGGCTCACTTGGTGGGCTCACTTTCTTCAGACTGCCGGGCTGTGGTCGTCTGCAGAAGGGGACTTGCACATAAACGAACTCGAGTTTTTGGCGGTTCTTCTTGCCATTCGACATTGGGCGACAGAACTTCAGGGGTCCTCCCTGCTGATTCAGACAGACAACTCCTCGGTCGTCTGGTACATCAACCATCTCGGTCGAAGGGTTTGGCAAACCTCCTTCAGTTGGCGTTTCGGTTCTCCATCTGATCTACTCCCTCGCCATCGATGCTCGAGCCAGACACATTCCCGGAGTCAGGAATGTCATCGCAGATGCGCTGTCCCGGCTCCGATCGGCCATCTCCCACGGAGTGGCAATTGAACCCACAGATCTTTCGGGAACTGGTCTTCCCGTTATCAAGGCCCCAAGTCGACCTATTCGCCACGCGGTTCAACCATCACCTCCAGCAGTTTGCCTCGCCGATACCAGACCAACTAGCGTGGGATCTCGACACTCTGGCGATTTCGTGGGAGGGACTCAACGCTTACGCCTTTCCACCTCATCCAGAAACTCCGAGCGACCAGGCAGATTCTACTGACTTTGGTCGCGCCTTACTGGCCAGTCAGGAGGTGGTTTGTCGATCTCGCACAGCTCACAGACCTAAACCCAGTTCCTCTTCCCGATCCGGACGACCTACTGTTACACCCTCACTCGGATCGGCGTCATGTATCCCTTCACACCCTGTCTCTGCACGTTTGGCGCATCTGCGCATCAGAGAGTGGCTCTTGCCATCACTTCTGCTCATCGGACTTCCACCCGTTCACTTTATGATGAGAAGTGGAAATGTTTTGAGAGGCATTACATCTCCTGTTTCTACTTCGCCTCAAATCATCGCTGAGTTTCTGCAGCATTTGCGGTCGTCTAAGAAGCTCAAGAGTCCCACTTTGGCCAGTTACCTTGCTGCGATCAACTCGGTCCTGGCTACCACCACAGGCTCTAAGGTCTCCACTGTTTTTGAGCTTCAGTATTTGCTTCGGTCCTTCAAGTTGGCCTATCAGTCTAAGAAGTTTAGACCTCCTGCTTGGGATTTATCTGTGGTGCTGTGTCATTTGGCCTCGACGGACTATGAACCCCTAGCTCAGAAGGACTTTGAGAAGATCTCCTTCAAGACCTTCTTCCTTGTGGCTTGGCTACAGCTACTCGGATTTCTGAACTGCACGCTTTGGACGTTAAGAGAGTCCAGTTTGAATGGAAGAAGCATGGCAAAGTCTTCCTCGGTCTCCGTTGGGATTTTGTAGCGAAGAATCAGTTGCCGGGACAACCCGATCATACTTTTACTATCCCACCATTGTCCTTGGGCCGCATGACAAGGAAGACCTGCAGCTTTGCCCTGTTAGGGCTTTGAAGACTTTTCTTGCTGCTTCTAAAGATCACCGCCATCTCCACAAGAGCCTCTTCATTCCGTTGTCCTCAACATCCAGGGCGGAAGTGTCTCGCACCACTTTATCCTTCTGGATGAGAGCCACCATCCTACAGGCTTAAGCCTTCTGACAGCTTCCAATCCACATGAGAATCAGGCATTAGCATCTACAATGGCTCTGCATAGTAACTGCTCTCTCCACGCCATTATGGAAGGATGTTTCTGGCGATCCGACTCGGTCTTCTCCTCGCACTACCTTCGAGCTCTCTCAGTCAAGGATGTCCAAGGCCTGCACCAGGTTGGACCCCTTCTGCTCGCACAACAGCTGTCTACGGCCCACCAACGCAGATAGGGAACGGTCCCTCGCGGTTGCTGCTTCCCTGTATTTTCTTGAATATAAGTCTGAACTTGCTGTCTGCCTTATGTTTTGATTGCTTATGGGTTAGAACTACTTCACTTAGTTTTATACTAAGACACGGAGATACTACCACCTCGGTGGTTGGACGAATCTGGAGCTCGATTCTGTATCACGATGTGGAAGGGTTCGACATTTCACGTTTCCTGACCTCTAGTTTTCGAAGCAATTACGTCAGTGAAGTGTGTCAGTCCCGAATTCCAGTGGATTTCGTTGCATTCCGACTCCGAAGTTGCCGGGCACATCCTTTGACTAAGCTTATGCAAAGGAGTGAGGGTCAGTTTGATACTGTTCTGGAACTGAACATTAAAACTGGGAGTTCCCGAGTTGTGCTTCTCTTTCACCCGCCCCTGGTCGGTGTCTGTGGGGGTCTTCTCGAAGCTGGGGCTGGCCCGATTATTGTCAATCGACTTTAATTTACGGGGGTACCTTGAAAATCGTGGCGAAGTGACATACTTTCTCACTGAGCTGCGTCTTTCTTCGGAGGTTGCGGCCAAACACCATCGCTTGGGAGCACCTATCTCCTTGGGGGACGTTGTGCTTAGTAAGCCAAGGAGTTCAAGAGAACTCAGCACAAGTATAGGAGTTGCGTGCATGCGTAACAGGCCTCCCTTGTGCATCGCTATCTACGGTCGTTTCCAGTCTACACAGTTATGAAGCTGTCTTATAGTGAGGGTAGCATGGAGTGCTTGGGCGAGAGGCCTAGGGAAAAAGTTTACATCGTTCCACTCAGTGTCGAATCAAGACAGAGAAGTGCATACCGTGAGATAGGATAAGTATATTCAGGGCTCGATTTAGTGCTTTGTTACTTGCACTGGTGCAACGCAATATTACAAAGTGCAACCTAGGTATGAGTCTTAACTTGCACAAGGTGCACATCAATTTTTTAGAAATAAATCAACAATAAATCTAACATTATGAGCATAAATTTGTCAGCTAATTTTTCTTCTAAACTTTGAATAGCTATAACACTGAAATATTGCTATTCATATACACGCTTCGGCTATGACAGCTCTTGTAAACAGGGATCAGCTGTGTCTCTGTGTTGCTATGGTTTCATAGGTACTACATCACTGAAATGTGTTTATGTGCTTTGAAACCTCTGACGTTTTAGCACACTACATTGCAACTGGAATTGGGCTGGTGCAACTAGGTTTTTATCTTAGGTTGCACCGACTGCAAGTAGGTTAACCTCTCTTAAATCGAGCCCTGATATAAATATACAATTTATATTAAAAATTCAAGTTTTCAGTCCTAATAGTTATTCAAGACCATCAATCATGTTTATGTAATGCCTAATAGTTATTTATAATTGTTCTTGTTGTCAGAAAAGTTATATGCACGCCATGTTGCGCCACTCCAAGCCATGACACTGGACCAGCTGATGAATGGACCTGTGAGGGAGAAACTGAAGATTATCCCGAGGAATGTTACTTGGGGAGGTATGTTGTCATGGATACCAACATCAACACTTTTCTACATGCATTGCACCAGAGACAAAATCTGTACATTATATTCTCCAATATTGTGCTTAGTGAGAGGATTACATGTGGTCCTTTTGTAACAATATTTTAGTCATCATACTGTTGTATTTGTGTCAGGTATTTCAGAGTTAAACATTCAGTTAAAAGTAAGGTTAGCTGTTTGAAAAATGTGATATAGCAATCAGCATCTCCGTCTGTCCCATCCATCTGTATGTTTTACCATTATCAGTGCAGAGCAGAACTCCTAGACCGTTGAATACTGGCTATACAGATCAATCTAGTTGTGAACTGGTGCCTTTTGATGATTTGGCACATGTATTTTTATATTTTTTTCTTGACTTGAACAGAAAATGCTCGTTTTCATTCAGAACTCCAAAACCATTGATATTTCTTGATGAAACGTTCAGATCAGTCTAGTTGATGATTTACAATATATTGAAAAATTCTGAACTGAAGGCAATGAACCAAACGAAGGTAAAAAGTAGCCTTACTCCATTTCTGAAACTGCATCAGACCAAGGGATAGCTGGCATCTCCTGATGACATGTCTTCCATATGAAACAAATCTACATGAATTAGGCACCCTTAAACTTAAAGCTTCTGTTCTACACTTCTGGTCACTATAATAACATCTCATTGTCCTTGTGACACAAAAGATGCGACTGCACAATGTCTGGAAAAGTGCCAAAATAACATTTTTTCTCTTGTCCCTTTACTTGAAATACTGTCTGAGCAATTTCTATCATGGTTTCTGACAAAAATACCATACTTGAAGTTATGAAAGTTATTCCCTGTAAATAGCAGTTCAGCAGAACAGAGATTATTGCAGTTTAAAAACCAGTGTTTGACCAATCAGCATGGAGTAAATTCTTTATTCACACTGCAAAATTATATTTACAGGTCAGTCGGGAATGGTGTTTGTGAAACAGAGGGGGTGACTTCATGAAGCCAGTCACAGACATAGGTATGGTATTGGTATTGGTAGCAGCAGTCTACCCATGTTCCTGTGTTCTGAAACTATGAGCCTCTCATCAGTGTGGAACCGCCTTAAAATATCAATAACTGTTTAAGCTCTTCATCAGTTCTAATAACCACAAAACCAAACACCTAGCTACCTCTTTATAGCTCAAACATCTCAATTTGGGTACTTTTTACAGGTTAAACTGGTGATCTAAGATCTCTTTTCAATCTTGTTCCAGTGGAGTATCTGGTGAATGAAACCCCACTTAAGGTGGTAGTGTACAGTGGACAATTGGACCTCATTGTGGAGACACTAGGTAGGTCAGCCTCATTGTGGAGTCACTAGGTAGGTCAAGCCTCATTGTGGAGGTACTAGGTAGGTCAGCCTCATTGTGGAGATACTAGGTAGGTCAGCCTCATTGTGGAGGTACTAGGTAGGTCAGCCTCATTGTGGAGACACTAGGTAGGTCAGCCTCATTGTGGAGGTTCTAGGTAGGTCAGCCTCATTGTGGAGACACTAGGTAGGTCAGCCTCATTGTGGAGATACTAGGTAGGTCAGCCTCATTGTGGAGACACTAGGTAGGTAAATGCACGTGCAGTTCATGATAGTTACCTGTGCACTGCACAGTGATAGACTGTTTGGATCATTCACATTGACTACTTCTAGCTGTCATCATGAAAGCTTATTCAGATGATGCTAAATGTTTAATTAGAAATGTGTTGAATGTTTTTTAAAAAGAGAGCAAACGTAGCAAACCGATTTATAAGGTGTCGGATTACATGAAACGTACAACTTTTGCTCTTGGCATGAAAAAGAACATCGTGCTAAAAATTGTGAAAAATAGACCAACAACCAATAAACAAAACCTTGTACAAAAAGGTAGGCATCCAAAGTTAGATTCTTTTGACATCAGGGTCAACAGAGATGTCATTCACGCGGCTATTTGCTAGAAATGAACACCTCTTCATCTTCATACCTGTCACGTGCATAGCTGACCTACATTGATGACTAATAGACCTTTGACCTTTATGACCCAACACTGCCGCTGTTACAGGTCATTGGCTCCCTCCCTCAGCAAGCAGTTTATGCTCTGCTGTTTATTTTGTTGACAGTTACATAGACAGATTCTTTAATACAAATGCATAAAATCGGTGATTTACAATGTGATTAAGTTGTCTGACAAAACATCCACTTGCACAGTTTGAGATCGATTGGGTCATTGGATGAAGAGATATTTACAAACAAACGGGTCCACATGCATTTCATGGCAACTCGCCATGAGTCAAGTGAGACTTTAACAGAGTAGTATCTCAGCCTCATTAATTTGGAGACACTAGGTAGTCTCAGCCTCATTGTGGAGGTACTAGGTAGGTCAGCCTCAGTTGAGTTTTGTGGAGACACTAGATGGGAAATATGTCAGCCTCATTGTGGAGACACTAGCCTCATTATGGAGTAGGTAGCTCAGCCTCATTGTGTACTAGGGAGGTCAGCCTCATTGTGGAGACACTAGGTAGGTCAGCCTCACTGTGGAGACACTAGGTAGGTCAGCCTCATTGTGGAGACACTAGGTAGGTCAGCCTCATTGTGGAGACACTAGATAGGTCAGCCTCATTGTGGAGACACTAGGTAGGTCAGCCTCATTGTGGAGACACTAGGTAGGTCAGCCTCATTGTAGAGACACTAGTAGGTCAGCCTCATTGTGGAGACACTAGGTAGGTCAGCCTCATTGTGGAGGTACTAGGTAGGTCAGCCTCATTGTAGAGACACTAGATAGGTCAGCCTCATTGTGGAGACACTAGGTAGGTCAGCCTCAGAGGTCAGCCTCATTGTGGAGTCACTAGGTAGAGTCAGCCTCATTGTGGAGGTACTAGGTAGGTCAGCCCATTGTTATTGTACTAGAGACAGCCTCATTGTAGGTCAGCCTCATTGTGGAGACACTAGGTAGGTCAGCCTCATTGTGGAGACACTAGGTAGGTCAGCCTCATTGTGGAGTACACTAGGTAGGTCAGCCTCACTGTGGTAGGTACATTGTGGAGGTAGGTCAGCCTCATTGTGTCAGCCTGGCCAGGAGGGTACTAGGTAGGTCAGCCTCATTGTGGAGGTACTAGGTAGGTCAGCCTCATTGTGGAGACACTAGTTATGTCAGCCTGATTGTGGAGACACTAGTTATGTTAGCCTCATTGTGGAGGTATCATGGGACCCTCTATTATCGCGGTAGTTAATGTTGTTGCCATCGGGATTATAAACAGCTACTGACATTTAGCATGTTATATATATTTTCAGTTGACTGATGTTTAATCTTCATTTCTGTCACAAATAATGTGACACATAGTCGCAACTCGTTTAATACCATTGCGGCAATTCCGATTGTCTCGTTTATCCGGAAATTGAAGCAACTCTCTATTATCGCGGTATTGCTATTTTCTTACTATGGCACGTTGTACAAGCAGATGACACTGTGAAACGTTTACTAAGACAAGTAACGAATCTAAATAGTTTGATCATTAAAAAATATTTAGGAATTTCATTCACATTAGTAATAACATCATGTTTTTAACCCAAACATCTGAAACTTCTATTCATTTGGATACAAGGTAACAATAACGCTACACAATATTGTTTTTCCACCTTAAAATGCACTACCATACAAGTTGCTGCGATTGTGTGTAGAGTGAAGTTGCATAATACGTCACTTCCTGTTATATTTTTAGCACGGAAAATATGCAAATGACCTTATAGTTGTCGCATAGGATTACTCTTGACAAAGTAAGTTTTGATTCATGCTAGATGTAATGGCAGTCGGGTCATTCTAGTTTCAAAATGTTCTAGAACTTACTGAAAAGATGAATGCTTTAATATTTCTACGATTAGACATGACATTCCAATGAAATAAATGACTTTTTCAAGAGCGATGAATATATTTACGTAATTTGCATATGTAAACAGCCGATGCGGGGCGTGGTGTTTCTGCTTTCCCGATGTTTTCGCGTGCCGCGATAATAGAGAGCCTGCGATAATAGAGAGTCCCAGTATACTAGGTAGGTCAGCCTCACTGTGGAGACACTAGGTAGGTCAGCCTCACTGTAGAGACACTAGATAGGTTAGCCTCATTGTGGAGACACTAGGTAGGTCAGCCTCATTGTGGAGACACTAGGTAGGTCAGCCTCACTGTGGAGGTACTAGGTAGGTCAGCCTCACTGTGGAGGTACTAGTTATGTCAGCCTCATTGTGGAGACACTAGGTAGGTCAGCCTCATTGTTGGGACATTGGGTTGGTCAGCCTCACTGTGGAGACACTAGGCAGGTCAGCCTCATTGTGGAGATACCAAGGTCAGTTTCAGGTCAGTCTCATGTTGCGTAAAACATTTTCACACCATCATAAAGAATCTGTTGTTGAATTTCAGGATGTAATTCAAGCTTTTCATTTGTTGATCTGAACCTGTAATACTTCCAATAAATGTGACTCAACTGTTTTCCTTCAGGCACAGAGGCATGGGTGTATCGACTGAAGATTGCTGACATGTTCAGAGAGGCCACTAGGAAACCTATCTTGACTAAAGGAGTCACCAACGGTTTTGTGAAGACTGCCAAAAACTTTTCATTTTACTGGATACTGAAGGCTGGTCACATGGTGAGTTAAAAATTTAACAAAGCATGCCATTTGGTGAGATGTCTTAAAGAAGTCCCCCAGACTGTTAGTCTGCATAGTAACTAGGATAACATAAATACATAATTCCAGTTGTTGTCAACAGGTTCCTGCAGACAATGGAGAAACTGCTCTACTGATGATGAGACAGATCACAGGACAAAGCTGAGACCTTCACTGCTGAGCTACAGCATACATTCCACATTTTTTGCAATCTTATCTTTGACTGAAGCAAGTAGAAATCCTTCATTTAGATTTGGAAGCCTGTTTATCGCACCATTGTTTTGTTGTTGATATTGTCAAAGCACACGGCTTACATTGTCTTGAACATCTGATACTTCAAATTACCCAGGCAACTAATCCAAACCAGCAGCACTCTCCCCATAGCCACTATTCATGCTATGTATATATGTAATATAGAAAAATAAAGATATTTTCACATAACAGTTTATCAATGTTTCATCCATTTTCAAGGTTCAGGGACAGAATGGTCTGCATTTACATCACTTTATTTATGACAAGTTTATAGCGTTGAAAGCCACACTCAGCAACATTTGTTTACTTATTTCGATGAAATAGTGTCCAAACCAGATAATTCAGTGTCAGATATTGTGACAAACATTTGACAAAATCGGGGTCAAAAAACACCTAATCAACCAAGTCTCGTGACCAGCATAGGTTAGATTGTAAACCCAAGTCCCAACACAGTTCATCTCAAGTGCCCAAAGAAATTGGGTTCTTAAAAGTGTGTGCAGATCATGTTTGAGGCAATGAACCACTAGTTTCAATAACATGTCAGTGTGCAGCATAAACACTAAGTTTGCAGTGAGTTTTTGTGATCAGGCACAAATGGTTCATTGGTTTTCTTATTTACAGTACCAAGTCATATGGTATTGTGTGTAGGGATCTAATATTAATTTTCTACTTGTCCACAAAATATGCAGCAGAGATGCCATCTGCCTCACTGCACAGAGCATAATTGTGAATCGCTGCACTCTATAAATGCATGTATTATTACCTGTTGATGAAAGTAACAGTTCCCAAAGAAATACTACAAGTCCTTCCTGAATTTTAGTTATGTAATCTTTGATGAGCAGACTCTTAAATTGGAACGTTGGTGTGCGATTTGAACTGCATGTTTTTCAAAGGTGTGAACATGCAGTGGCCACATACCAACAATCATCTGGACTGACATTGAGTAAGTTGGATTTCATGCCACTTTGAACAGTATCCCAGTAATTTTGGGAGATGTCAGCTTAATGTGGGAGTAAAGTCCAAAGTGATGCTGGTCTCAGACCTTTGGTCAAACCTGAACATGTTTAGGTAGTCAGCACTATACCCCTGCTCAAAAGGTTTCGCAATTTTGGCTAACATCTGATATTGGAGTGAGTTTAGTTTTACACTGCACTCAGCATGTTGACATGTGTCAACCAAGTCAGCAAATCTGACCCTCATTGACATGTGTCAACAAAGTCAGCAAGTCTGACCCTCCTCCCGGTTAATTGCCTCTTACAAGCATGGGTTACTGAAGATAATTCTAACCCGGATCTCTTACATTGGAACCTCATGGATTGGATCATCAGACTGAAGCTCAAGAATAAACCCATAGCACTGTATTTCACAATGAAGTGTAGAGTACCTGTCCACATCTGCATCCGTGTCAACAAAGAATGCTGGTGTTGCTCTTCAGTTGTTTCTCAATTGATAATTCATAAAATCAACAGGCAATTTTTTTATTCCAACATTTCTGACTTTAAAATAACAATGTTTGCATGACATGAGAAAACATTTCAAGATGAATAACAATTTATTGGATGGACAGTTGTAGGAATACTGAAATTCTTTGAATATGATAACCTTCATAAAGTTGAATTATTGAACATATTCACAATGAATTCAGGTACTACATATATATAAGATCTACACTCCTACAGAGGAACTGTTTCATACACTTTTGTCATAACCTAAAAATACACAAGTCCTGCCAAATTCTAATGCCCTAATGGTTTAAGACTTCAGAAAACAACCAGTCCAAACAAGGATTCACTGTGTAAATGAAGGTGAACTAGAAAGGTGTTGGCAGCTAACACACGGCGGCAGTCCCACTCTACCTTTTCCTCAATGCCCACAAACAGAAATGGGTGAACAACTGCTTTGACTTTCAGTAACTGAAAGGACAGCTGGCACCATCCCAAATCATCTTTCATCCCCAATGGCTGACACATGCAACTTAAGGTTTTGAAAACATGCTCATTGCCTCCAGCTTCCCAGTTGAGAAGGTTTTATGAACTTCTAGCTTCATAATGGACACTGAATTTCAGTCAATGACATTTCCTTATTTCTCAGTGAACACATGAACATAATCTCTTCCAAACATCATACAAACACAGGTTTGTTCTGTATACATTGAAGCAGAAATGCCTAATGGTTACCATTCTAGTGACCTTGACTTAAACCTCCCTTTACACAAAGGATGCAATGCAACAAGTTTCATCCATCTACTGTGAACAATTTTTGAGTTTATTGTAAACATTACACATTCAGAATATATGGCCCTGATAGTTAACCTAATGTTTCTTGTCATAAAAAAATCCTTAAGAGATCATGCAATCTGACTCTCAGAATCTTGAACATGATTATGTCTACTGAAGTGACTTTCTCGAAGGAGACTTAATCTCTTCATTTGTCTCCAATGGCTCTGGTTACTTCAAAGGTAGGTCACTCCACATCCAGATGATTTCCCAAAACACCTTGCTGCACACATCGTCCTTTTGAGTGTCACACTGAGTAACAGTTTGCCTCACACCTCATCACCTGATCCTTTGCTTGATCCCATGGAAACTCCATTATCGAGATCAAGAAATCTTAACTCATCAGCAGACAGTCCATTCTGAGCTGCCTTGACGGGCTCACACAGATACTCATACTCACACTCAGCCAGAGTATATGGCAGTGTGTCTATTCATGAAAACTGAATCTCTCCGCACCCAAGTAGATTGACTGTGGCCATATTGTCACACATCGATGAAAGTGCTCACAACTATTGCCTTAATGTTTTCCCTCCCATGTTCATGATGCATTAACAGATTCCTAGCTGTATCTAAGGTGGCTTGAACTGATCTGACATGTCAGACGCGAGTTAAAGTGAAAAAGAGAAACAGCCAATCTTCATGGTGATCATCAATTTAAGGAAAGGTGGATGTATGTGTGCTTATTAAATAACTGCAACTATTCAAGATATTAGTGCAGTACCTACCGCTGAGGTACTCACCATGTCTATCTATTTTGATTCTGGTCCATGCTTCGCTAGTGGAACTATTTAACAGCTGTCTTCAAAATATACCTGGAAGCGTTATCTTGAAGCCTAGGGGTTCTCCGGCTTAACCCTAGGATGAGACTTAGAAGATATGGATCAACAATGCACGGAAGTCGCCAACAAATTGTTGGGGGCCACGAAAGCCCAACAGCTATGACCGCTGTGACTATAGACCAAGAATAAAGCAATAATTTGGCAAGATCTAGTCACCCAATTCAAACAAAATGAAGCCAAACATCTCATTGAAAGTCTACTTGAAAGAGTAATGCTGAACATATTAATGTTGTCAGAAGTTTAAAAAACATTTTGTGAAGTTTTAAAAAAAAATTGCATCTCCTCTGAATAATTAACAGTAGATTTCTTGTACAAAATTCTAAAATACTGATTTCCACCTGCACTAGTAGTCTACTTGAAACATGCAGCAGATACATCTCTTTATGCTTAGAATGAATGTAGAAATATTCAAAATATCTGAATTAAGATAAATGTGTATAATGAAAAACTCTGCTACTTAATTTGTTTTCAATGAATGAAATAGAAAATATTTGTCACCAACAAAATAGTTGGGGGCCTTAAAAATATTAGCCCAACAGCAAAGTATTGCTGTGACCACTTGCCTGCTAGTGATCCATTTTCAACAGCCCTAGTACTACCAATTCTGAAAGAATATATACACATCACCAACCGCAGTTGGGGGCCAAATAAAGCCCAACAGCTGGCAAAAACTGCCGCTGTGATGTTTCACTTGCCTTGAGCACTGACGGTAGACTCCATTCTTAGTACAGATAACATACACAGGGTTAATTCCAGTTCTACAAAATTCAAGATGGTGCTAGTAGCAGACATGCAAAAAGAAAGTTTTAATGCAACTTAAAGTATCACCGACACACACAAGCACAGTGAACTAACCTCTTTCCTGCTCAGAACCCAGCTTCAATAGTCAACCTTTCTGACAGCAATGAAGCAACAACTTATTTCATCAAGAAAACTTAACTTGCACTTTAGACAAAAATTAAAGAACTTTCTAATGTGTAACAAATTGGACTTTCAGTGAAACTGATTTGTAATCAAATTCATTTTTCCATATTCATAAATCATTACCTAAGAACATCATGAAAGCTACAAAAGTTAAATTGTACTAACCAGTTTGTGCCGATAAATCCATTTCTGGAACATAGCACTAGCGCTAAAATGGTCAAACACAAGCCATTTAAATACAACTTTTATTCACATTTCTTTTTTTACAATTACAAACCTGTCAAGTACTCGTGGATCAAGAGACGGACAATAGTAAAAAAATCCATTTGTACATGAAACAATGTGACTTACCGGGAGAGTACTTAGTCTAGCTTGACATTCAGGTCAGGACCTACCTCTCGCAGTGTCACTCTGGCTTGGCAGTGTCACATTATGAATACATGATATTTTACATGACAATGAGTTATGATGATAATTAAAACAATACTGAGGCCTAGGCCCCACCCCCAGTTGTCAGTACCGCCCACCCTGAGCCATATGTTGAGGCTGCTGCATCATGCTGCCACTACCTCCCTGGTACCCGCCCATGTTGAAGTTTGAGCCATTGCTGCCCCCCATTGGAGAGTTGCCCATCATTGGTCCTGGAAAGAAGAATACTGCAGTGTAAGTTACTGTTCCTTCAAACAGAGGCTTGTTCACAAGCATTAACACAGATGTACTCATCTCACACATATTGTTCATGTGATGAAATCAGTAATACTAAAGCATGCATAGTTATCCTTAGTTTGTTTTCATCACTATTCACAAGATCATTTATGTCCAGAATTAAAAAATATTGATTGGACATATATGTGCTTTGAGTATATTTTATTCTTGTTATTGTCATTAATATCAGCAGAAAATATTTTGCAATGTGAGTATTGCACTCCATAGAGCTAGAATTCATGACAAATGGTGTGAGGACATAGATATATATATATATATATCTTAAATTCATCTTGGCAACTTTTTAGGCTAAGCAAAATCAGTGGATACCGTTTGAAATAATGTACAATTGAGAAGAAAGGTGAAAATCCTGAAATTGTGTACAAAATCATAACTGAACTTATGATCGATTCTAGCAAGAGAGGGTTGCAAAAAGCTGTGACAGTGCTGGTACAGAGCCATTTGGTGCGAGTGTTGCTGCTGCTATGATTTTTAATTAACATTACATGAGGTTCACTTATCTGCAAGTGAGACTGTTACGCATGCAAAAAAATAGCTAGCAGATGTATCTTTTATAATTCATTAATCATGTGTTTTATTTAATATAGTGTTTGTGACGCTTACAACCATGTTTAAACATACATCATTCATGAGCAGTTGTGTTTAATTTACTCACCTGTCCTCATTCTGGCATTGGCCCCATTCCCTACAAAAGAAAGGGATGACACTTAGCAACAACACAAGACATCCTTCTTTTTTTAAGCAAACAATCTTGTAAAATGAATGCATTCTTCATTAATTCTTACTTTTAGCTTTGTATTGACATAGTTGTAGTTGAATTTGTATTGTAAATATGCGTAAGGTGTTGAGACAATTTGATCAAGGTAAGAAATCATAAAACATCTTCCAATATTTGTATTTGGGAAACATTTCTCAGTAATTTATGTTCATTTAGAATCATAAAACAAGAAGTGATCATTCCTCACAGAGTGGACCTAAAATCTACCCACCTGCTTGCATCATGCCCCCACCAGCTATAATAGGTGGCTGTATAGGAGGGGGTATTGAACCAGACAGAGACACACTCATACCCCCTCGCTTGTACTTCGGTGCATTGGCCCGTCTCTCCTCCTATAAAGAGATTACAATTTTGGTTGACAAATAACTCATGATTTTAATACTGAAAAAAAACCACACCAAAAACATGAACATAATTTAGAGAGGTTTGTCTCTCTGAAGATGACATTCCCCTCCATGTTTCTATCATTTTGTAATGTCGATCAAAGGGACACAATCCATGCCCATTTTTGTCAGTGATAGCCAATCTGTTTGGTCCAACTTGTCAAACATCTCACATGGATACGATTAACATCGGTACTGGAATTTCCAAAGCTATTGCAAGTTCAAAAGACGGGATGGCGTTATAGCAAGAGATCAGGTCATACATAACTGGGTTCAGAGTGAGTGAGTGAGTTTAGTTTTACGCCGCACTCAGCAATATTCCAGCTATATGGCGGCGGTCTGTAAATAATCGAGTCTGGACCAGACAATCCAGTGATGAACAGCATGAGCATCGATCTGCGCAATTGGGAACCGATGACATGTGTCAACCAAGTCAGCGAAACTGACCACCCGATCCCGTTAGTCGCCTCTTACGACAAGATAGTCGCCTTTTTATGGCAAGCACATGGGTTGCTGAAGACCTATTCTACCCCGGATCTTCACGGGTCAACTGGGTTCAGAAGTTAGGTTAGTAATCTGCATACCATTGAATACTAATAGAAAGAGACACCGATAGAAATACTTCCGGTAAGCTGTCCAGAACTTTTCACTAACCTGTGGCCAGGATCAAGGACATTAGTTGCTGTATGGAAATACTTACCAGAGATATATCCTCATCTGGGTGCATTAACCTAGAAGTCAAACCTGAGCTAGACTCTGGTTTTTTAATCATAGGAGCCCCAGTGATAGTAGCACTTGAAAGACTGGCATTGCCCGACGTTGCTGCAGCAGGGAATGTAGGTTTCATTGTGCCCATGTTGGATGACTGTGGACCTAAACTACTTGACGTAGTGGAAGGCTTCGACTGGAGTAAAGAGTAGAGCTTTTTAAGAAAATGTCATAAGAGAAGAAACAGAATGGAAGAAAAAGCCTACTTATTCGTAAGCAAGAATAATATAGAAATAGGAATTCCAACTATAGCAAATCCAGACAAATATTGAAGGAAACTGAAACAATCACAATGACACCCACTGTTTCCCCATGCAAGAATAAACATAGACATCATTGCTGTGAACACATTGGGTGCCCCAAAAACTAATGACAGGTAAAGAAAGTATTTGTACTACAATACTGGCAATATGTATTTGTTCTGAAATCCCTCATGACTTTTACTCAACCTGTGTTCAGCAGTACTACCTGTGATGCCCTTCATATTGACACATGACTTATTCAGATAGATCTAATACATTATGATTTGGAAACCTGATACAGTCAGGGAATGTGCCCCAGACCTAATACTGAACAAGTCATCTGGCTACAGACACCAGGGACATACCTGGGCTGCTGCTGGAAACAATGGTTTTGAGGGCCCTATTTGAGACGGGCCTGCTTGAGACATCCGAGGAGGCATCCCCATTGGTCCTCGGGGTCCCATGTTTGGGCCCATTCCTGGAGGCATGTTAGGGGGCATTCTGAAACAAGTGTTACAGAGACTTAGATTTGACAACTGGACAGCCAGAGCTGGGGCATAAACTTGAAGCCTATGACAAAAAAATCTGTGTGTACAGGATGGACTGAATTTTACATAAAATTAGAACTTCAGAAAGAATTAATGACAGCTTTTTTTGTTTGTCGACCTGAATGATAACTTACCCCATGTGTCCCATTGGCCCTGCAAAAGTAAAAAAAGTTTCAAGTCATATGTTTTTTCATAAATATTAAACATGCACCTTGCAAAGGTTTGTAAATTATATGTTAAGATTTTTCAGTGATAGTTTCAGAGTTACAACTGTAACATAACTGCGGTCATTGTTTCTAGTGTGAAAGCAAATTATAATGTAATAAGTCAAAACCTTTTAAGCATCTGTTTCTCATGCCACATTTACTAAGTCAATAATGATATTGATAATGGCATGTTCACCATTCTTTACCACCAGCATAATTAACATAATACCAAAAGATAATTTCTTAAAATTTACCCATCGGGGGCATTGGTCCCATTGGTCCCATAGGTCCCATTGGACCCATCGGACCCATAGGTCCCATCGGTCCAGGTGGAGGCATCCCTGGGGGTCCATATGGCATGCTGGGACCCGGCCCAACCATGTTGTTGAACTGTGGAGGTGCAGCAGGCATACTGTCCTCATCATCATCCTTCAGACCAGCTGAATATAAAAGGCATAACAATGATAAACAGCTGATAAACAGCTGATAGACAATTGGATCATATTAATATATCCAAAACATGCCACACGATTTCCAGTAAATATTTTCTGAATCTTCACAACAATCACAGTTTATTCTTTTACATCACTGCAAGTCTTCAGTTACAAATGAATCAACCTTCCTAGATATCTTGTTTGAGTGGCATTTTAGAAGTTGAGACGTACAGTATATAACAAGTTTTATGGATAACAACTTCTTTATTTTCGTGAGTGCGACGTTTCGATACAGATTCTTGTACCGTTGTCAAGCAAGAGTGATACATGAAGTGTAGGAGCTGCATATATATACTGTATATAACAATGAAACAACATAATAGACAAAGGAAACAACATAATTGCCATGATTGGCTAAGCAGTAAGCTGATGAAGCCAGTAAGTACATAAAGGATAGTGAATGGAAGCCAGAGATGTAGTTACAATGAGATGTTTATACAATGGATGCGAAGTTTATACAATAGACTGGGCTTGGTGGAGGAGTGGATCATAAGCAGATGGAATGAAGTATCCTTGGTCACGGTTGATGGTAGGCTTGTGGCGTTTGATGTGAATGGCTTCTGTGAGCTTGCGTTTAGTGAAGTCCGTTTGGTTGTTGGCGAGAATGGTGATGTCGGACCACTCTATTTGATGATTGGGGTTGGCTTTGATGTGGTCAGAGATAGCTGATTTGGTGTCGGAATTAGCAACAGAGGTGCGATGTTCTTTGACTTCGGGTGTTGATGGGTCGGGATGTTTCACCTATGTAGCATTGTCCACAATCACAGTCTATTTTGTAAATAACACATTTCGGGTTGTTGTTGTTGACGGTGGGTTGTTTTCTTCCGTTGGCATGGAGGAGGTTGTTGAGGCTGGAGGACGCTGAGAAGGTAGTGTCTATTCCTGCCTGTTGTTTCAGGAGTCGGCTGATTTGGTGTGATGGTTTACCAATGTAGGGAATGGATATCTTGATGGGGGCTGATTCTGGTTTAGATCTTTTGGCAGGAGGTGAAAGCGTTGCTTCGATGGTTCTGTTGACTATTTCAGGTGGGTAGTGGTTTGCGTTCCACAAAGACTTTCCTCAGGTGTTCAATTTCTTCCTGTAGGTTTGTTGAGCAGATGTTTTGGCTCTTCTGGTCAATGTGGAGATGGCGCCGGGTCTTGACTTTAGGTGGGTGGTTGGAGTTGTAGTGGATGTATTGATCCATTATGAGTTGGTTTTTTCTGTACACGGAGGTCTGGAGTTGGTTGCAGGCGGTCGCGGGACACAAGGACATCAAGGGAAAGGTAGTTGGTTGTTCTGCTCTGTTTCAATGGTGAATTTGATGATGGGGATGTTGGCTGTTGAGATGGGCGAGGAGCTGCTTTGGATCTTGCTGAGGTTGGAGGGGCGGCGAAGGTGTCATCCACTTTGCGGTACCAGCAGGATGGTTTGAAGGGTGCAGTTTCTAGGGCCTTCTCTTCCAGGTCGGCCATGTAAATTTCTGTTAGGATGGGGGATAGTGGGGAGCCCATGGGAAGTCCGTGGATTTGCTCATAGATGGCATCGCCCCAGGTGAAGTAGGTGGAGTTGATGCAGGCGGAGGTGAGGCTGATGATAAGAGTCGGTAGAGAGGCTGGTGTTGAGGGGTTGTTGGAGGTTGTCAATTCTGTGACGTAGTGCTTGAAGGGCTTCATCCCAAGGTACATTGGTGAAAGGGTGAAAAGGTGAAAAGGGTCTCCAACAACTTGCACCCGGTGGAAAGGTTGACTTCCTCCGACACCAGATCACCAGTATTCTCCACAAAGCCCAGCCTCAGAAACCAAACATCACACCAGCTGAGAAACAAGCCATCAGACAACTTAAACAACATCCTGATATTGTCATCGCCCCAGCCGACAAGGGCAGAGCCACTGTTGTCTTAGACAAGGACCACTTCCACTCCATGGTGGATAACCTCCTAGATGACACCTCAACCTACCAAATGATGAAGAGGGATCCGACTACAAAGCTCAACCGTCAGCATAAGGCCACGCTAAAAGCGCTGCATGATAAATATGAACTCTCAACAGACCTGTATCGTAAACTCACAGTATCTCACCCCAGCCACCTTATGCCAGAGCAACAGTCAAAATCCACAAGAACCCCGTTAAAACTCGTCTACTAGTCTGTTCCCCGTGACACTGTATTCTACAGTACTGCCCAGCACCTTACCCAAGTACTCTCCCCATTAGGTAAATCTGCCAACTCCTTCATCAATGATTCAACTGACTTCTGCTCCAAGATCCGTGACATCACCAACCCAGGTCCAATCATCAGCTACGACGTTGTGGACCTATTCACCAATGTACCTCGGGATGAAGCCCTTCAAGCACTCACGTCACAGAATTGACAACCTCCAACAACCCCTCAACACCAGCCTCTCTACCGACTCTATCATCAGCCTCACCTCCGCCTGCATCAACTCCACCTACTTCACCTGGGGCGATGCCATCTATGAGAGCAAATCCACGGACTTCCCATGGGCTCCCCACTATCCCCCATCCTAACAGAAATTTACATGGCCGACCTGGAAGAGAAGGCCCTAGAAACTGCACCCTTCAAACCATCCTGCTGGTACCATAAAGATCTAAACCAGAATCAGCCCCCCATCAAGATATCCATTCCCTACATTGGTAAACCATCACACCACAGCTCCTCCTCAGATATGCTAGTACTTATTTCTAGCCATGTTGCAGATTGAATACCTTGTTTGCCCGACTTATTTCTCTCATGTTCCTTCACATCTTCTTCTGGAATTCCTTCCATTCCATAGATCTCAATCTCTATGTTGTTCCTCCCTGGCAATGCGTTGGGAACTTTGTCAACCTTTTCTTTGTGTACCTACAACACATCAAACATGTACAGTTCAACATGGAGGAACCAACAAAATCAGTTTGTTAGATCTGTTGTTTGCTGTTTGTGTCAGCTCAATGTGGGAGGAAAGTCTACCACTTTGGTGGGTTTAATATCAGGCTATAAACATCATGCTCTGGGGGTAGTTTGATCTTGACTGTCTTAAATACCACTCAATAGTAGTCAAGTAAAAACTCAATTTTGTATATTACTGTAATTAATGTGTCATGGCATAATTTTCTGATCTGATCTGAAATGCAGACACGTTTTATATACTACTGTCAGTTATTCTGCTTGGTCAATGTCACAGCTATCTTTCAGATCACATGGCCCAGTGTACAAGGGTTTGAAGTATTACTCAACAAGGACTGGTCCTGAGCTTACCTGCATACAGTGGATGGACAGACCTGGTCCTGTGTAGAGCTTTTTATGACAGATGTGACATTTGAAATGCTTTGCCTTCTGATGTTGAATAAGAATCTTTTCATCATCAAACTCCCTGTTGCAATACCTGTGATAACGACTTAAGGATCATATATATATCAATGAATCATGAACTTTCAATTACATACAAGCTATAATACAGAAGACCTGTGAAGATCCAAGTTTAATTGGTCTTCAGCCACCCATATTTGCAATAAACTGGATCAGGTGGTAAGGCTCACTGTCATTGTATCTCAATTGCTTTGATCAATGCACATGTCAGCCACTGCTATTTCAGGTCCTGGCTAAATTATTGACAGACCATTATCACACTGATGAAATTTTGCCCAGTGTGGCATAAAACTGACATAGAAAAACAAAAATCTGTAAAGTCTCCTACTTATTGCCATCTTTGTCTTCCACAGCCAACATTGTTGTTTTCAATTTGGAATCCATATGAAATGATTATTTTCTCAGATAAGAACTATAAAAAATTAAATTCCATGAATTAAAAGAAAAAAACACTGACTAATAATGCAAACCTGAGTTTTTCATATTTATTAAGTTATAATTCACTTGAACCCAAATAACCTATATTATGCCTGATAGTGCGGACAAGAATACATCCATGATAAACATAAATACCAGATAAGTGTGCTTTGCAGTGCTACATCATAACAAGCCAACATGGGTCCTAACCACTGAGTGTAATTAAAAGCATACCAATAAATTCCTCAATTGAAACTACCAATAATCATGTTTCTGGATCTCAGATTGTGCAGCTTCATCACATGTTCATCACTCGTTTATAAGTTTCTAGCATGAGTGAAGTCCTACAGCAAAGAATATACATATACATTAACTTGGATTAACAAAGACAACATGATGGTATGAATGAAACAACAAAAGTGGTAATGAATGCAGTAACAACTGGAGGAAGCAAACTGGTGTAACTCTAGTTTACCATGGGCTTAAAAAATGTTTTTTGAACAGGCAAGCCCTCAGTGCATCACACATCAAATCTGTCTGCTGGTACAGGAAGGTTGATGACATTTTCGCCAGATCAAGACCTATCAATCCTCCTGCAACAACGCAACAAACAGCACCCCCATGTCCAGTTCAACTTAAAACAGAGACGAAGGGCCAAATACCCATTCAAGATGACTCATAACCAGAATCCCACCCAACAAGATCCAAATCAGTGTCTACAGAAAACCAACCTGACAGCATACATTTAGTCTCCAACCACCCCTTGAGAACCAAAGCTGGCATGATCTCCACTCTCAGCATGCTCAGAAGAACCATCAATCTCTCCTCACCCATACAGCAGAAGTCCAGCAACTTCATGTTTTCACCCAATTCAACCACTACCCACCTAAGCTAGATGTCCAAATCATCAGCACCATCCTTCACCCTAAAAGTTAACCAGCCACTACCAAATCCAAACCAGAATCCATGTGCATCTCTGTCCTTTTCATGGGAAAAACCTCCCACCATATTAGCTGTCTCCTAAAATATAGATTTCTGTGAGGATTGGGGACAGAGGGAATGCATTTAAGTCTGTGCTGTGCTGTAGTACTTCAATCTTGTTTGACAACGGTATAAGAATCTATACAGAAACGTATTATAACATCAGGCCTACCAAAGAAAACTTGCCCACTGTGCAGAAAAACACAGAAAGCCCACATTAATCGTGGAAATAACAACATAAACATAATACCTCGCTAATGAAACAGCAAAAACGGCAGCATTAAATTGCTAAAACTGGATAAAAAAACGAAGAGCCTGCAACTTCGATTTAGCGCATGCGCACATGGAAGAAGTCGCGACTGCATGTTGACCTTTTCCAGCTTGGACAAAAGTTACATTCCCTTTTTTAAGTATTTCTGTTGTGTTATTTGTCATTTATCATCATCATACTTGTGTGCACACTTGTTTAGTTTACCTTCCATTCGTATGAAATGATTGACATATTCAATACTTTTTCAATCAAGGCGATTCAAGGTTGCTGGGAAATTTTAAAGAAGCGCAGATCATAATGCGCATGTGCAGTAGAGGTCAAAGTTCGCTGATACAAAAATGTTGCAGTTTCATAGTCTTTCATCGTCGTTTTTACTGTTTCAGTAGCGAGGTAACATGTTTATGTTGCTATTTCCACGATTAATGTGGGCTTTTCTGCACAGCGGAAAAGTTTTCTTTGGTAGGCCTGAATATGTCAATAAAGAAGTTGTCACCCACAATGTATCCTACCTTTCTTATCTGAACTCAACAGATAATTGATACACATATTAGCAGACTTGACAGCAACATCGCCATAAACCTATTAAATTAATTGTTCATTCATTTTCAAATTGCATACCTTTTTCAATAACAATGAAATAATTTCTTTTAAATGTGCTGAACGATCGGAAGTCTTATCAATTTATACACACGCGTAACCTTGATTCGTGGATATAAGGGAAGTCGGCGAAATTCATATTTTAAATGCATGATTTCATTTTGTATACGCACTCATTATTTTATTCATTGATTCAGCAAATTGAAAATGCCTTATATTCCACTAGTGAATGAGACATTTGTTTACCAAAAGCCATTTGAAATCATCACTCATTCGTGTGCCCACAAAATGTGACGTCACCTTGTTTCATGGATTACGTAGTCGGTTACTTTATATCACATCACTATGTGAGGTGAGGTGAAATTGGGTTGAACATCGTGCTTGAGAATATTTCGCTCATATGACGACGTGCATGCGTGTGTATGCGTATGTGCGGCTGCTTGTACTAGCCCAGATTTAAGCTGGTTTTATAGCGCTAGCTCACGGAGATACCATGCCGCAGTGAAGTATGAATACCCCACTCAGACAGTATACTGACTCCGAGCCGACCAGTCCTTGGTGTACCCATTAATGCCAAGCGGCAGGCAGGGACCAACAAGTACCATATTTTAACGTCTTTTGGAATGACGCAGTCAGGGATCGAACCCGCGACCTTCCGCTCTCCGGGCGGACGCTCTAACCACTATAACAGGGAGGCGGTCACATCACTATGTACGACATCCCACTGCAGTAAGTATTGACACCAAGGAAAGCAGACGAGAAGTGAGAATGTTCGAGCTAACGATATCTTTTTACTTGACATTTTGTAAAAATAAAATTTGGTAATGGTGGCATTAGTGATCTGGGGCTATTCATCTCAGTGCTGGACAATTAGAGCTCGTGTACTTGCGTGTAATGCAGAGATTCGGAACTTTTTTTTCAGCGAGGCGTGGCATTGTATGTACATCAAAAGTACCGCTTCGTGACGTCATTCGAGACTTAATTTACGAGATAGCACGATAATTACCGCGATCCACGAATCGAGGTTATCCACGAATTTAGGTTACGGTTCTGTAATATTGAACAAACATTCACAAATGAAAATCGAAAACGTCTCAGAGAAATAAAATAAAAATTCAAATTTCAACATATTATGTATGTTTCAGGTACTTGAAATGCGGCTTCATTATTTCTCAGGCTAGTTCTTGATCTCATTCCATGACCATGACGATTTCCGTCACCAGCCAAAAATGTATTGAAACAATACCCAAGTCAAACCTTTCAGAATACGGATAGTTCCATTTCTGAAACAAACATGAAAAGGATACCAACACCATGGTTTACTCTGCTTCTTCTTCTTCCGACCCATTGTATCACTGACCAAATCGAAAATGTAAAACAACAGAAAATTAAACAGCTCACGAACACTCCTCGTACCAAAATGGCGTTGTCTGTACAGGATAGCCCGGATGAAGGCGGTGCACATCGAAATTATTCCCCGTAAAATATTACTCACTTTTTAATGGTTCGACCATTAAAACGGCGTAGTGCTATTCCTACGATGGGATATCTGTTGATGAGCACGCAAGATTAATATGTGGTGACTGAATGACATTATGTTTATTCACAATCATTGATAAATCATTTCACTGCAAAAAACAACATCGTATGGAAAGGTAAATCAATGCACCAAATGTATGGGTCGTAGAACGTGTACAGGTCTAACATATGTTATATTTGAGATTACCCCTTGTTATTAAAGTACAATTTCTAGTACTTTTGGGGTTGAGTCCCATCCGGGATTCGAACCCGCACCCTCAGAGTCAGGCACCTAATCGCCTGCACACAAAGTCAGATTAGGTGCCTGACTCTGAGGGTGCGGGTTCGAATCCCGGATGGGACTCAACCCAAAAACTACTAGAATGTGTACTTTACTAAGAAAGTGTAACGTATGTTACATTTGGCCACTTTCTAAAATGGCATTGTGTATTTCGTGTACAGGTCTATCAAGAAAAAAGGAAAACTGAATGCTTTAAAATGAAGACAAAATGAGACTTAAAGATATCTCCTTTTAAAAAAATGAACAAAAGCTCCAGATACAACATTCTTTCAAGTTCCATTCAAGAGATATATTTTACACAATAATATGGTCAACCTCAGACAGCATCTGGCACAAATCAGCACAAGTAGGACAGGATTTAACACGTTATATTTGGGATCACACTTTCTTGGTAAAGTACAGATTCTACTTCTTTTATTGGGTTGAGTCCCATCAGGGATTCGAACCCACACCCTAAGAGTCAGGCACATAGTCGCCAGTAAACACAGTCAACTGCCTGACCTGTGAACCTACTGTCAGGGTGTATCATTCAGCCCACGGCTTTAATAAAGTACAATGAAGCTTTGACCTATAATAACGGTCGTTTAAGGTCTATGTTTGTCTAAGCTAATTATAATACCTAGAATCTGTTGTCAGGGAACTAGATTGTGACTGCACACCTTTATATAACCAAGAGCAGCATCTATTGGTGGCCAGTCTTTATTCGGTGTCTCTCACTAGTATTCATATTTCATAATAAAACATCAGCAAAAGTACAACCTTGGGCAATTAATATATTCTGAGAATCATGAATTAATATTTATACAAACCTTACTGACAATGAATCATACAACAAACAATTGCAAAGATTACACAGAGGCAAAGAACCTTACATTGTGCTGAAAATAGACCACTTATTAAAATAACCTAACATAATCTTTGATATTTATGAAGAACATAATGATAATGCTTTACTACAACCCAGCAGAATACAGCTTATACCGAGTAATAAGAATACATAAATAATTACACAAACTTTATATTGTGGGTTCAATAATATAACCATTTCTTTCATAAGGGGGGGTCACCCATTTTGTTCTGGGAAGGTAGGGGGGTCATCAATTTTGTGAATATGTTTCTATGGGCGTCAGCAATTTTGTACAGACAAAAATTATGCTTTAGAAATATGGAAAGGGGGAGGCGGGATTTTGTACATATCATGCAGGGGTGTCACTTACTTGTACAAGCATGTTATAGAATGAATACAGCGTATACATACATAGAATACTGTGAACGTAGCAATATATGAGCAACTGCATAGCACAACAAGTGTTATGTGCACTCACGGTTTTTGAGTGAGTTTAGTTTTACGGCGCGTATAGCAATATTCCAGCAATATCACGGCGGGGGACACCAGAAATGGGCTTCACACAATGTATCCATGTGCGAAATCGAACCAGGGTCTTCGGCGTGACGAGTAGACGCTTTAACATCTAGGCTACCCCACTGTCCCTCACGGGTTTTGAGGGGAATGGGTTAGCTTCATGGTTAAAGCGTCCACTCGTCACGTTGAAGACCTGGGTTCGATTCCATACATTGGCACAATGTGTGAAGCCCATTTCTGGTGTCCCCCGCCGTGATATTGCAGGGAATATTGCTGTACGCGGCGTAAAACCATACACACTCACTCTAGGGTTTTACGTGTACAGTATATAGTTATATCGCTTAATATGTACATTGTTTAAACACTGATTTCGTCGGCGGTAGTTTGAATCATTTTAATTAAACACAAGTAGTATTAATTTAAAAATGCATTGATTGATAATATTCATATACACTTTGATTGCAAACATGCAATAGAATATATAACACAAAAATTACTTTACTTCATGAGACTTAAGTATGCAGAAATGACTAAATAACCTAACAGTTTCCTCTGAGAACTCGTTATCTTAGAGTAATGTTTACATCTCTCTCCGGACATGTTGTCCTAACGATTAGTACATAACGCTTATCAAGCAAGGGGGCAATCAAGACAGGCACCGATTTTAGACTTTGAACGCATATTAGTTTACAACCTGAGAACGAAGGCCAGTGTATGTCAATACCACGTGACATTTAGTAATCACACCAGTGAATAATATCCACAAAATATGTTGTTTAATCCAATGACATAAAGTCCTAAATATTTTAATAAGATCGAGGAAAATGTGACGTATTTTCAGCTATTTTGGAACTATGGTATAACTACACTGACATAAAGAAATATCTAATTTTCTATCTGATGGTATAAATTCAAGTGCGATTATTAATGCGTTTTAAAAAGGCAGTCGTGAGTGTTGTCCGAAGTTTTCTCATGCGACTTTCTGTAACTACAAACTAAAACAGATAAGGCTCCGGAATATGTTGACTTGAAGGAGGTCAGCCACCGTTGGGGTGGTGAGGTAGCCTAGTGGTTAAAGCGTTCATGCGTCACGCCGAAGACCCGGGTTTGATTCCCCACATGGGCACAATGTGTGAAGCCCATTTCTGGTGTTCCCCGCCGTGATATTGCTGGAATATTGCTAAAAGCGGCGTTAAGCTAAACTCACTCAGTCATTCAGCCACCGTGCGAACTGTTCATGATTGTTTATCTGATCACGCAGCGAAAGATTATTTCCTGTTAGCTCTCCTCCCACGTTTATTTAAACAAATAGTGTGATTTTATTCCCTTTTGAGTGACTTCCTCTATCATGTAGTTGTATCTGATCATATGAGATCACTGTCGGAAGTCGGAAACGCGATGTATTTCCCTCTCTCTCATGTGTATGTATGCTAACATTCTTTTGTGTCCGGACGGGTATAACATGTAGAACATAATGTGGGCAATGTGTTGTTGTTTTCTTTTCATCGAGTATTTTAAGTATTAACTACAGTAATGGCTGGATCATGTTCAGGTAGGTGATGGGGTGGGGGTGTTTGGGGTGGGGTGTCTTTGGGGTGTGTGTTTTAACCATTTAACCACTACTTTCTTCGGCTATTCACCACTATGCCCGTGACATCCGCGTCAAGCGAGAGATCCTTCAGAGCAATGAATAGTATCAAGACGTACCTTCGGTCCACCATGGGTGATGTCAGTATGTCTTCACTTGCACTTATCCATGTCCACATAGAAATGCCAGCACACACACGCACGCACGCACGCACACACACACACACACACACACGAAAATGCATGGAAATTAGTTTTTTTATTTTGATAAAAAAGTAAATCAGCTGGTACATAACACAATGCCCACAGAAGTCTCGCATGTAGTCCAGTTGTAGTTCATATGAATAAACTCGTATTCCAGCCAAGGCCTACATCGAGCACACCTTGGTATAGTGCAAAGACTAGTTATATGCTGGACTAGTCCAGTTGTGCCTACACTTCATTTCTTTCCTGGGTATGCCCCTGCTATTACTTACGCGCACAAGCAGAAGGTCGCGGGTTCGATCCCCGACCGCGTCATACCAAAAGACGGTAAAATATGGTACTTGTTGGTCCCTGCCTGGCGCACGGCATTAATGGGTACAACAAGGACTGGTCGGCTCGGAGTCAGTATAATGTGTCTGAGTGGGGTATTCATGCTTAACTGCGGCATGGTATTTCAGTGGGCTAGCACTATAAAACCAGCTTCAGTCTGGGCTAGTACAAGCAGCCGCACATACACACGCATGCACGTCATCATATGAGCGAAATATTCTCAAGCAAGACATTAAACCCAATTTCACCTCACCTCACCTCACCACACGCGCACACATACGCTGTAGGTTAGCCTAGTGGTTAAAGCGTTCGCGAGTCACACGGGTTCGATTCCCCACATGGGCACAATGTGTTAAGCCCATTCCTGGTGTTCCCCTCCGTGATATTGCTGGGATATTGTTAAAAGTGGCGTATGCCTAAATTTCATTCTAGTCCAATCATTTCACCTGAATATATATTCCTCATCTGATAATGATGCGTTTTAACGTGTTTCTTTAATTGTATCTGAACATACTAAAAGACATATCCAACTTCTAAAAATGCCACTCAAAGAAATCTTTCCTTATCGTTAAAGGAAGTCGGGCGGAACTCTCACCAGCTTGGGTATCTATAGCCCTCGTAGTGGGGAATATATTTCGCCAGACAAAATAATCTATTTCCAAAAATGAATGTCTTGATGTTAACAATGAAATTCGCATGCAGAACGAAAAAAGCCCGAGCGCCGTGTTCCAAATTACATGGAAAGCAAACACCGCCACGAGAGCATCGTGTATATGTGCGACATGTGAATATTTAACTAATTGTTTTCTCTCACTGCGTCTACAGGTTATGCAGGATCAATCGTTAAATATTAGGTTTATATATTTCACATATGTTCTATATCATGTATGAATTTCTTATCCCTGTTAAGTTCATTAAATGTTTATTATTCCTTTTCACAAAAGCTTCCTCCCTTGGAGGACCGTGAACCGACAGTGTATAGTGGAACCTAGTGATAACTGCGCACATGTACTTTGGCGCGCACCTAAAATGACAGTCACTTTGAGTAATACGCGCGATACCACGAGGGTGTACAACTCGATAAATTCAGTCACACACCGTGGTCTCTGAGACGGTGTAAAATAACGACTACGAAATGGCATCTTCCGTAGTTAA